ATAGATGGTTCTGCAGGTTCTTCCTGGATTCGAAGCTCGTCAGCTACATCATCTATCTGGCTGACCGCACCGGTATCTTCGTTGTCGGTGGTGTTCACCTCTGAGTTCACCTTATGGACAAAAATCCCGTGCACGAGCTGTCTCCTGAGGAGCTCACGTCTGCCAAGGTGGTTCCGATGCACTCCTTGTGTTTTGGTCTGGGTTTTACATGAACTAAGGACTCGGAAGTGTTAAACTGGTCACTGGCCCCAAGTCGATTTATGGGCCTCATGCCGTAAAAGCGAAGTTAAAATTCCAGATTGACTCGGAGGGAAACCACTTTGTTTTTTTTTAGGATGAACTAGAGGTAACCCTTTATTTATCAATACATTGCGTTCTTCAACCTTTAGAAATAATGATCCCACTTAGTTTCAGGTATTCACTGATTGTTCTTCACGATCACATACTAGCTTGTATTGAAAAGTGTGAGTAATGGTCACTTTTGAGAGTGTTGCAGACGCAAAGCGAAAAACTGATGAATTCCTAGAAATCAGTTCCGTGTCTCCTGACACAAGTGAGTAATATCATTCATGTTTCTCAAATTTGGGGTAGCTCTTGAAGGATATAGACCTCGAGAATACTTGATACTCAGGGACACCGGAAAGCCTGTATTTGCTAGGTGAGGCTATTGGCCCATTCAGTGAGGTCCAATGATGATCGTCACAGGTTAGTCGCCCTGATCGGCAGGACGTCGAGAATTCGCCCGCTGTCATGGGTATAGTTTAAGTGCTTTTATCAGTCTTCCTCGACGATGGCGATAAGCTACACTGTATGCTGGAAGGTTGCGGATAACCTTTCTGTTTCGGTCCCCCCTGTATTATGTCTGTTTCTGGGGTGAGCCAGAATCCGTCGTGAGTAGTGGCCTCGCTTTTGAATATTCACCCGTGACTCGATCGATTATGAACAAGGAAGACTCGCTCACACCTCGAGTGTCTACACCTACATATGCCGAGCATCGTCACAGCATCCCAACTACGACCCATCTACAGGCGTCGCACGAAACTTTGACTTGTGCAGGTTATTAGACGGTGCGATAATTCATCTCTATCGTTCCTTGAAGTTTTTTTATCTTGTCTAAAAAATAGGTTCAGAACCATTTAGGTTTTCATTGTTAGGTCAAATAGAACTCGACCTTACAATGGCGACTTCTTGAATTGGCTACAGTCGGACCAATGCTTACGAGCGCGTGTTGCCGAAGCACTGGTACCAACCTCAAAGATGAAGGTCAAACCTTCTGCGACACATGAACGATCAAAGTGATAATGGGAGTTGCTACTTCACGACACACAACCAGGCTCATAGAAGATTATGGCATCGGACTTGGGTGCATCAGCAGCGGGGGAGAGCTCGAGACTGTACTAGTATGGTGCGACATCGTTACACTGGTGTGCTAGACTGTTCGCCTTAAGCACACTCATGTCGCTGATATTGATTGAATGATGATGGATCCCTCGATGCTTGACTCCGGGAAAACGAGCTACTTTGCCTCCCAGCTGGGGATATCTAGATTGCGCCATTTTGTTTACAAGTTGAAGTTGCATGTTTACCGGCTTTTGAGGAGCCTTATGTGACTCATGATACCTTCGATGCGATGCGAAGGTAATCGATCCTAGAATTGTTCGTTATTCGTACGGAGAAGGAAATAGTCATGGGTTGGGTAAGTGTTTGGCTGCTCAATACCGCTTAGTACTAGTCTGATCTCGTGGCTTTAGATAACGCAACCGTTCGATCGAACTGATACTATGTGGTTTTATCGCGTCGGTCACCCAAGTCTGCGGTGATCAACGTTGCGAATGTAGTTACTAGGCGGGTGAAGAAAGAAGAAGTTCAACTTTTCTTGAGCGGTGCCCCGCAGTGGATAGACGTGCTGATGAGACGACACCCCTCATTCGCATCGTGTTCTTCGGTTGATGCATCTTATGACTACGAGATCTGTTCATTAATCTAGCTGCATCAGAAACATGACACCTTTATTCGAAGCTCTTTGTACGTTTTAAGTACTGCGACGCGTCTTGCACAAACTTTGTGACAAACCAGCAGTTGCGTGAGTAACATAGCATGACTCGATACAGGCCCCGGAGTGGGATTAGCAAGGGTTAGCGGTGTGATAACCGGTATATGTCTTCATAATATTATTAGTAATAGCACTCAGCTGGCACGCGTAGCCTGGCTTCTTTGTGCGGCACAACTTACTCGGAAAACTGACGCGTTCCTCTGGCATCAGTAAACACACGATGGTGCTGACGAGGTGCCAGGCTGAAAAACGTGTATAAAATGCTGCCAGCCTTCAAACAAACTGCAGTTTAACAACATCAGCCTCACTCAACTCTACAATCATGTCTAGTGAAAGGACCGCGTTCTGGGCACCCATTTCAAAGCCATCATCTAGGCTAGCGCGATATCGCGTGTTATCCCCTCATGCCGGTGTCCATGTCTCGCCGTTACAGCTCGGTGCCATGAGCATCGGTGACAAATGGGAGAAGTTTGGGATGGGCAGTATGGACAAGACATCCTCATTCAAGCTTCTCGACGCCTTCTACGATGCTGGGGGAAACTTCATCGACACTGCTAATAACTAGTGCGTATCATGTCGCACTCATCTTGAATCCATCGTCGCTGACATACCTCTCAGCCAAGATCAAAGCTCTGAAGAGATTATCGGAGAGTGGGCAGAGGAACGGGGGATCCGTGACCAGCTCGTGATCGCTACAAAGGTGACTTTGGGATTCGGTGACTCGGAACATAGTTCGATGCTGATACATATGTATCCAAGTACACGACCAATTACCAGCGCGGCAACGACGCCATTCGCCAGAAGGTATCATATACCGGTAACAACATCAAGTCAATGCACATCAGCGTTGAGGCCAGCTTGAAGAAGCTGAGGACTCCATACATTGACATTTTGTACGTGCACTGGTGGGACTGGGATACCTCCGTCGAAGAGGTCATGAACGGTCTGCATGTGCTGGTACAACAAGGGAAAGTGTTGTATCTCGTGAGTGTCCCCATTTCTATGCTGGCACCAACACTCGTTAACATGTATTGCTCGCAGGGCATCTCAGACTCTCCTGCTTGGATCGTGTCCAAAGCGAACCAGTATGCTCGGGATCATGGAAAAACACCGTTTGTGATCTACCAAGGTGCTTGGAACGTCATGCTTCGGGACTTCGAACGCGATATCATACCAATGGCCCGCTCTGAAGGTAGATTAACCTTGTTTCTCGCTATCTGGTGTCTCGACTCACATTCACCCATGCATAGGTCTTGCGCTTGCTCCTTGGAACGTCCTTGCCGGTGGAAAACTTCGAACCGACGAGGAGGAGGAGCGCCGCCGGCAGACAGGAGAGAAAGGCCGTATGCTCCTAAATCCTAGTTGGGAACGTAACGAGACGGAGAGGGCGATGAGCGTAGCGCTCGAGAAGGTCGCAAAAGAAGTTGGTGCAAAGCACATCACAGCTGTGGCCATTGCATACCTTATGCAGAAGACGCCTTATGTGTTCCCGATTATTGGTGGGCGAAAAGTGGAGCAGTTGGAGGCCAACTTGGAGTCTCTGGCGATTTCGCTAACACCCGAGCACGTGAAGTATCTGGAGAGCATCGTTGCTTTCGATCCCGGCTTCCCCTCCACAATCATCGTAAGTCACATCAGCCGCGTTCTGTTGTATCAGTTTACTGAGACCTGATCACATTCAGGGTGATGGCAAGCAATATAATTTTCTATTGCAGCATACTGCATATTTGGAAAAGCAGCCGCAGGAGCAGCCCATAGTTCCAGACGTTGATTAGTACCGTGACGGCACTGCTTGTGATTTGCACATGTGTTGAAGCGTACCGCGTGCCAGTATTCTAAGCTGATATGAAAAGAGAATTCTGAAGTCGACAACTCGATGTACAGCCTAAGCGCTTGAGCAGCTTTTGAACAGGGAAGCCATATGACTCGGACGACCGCTCTTGCGACCCGAAAGGTCTCAAACTTGCACAGTACAAGAGAAACATATTTTGATTCCATTAATATTGTGTCAAGTTGCAACCACTTGGCTGAGACCAGTCAAGATGAGCCGCGGCCTCCAACGTTGCAACCAAAGTCGTGCCGTGCGAAATTGTGCAATGCATACAACTTCCTTTTCTTTTCGCACGGTTGTCGTACTCTGTATACCATTCAATTCATTCATTCGAGAAGAATGAACCCTCTGAGATGAACTCCCGCAAATTTATACTTACTACATACTCGCGTGGACTTGTTGGGACGTCCGGTACACGCACGCTCATCGCCGCCATTCCCTAGTAGTGCATCAGTAAACTGGTGGACAAATCAGAATAACATAGAGTCGGTCAGACTCACCGGGTCTTCTATCCATAATCCGACTGAGTATCCAGGTCCCAGGCATCACTCACCCTATGTATCTATAGGTGTTCACTTTATCCGTCGGTGCCATTGTATTGCTTGGTGTAACTTTTGTGCAATGGTGCATCATGATGATCATCGAAGGTGCTGATTATATGCATATGGTAGGTAGTCTCAAAGTATGCCGCGGCGAATCATCACATGTTAGAATGTTCATATCTACACCCCGCGGCCGGCGAGTCGCAGCCATCTTCAGGGCCATATGTTTGCACCTCAAGTACGGGTCATCATTCCATTGGCATGGGGCACTTTCTAATAATAATAAAAAGTTATCCATCACTTGAGATATTGGATCCTGGATGAATTCGTGGCTTACAACGAGTTCCTTTCGATGCTTCTTTGCACCTCATCGACCATGCTACAACTGTCTAACCTATACATATTTGACAGCGCGCAACTCGTCCTCAGTGCTGCGGTTTGTCTTGGTGTTGTAGGAGTAATTGCTCGGGCTTACCGTCCTAAATCAGAGAGTGACCTTCTTCTCCCACCTTCCCTTCCCACTTGGAGACCTGGTGGGCATTTCCTGCCGCATCGCTAGTAAAAACTTGTATTCAACTTATTGATTTTTAACTGGTGATCGCGTTTTAAGCCCCTCCCTCACTATAGCAGAATGGATTGACGAGTATGGTCCTCTGATCATCATTCGGTCAAGATTTGAGAAGATCGTTATTATTGGCCGTTACAAGGTCGGTCCCTAGTACATGCTGATTTGTAATATCTAGGTTAAACTTTCTGTTGCAGGTCGCCGTGGATATTATGGAGAGGGGAAATTGATAGCTGACCGTCCTTGCACTATTGCTGTTGGAGAAATATATTACGGCGGAATGAGTGTCGCCTTTACGTCCTTTGGGGACAGGTTCCGTCGAATGCGTAGGTTAGTAATCCGGGACACTTCGCCTCGTCTATCTTACTTTTCAGTGTGATGCAGAGCACTTCATTCACATCTCAAGCCTAAGGCAACTGAGGCCTACCAGCCTCTGCGGATGTTACGCGCGAAGAACACAGTTCTCGGCATTCTGGACGATCCACACAGCTTCCAGAATCATGTACGAACGTAAGTGCTTTCGTCCGCTGCAACAATAACTATGAAAGTTACATGTGGAATGACTACGCCCACATCCGCGACCGATCCCGATTTTCCAGTAAATGTTGTGCATTTACTTCTCAAGGCCCACTTCGTGGCTGAGCCATTCCACAGCAGGGCGATATGGGCATTGGCCCTTTCGTACGCGCGATATATGCTAGAGAATAACCATCTCCATAATTTGATGGAGGCTGAGATGGCCTTTCTTAGTGCTGTCTTTATTTTATCTGGACCCAGCTCGGTGATGTGTTGTTTTGTTGTCTCAGAATATACGTGGCTAAAATCAGACGGAAGACTTCTGCGACAATATGCACGGTACTTATGGCAGCCCCATGTTTCCCCGAGGAACAAGCTAAGGTCCAGGCCGAGCTCGATGCAGTCATTGGAAGGCACAGAGGTAGACTATTATAGGGCTATGATTCAATCGTTTCCGGACTCAAGCGCTGACCTTCGCGGACCAAGAATCCCTTCCTCGCCTGCAAGCATTCATCTCTGAGGCCTTGAGATGGAGACCACCCTTCCCTAACGGTTGTGAGTTTCTACTTTTTGGTTTTGTTCCTAAATTTCACAACATTCACAATGCAGCATTGGCTCACGGAACAACCCACGATGTGATTTGGGCAAGTGACCTTTGACAACTTATCGTGCGAATGACGACCTGGCCCATCAGATAAACCATTGTATTCCAGCTGGGACCACATTGTTTGGTAACCATTGGTAAGTACAGTGCTTCAAGATACTAGGGGTCTAAGGGTCACTGCCTTAGGTCGATCTCTCGAGATCCAGACGTCTACCCGGAGCCTGACGTGTTCAAGCCTCAGCGCTGGATTGACGACCAAGGTCACCTGAGAAATGATTTGAAATTATTCGTCTTTGGCTTCGGTCGGCGGTAAGCACCGCCTATCAGCTAAATATTCTTTCTTTGAACGACATTACCGTGACTTTAGCGTATGCCCCGCTCAACAACTCGCGAACAGGTAAAGCTACTCTTGCACGCACACCGCCTTCTGAACTCACTCTGACCGACAGTTTTGTGTTCATCGACTCGCTCCTTGTTATATGGGCTTTCCAGCTCACTCTGGATCCTACGATGCCGTTGGATGACATGGGATTCATGAGTGGGGCGAAGTTAAATGACCCGCCGTGCGCAATTGAGTTTGAGACGAGGATCCCGGAACTCGAGCTCGGGCGCATGATGCAGCATTATCCCCAGGTTGCACGATAAAATTTGATGATCAGATGGGTCAGGAAGAGGACGAATAACCAGTTCCCAACGAATCACCAATATCGGCAAGTCCCTGCAGGACTCGCAGTTCATTTAAATTTACCCATGATGCGATGCTGAACTGTGCATTACCATCGTTGTGTATCTGCATAGCACGACTGTCTTAATAGTACCGAGCGTAGAAGATGCAAACTCTCGAGCGTAGAGCGATTTCGCAAACAGATAGGTAAAGTCACTACTTTCCGCCCAAGTGGTGTTCTAGGCTCACTTCGCAGCTCACTCTAAATCCTTTCTTACAAATATGACCTTTAATTATGCAGACACTACGAGCGTGAGTCTGAGGAAGGCTTGAATGACCACCGGGAGACGTAGCGTTGATTCGTGCATCCCATGAACTTTCCCAAGGACTGACCGTATATTTCATCATACCCACCTGTCCATCAGAACTACATTATTCATCGCATCAAGCAACTCCGAGTCACAGCTTTCGTTGACAAGCATAATTAAGCGGTTCGAGGACTCGGGGGCTACAAGTAGGCTCTTCGTGATATTGCTAGAACAGAGCCGTAGACAGAATGTGTATGCAGGCCATAATATGCTTAGGCGCGGGCTTCGCCATTCTACAGGCAGACCACTCATCGTGTCGTCCCCATTAGTGTGCACCAATTATCATTCACGGATGAAACAGCACATGGTGCCCAACGAGTCAACAAATATCGATCACGTAGCGCCTGGCACATGATAATCGGGATGAGAACTTTGGTAAAAGAACTGGTGTGAGCCTCAATTGGTGTCTCGGTGGTCCAGGTATAGGGACTGTTGATTTCATGGTTGATGGCATTCCCAAACACCCGCGATGACAGTCCTTTGAATACAGGGCTCGCCTAGCATCTACAGTGAGGGCTCGCTCAAGTTGGCGACCATGTTGCACTGGTACTTGTGTGGTGCGGGATTCCAATGTTCATGGATTTGGGAGGCGATTGGCGCATGAGAGAGCTGAAATCAGTTGGGCTGGGAGTGAGCGAGGCTCAAGGGAGGTGAATTATGAGCAGAGCGATGGAAGAAAAGCGCTCCTGATAGAATTGGTGAGACGCCAGAAGAGAGAACTTCGGCTGCATTTGGTGCACGAGCAGGTCTTGGGGGAGGCGGGATGAAGGGATGGTATTGCAGTAAGCTATATGCATGCGTTCAAAGGAGTGGCATGGTGATGCGCTGGAGTAACTGCTCGACACGAAAACAGCGTATTCATGCGGTCATGCAAGATAGAAAGTCAGATTCAAGCGCTGGGAAGCACAGATGGGATACATTCTAGAAGCTTTGAAGACAGGAGTCGGACACATGTATGCACTAAGGCACTGGGAGGATATATTGCCGAGAACGGCGGGTACGACAATAAGGTTCCTTATGGTGGTGATGAAGGCGTGGAGGCGAACAGCCTTAAGTGTCCTGGGCGTCTATTGAAATGAGACATTTCAAACCGATAAATACACGCACCTCTGGAACTGAGAGAAAGTCACCTACGAGCCCTCTAAAATCCACCTCGACCGCGCCCAACGCCATCGACCTCCAGTAAAATGTCGAAGCTCATTCCAATCACTACACCCCTGCGAGAATTTAAAGGTCATAAAGACAGCGTATCAGCAGTCACAGTTTTCCTCGATAAACGACGGATAATTACGGGCTCACACGACAGGACACTTCGGCTGTGGGACTTGGAGACAGGTGTTGTGTTGACAGTGATGAAGGGGCATCGCAGCAGTGTGTGGGTATTGGCGGTATCACGAGATGGGCAATTGATAGCAAGCGGTGATGCTGGCGGAGAGGTCATCGTCTGGCACGGAGAAACTGGCGAACGTCTCACCCAACCCATCAAAGCCCACCTCATTGTGATCTCCTCAATGGATTTTTCTCCTGATGGGACAGTGCTGGCCACTGGTTCATCTGACAACATAATCAAACTGTGGAATACCAAAACCTGGCTGCAACAAGGAGATCCAATCAAGTGTGCAAAAGTCCACTGCGTACGCTATTCGCCGTCTGGAGAACTTTTTGCCGTCGCAACACACATCAATATCCAAATTTATAATACAGGCACGAGGAAATGGGTTGCATCCTTCAAGGGTCACTCATCTTACAACTGCTCACTCGCGTGGACGCCCGATGGCACACGCCTACTCACAAGTGGCAATGATCCCGATCCTACCATCCGCGAATGGAATACATTGACCTGGCAGCAGGTCGGTGATCCCTGGAAGGGCCACACTAGCCATATCCATGCCATTGCCGTCAGTCCTGCTAGCACACTCGTCGCCTCTGCATCTGGTGACCAACATGTCCGTCTCTGGCGGCTCTCAGATCAACGAACCGTTGCCATCTTCAAGCATTCATTCCCGCGAGAATGTGTCACTTTCTCCGTAGATGGCAAGCATATCCTCAGCGGAGGTGACGATAAGATGGTCTCAGAGTGGGCAATACCCAACGACATCAATTCAAAGGTACGTTTCCGTCCTTGACTCATATAACACTATTCGAGCATGTTTCGTGCAGATCCTAGGTATCATGACAGCCCGCATTGCGTGCATACACGGAGACTTGTCTACCGCTGAACAACTACTCACGCAAGATATCAACACTGATGTGAACAACCATACTTCCTACGCTCATCGCTCATTCGTTATGGCGCGAAAACACAACTGGGACCACGCCCTTCAGGATGCGATCAAGGTGAGATATACCCACTGATCATGGCCCCCTCACGAAAGACTAACTCGATGGTGGCATAGTCCATCAGTATTCAGCCCTCATTGATAGGCTATATCTCTAAGGGTATTGCCCTCTGCGGCAAAGACCACATCCGGGATGCGAGGGCAGCATTTGATGTTGCATCCATGTACACGAACCAAGATTCACAAACCATTCATTTTCTGCTCTTAATCAAGGTATGCTACAGTTACCTCGCATACTCTCTGTCTCATTACCTATTTCAGGCTATCGCGCTGTTCAATGCAGATCAACATGACGAGGCAATTCTGCTCCTGAAAGAACTCGCTGCCGGTTGTCCGAATGCCGATACTCGCGCATGTCATATCGTGGAGGTAAGTATCATGCAACCACACTTGGTCGTCGACACTAAGGTCCTTTGCAACCTTGCACATTAGGCATATCTACGTGTTCAACTCGAAATCAAAGCCATGGATGGCGCACGTCATGCCAAAGCCGCTGACCATTTCACTGCTGCTGTCAACTCCAGCAGTTCATCATCAAAATTAGACATTCATGAAATATATGAGGACTTGATCGTGGTGCGTTAAGGCGACGCGTACATAATGCTTTTCATAACTAAATGTCTTGTCCAGATCTTTGGCTGGGATCTCAAATCTTTGTGGTTGACTGCACACCAGAAACGGTGTGATGCACTCCTGCGAGCAGGTAAACTTCAAGATGCCGTGAAATCATACCGGTACATGATGGTTTCGAGTGACGAAACTACCAAGGCCGACTACCTCGACTGGTCCAATGGCAAGTCTAGACTCCGCAATATCATGCAGGCTACAATCCTCACCTGTATTTCTGTCAGATTTCAAGCAGGAATGCGGCGCACTCTGCGTTGTTAATGGAGATGCCGCCCTCGTTGTGAGCGAGTATGACAGGGCTATTGACCTATATTCGGCGGCAATCAATCTGGATTATACATCCGATGTCATCTTTGCAAATCGCAGCAAGGCAAAGTTAGGTAAAATGCTATGGGAGAATGCGCTCCTCGACGCACAAAAGGTGCGATGGCATCTACATTTTTGTAGCCCATGTTGACTTCGGCGATGCATAGGTTACCGAACTCAATCCTTCGTCTCACATTGGGTACCAATTGACACATACAGCGCTGCTTGGCGCGCAACGTTACGGCGAAGCCATGAAGGCTTTCACGATCATGTTGTCCAAGTTGGACAATGCTCCCGAAGCTCAGATACGAGGTAAGCCTTGGAACACCCCTGCATCGTCTCTAAATGCCTATCTTGTTCTGCAGATCTGCGTCAGCAGTATGTCTGCCCATCAGAAGTGGAAGATGCTATTCAAAGAGCTGTTTGGGTTGAACTCGAATATGCCCCCCTTCGTCTGCTCAACACCTCCACGGGTCTTTTGTGCGATAGAACGGCACAAATAAATACCTTCAAAAGGAGTCTAGAGTACAATGAGCTTATCTCATTTCCAACGAAAGATTCAAACCTCCGAACAGAGCGCATCAAAGACGTAGTGGCGACGTACTTCCGCTGCGTCCTGCTATCACACAGGTGGGAAGAAACAGAGGTGCTACTGCACGACATCCAGGACAAAGTCTTGTACGAGTTGGATGGACTTGGTGGCATTGTGAAATTGCAGTCATTCTGCAAAATCGCTCGTGATGCTGGGTATTGCTGGGCATGGATGGACACATGCTGCATCGACAAGAAGAGCAACACCGAGCTTCAAGAATCGGTCAACTCCATGTTCGTCTGGTACCGCCACTCAGCGCTTACCATCGTCTACCTATGCGATGTCTCTCCTTTATCCCAGCCCGGTGCACTGGCGAGGAGTGTTTGGAACGAGCGAGGATGGACCTTTCAAGAATTTGTCGCCCCAAAAGTTGTTATCTTTTATCAGAACGATTGGTCATTATATCTCGACGATCGTTCTCCCAACCACAAAGAGTCCACAGCAATCATGAAGGAGTTGGAGGATGCGACGGGCATAGATTCACGGGCCCTGGTCTCCTTCCGTCCAGGGATGAGCGACGCACGACGGAGACTGCAATGGGCGTCATCACGCGTCACTACATTGCAGGAAGACATTGCGTACTCATTGTTTGGTATCTTCGGTGTCTACCTACCTGTAATCTACGGCGAGAAGAAACAGAACGCGCTCGGGCGGCTCCTGCAGGAGATCGTGGCTCGGTCGGGCGACATCACTGTTCTCGACTGGATCGGACAACCTTCCGAGTTCAATAGCTGTCTTCCAGCCTATATTACCTCTTACACTACTTCTCCACGTACCCTTCCATCTTTGTCCGAAGATCAGATTCAGACGACTATTTCTTCGCTGGAAAAAAACCCCCTGGCTGTGGATTTGGCTTCGAAACTTTACAACCAGCTTGATAACACGAGCGCTGCTCGTTTCGCAAACTGCAGACTGCATTTGCCTTGCATTGCATTCCATGTCACAGAAGTCAGTGTAAACTACGGTCCATCCCAGGAGACTCGATATGAAGTCAAGGCAGACGGGCTTCATGACCTGTTGATCACAACCAAAGAGCCGATTGTTCAGTTCTCGCGGACAAGGCCCACTCAGCAAACCTTCGTACTTGTCCGTCCCTGGGATCGGTCTCTCCTTGAACTACCTGACTTTACAGATTCGCCCAACGTTGGGGACGATACGGAGAACGAGGGGGATCATTGGACGCCGCCTTCTCCGTCAGATGACTCACCTAGCCGTTCTCTTGTAAAACAGGAGGTGGGTGATCCAGAATCACGAGCATTGCGGTTGCTTGTTCGCCTTGGGCAGCCTTTCGGGGCATTTTTGCTAGCGCGGCAGCGCGGCGGAGAATACAAGAGGGTCGCGTCGGATCGTGATATCATTGCACAGGTCGTCGAAGACGTGACTTCTGTTCGAGACCTGATGGACATCAGGACGATAGAAATACTGTAGCTGTATGTAGATCAGGGATCTGAGCGGGTTTCATTGGTACTTCGTATAGTATGTGATACTACATGATGTGTCACCGGTCTCAATATTTATTATTGGCGAATCAATCTTGAAATTTACACATGTGTACTACATACCCCGTTGATACCTCAGCAATATCAATATTGGCAACTACTGGCAAGCGCCAATGATACAAGCTGTATTGATCTGAGACGCTGTTGTTCTTCGAGAACATTCGTGGACTCCCAATCTTCCTGTATCAAGGAATCCTGACTCCTCCTCATCTTCCTTTTACCCAGCATCTATTCCAGCAAAGACACAATGCCGCTTAACTACTCCAAGTGGGATCAGCTCGAGCTCTCTGATGATTCTGACATCGAAGGCCACCCGAACGTTGACAAGCGTTCTCTCATCAGATGGAAGCAACGCGATATTCATGAGAAGCGCGAGACCCGCAAACTCAAGATCTCAGCCCTCCGCGCCGAGATCGCATGCAATGGCGTCCTTTCTCCCCGTCTTCACAACATCCGCGCTACACTCGGTAGTGCAGACGGCGGGTTGAAGTACTTCCAACAATTGGTGGAGAAATTGCAAACACAGCCATCTCCAGAGGCACCGCCGACGAACGCCAAGGATCAGCCGACCTACGATGCAATGATGTTGTCTTTGCTCCTGCAGGTTTGGGATGACGCCAAGAGCCTTCCTGCAGATGAGCGGGAGGCTGCTGTACTCAGTGGTCTCGATAAGCACCTCAAGCAGCTCGCAGATCACACAAAGAAGCTGGAGAAGGATCTTGTTGACGAGGAGAATGAACAAAAGAAGCACATCACAAGTGAAGATATCCACGAGGGATTCGACAGCAAGGTAAGATCGGTATTCTATTAGTCTTCACTGATGGTATTCTCAATGCTCCCGATAGTACACTCCCGCGAAACCACCGCCTCCACCCGTCAAGAATGCTAAAATTGATGCACCGACGAAGACCACAGCGACCAAAACCACTGAGTTCGAGGTGCTGAATCCTGCTGCCTCGAGTTCTAAAGCGCCATCGCAATTGGTTGCTCCGAAGAATTCCCCAGACCTCGTTGATGAAGATGAAGTTGAGGAGTTACCAGAACTCACGCCCTCTCTCGAACGATTCTCTCGCTTATCGTTGTGGGACTACGCACAATCTTTCAGCTTTATCCAAGCAAATCGCGATGTCGTTGTTCCCGGTGCATCTGACGCGTTACTTGTGGCGGCTTTCCGTGCAGAGTCGAAGGGCCAGTTCGAATATGCAGAGAAGTGTGTACACCAAAGCTTACTCCTGCAGTACTGCGAGAAGCTAGGCAAAGATGGTGTCCGACTATTTTTCCAGAAGCAAGTGCCTGATTCCTGCATAAGCTAATATACAGATGCTAATTTGATACTTTCGTAGGATGATCACAGGCGATCAGCGCGCTGTCTCCGTCTTCGTCAACGATGTCGAAGGCACATATTCTCACCTTAAGACGCGTGCAAAAGTGGCAGAATCGGAGACTTCTGACGCACAGAGGGAGCAGATACAACTTGTGCCCGAGAACCCATCTGCAACCATCTCGTTCAACGTACCTGATGGTCCTCCGCCTGAGGACTTGCGCCTCGAGGGTCCAGGGATGGAGGACCTGGAAGTTGAACAAGTTCGCGAAGCATTGCAGATGCGATGGGATGTTTTCGAGGGCTTCCCTGAGGACCTGAAGGCCGCGCTCAAGGTTGGGACTCTGGATGAGGTCAACAAAGTGTTGGGTAGTATGGACGTTAGCGTTGCGGAAGACGTAGTGGGAAAGCTTGAGGTGGCTGGTATCATGAGCTTCGTGTCGGGAGGTGTCCGGGATGAGACTGGGAATGTGAATGAGGAAGAAGACGAAGACAATGCTGAATAAATACAAGGAGTATGTGTTTCCGGTTGATCAGGTTAAATGCGTACACATTGCTATGTTGTATAACTGCTGTCGAACGAGGAGTCTGATGTATGTTGTACGCCTTTAGTCTACAAATGTCTTGTTACTGACTCGATTGTTATTTCGCCCCAGTTCTTTCGTAAGAGGATACGCAGTGCAAACGGTAGCACAGCAGGAAGCTTGGAAGTTACAGTGTCAAAATGGCCATTGATTTACACGGGACGCGTCTACACGACCAGTCGCGTAAGACAGTTGTAGATAACAAAATCTCCCAGCTGTGCATCCAGTTCTTTACTACTATCTCTCGAATTAGCGGCAGTCATTGCGTGCTGTTGGAGCGCACCTTTCAATCGGAATTTCCATCAAGCCCATAAACCAAACCTAAGGCTACTCTAGCAGCTGCCCTCTTACGTTCCTGCGAATCGGGCATCCCCGCAATTTCCTCCTTAAGACCCTGAAGCGCACTCAGCATCCTTTGCAGATCGAAACGCTCGAGGTCCGCTTCTGATGGGTCGGCGGCTTCGACTTCAGATGGCACGGAAAGATTCTCTTGCAGCGAACAAGTGTTATTTGCATCAGTGGATGAGAAAGCAAGAGGTGTTGCACCGAAGATACGCTTTGAGGTAGCAGCAATCTCGGCATTTGAAGGCATTTCGTTGCCGGAATCGTCGTGTTCGGATCCCTCTGCTTCTGGATCCCCAAAATCGGAAACTGACCCTAAAGATCTATAAGATACACCAAGATCCGAGGCATTCGCAGATAAGCGAGAAAAGTTGTGTTCTTCATTAGCTGGCGTCGATCGTCCAGAGGTATCAGAGCCAGAGTCAAAAGTGAACGTTGAATCGAAATTTAGTGAAGGGAGAGGTGGGATTCGTATCTCAGATGATGTTTGTGCAGACTGAGCTTCAACATCTGCCGCTGCCGCTGAAGCAGACACGAAAGCGGTGAAATCGTCGTCAAATGTGTTATTGTGAGGGCCCTGGGTAGAGGGATCCTCCGTAGGCGACAAGCTGCCGGTTGTGGCTGCGGCACTCCATGGATCATTGCTCATGGTTTTCTCCCTTGCATCAAGATGGCCACCGAAATTATCTTCGTCGAACCACCGCTCTAACTCTTCCAGTTCTCGTTGCATACGATCACGTCCTCCTGGGGCGGACGTAGCGATGAGGCTGCTGAGGTCTTCTCCCGTATCAGGGTTCGTCACCAAGAGGCCAAGACCCCTTCCTTTAGAAGAAGTTTGTACCATGGACGGCCACATGATCGTGCTCAAGGCATCTATGACCCGGGAAACTCCTGGAGTAGAAACTCAGGACGGGTCGCTCCATGTTTCAAAACTGCATATGCCTACCGCCATGATCATGATGGGCAGAAGATTTTGCTAAATCTTGCACATCGATGAATTCAAATCCCAGGGACCCAAGAAATGAGTCTATTTCGTCATCATCAGTACCTTCACCTCTGGCCGTAGTAGATGGAAGTCGAATGGCCAGAGATACTTCGAAATCATGATGTGATAGGCGTTGCGAAATCATCTGGACATTCTCCCGGTATGGCTGCTCAAAAGTCAGACACATACAAAAGCTATAACAAGCCTTTGAGCACTTACCTCCCCGACAGTCCATGTGTACACCACGGCGGGCACGCTTTCCAACTCGTGATTGTTTGGTGTCCAATCTGGGAGATGATGGAATTCAAAGTGCACGTCGGCAGTGTAGTACTTGTTCGCGATAGTCCAAGGGATGATGGACGAATTGTCGGTTGCTATCGAGAGGTCACTCTGTACCAGTCCTGTGCCGACTCGTCAATGCAAGGAATGATCGCACTGCAGCGACAAACGTGCTTTGCAGAAACTGCAAGGTGTCATCCTTCGAAGAAGATAGAGTGAGAATGCGACAAGAACAGTCTGCCATTCGTAGTTTGACGGGAATAGTTTAGGGATTGACTACACAGTGCCGCAGGCTAAAACTTATGTGATCATGTGATTAGTACGCATCACCAATTGGGGTTGTGTATTGCGCCCTTCTGTCACGGTATCCTAGTACACCTCTGAGCGCTGAGCATTCAAGCGGTCATTCATGCTTGATTCATAAAGGCCAACAAATATCTGGCGTTCAGCCATATAATGCGAGTTCATGCCAGATTTTTTCAACTCCAATTTGTGTCCGTTGAGGATGATACCCTATGTAGGACAATACTGTCTAATCTATGGGACCCCCGTTGTCCCTTTTGATCTCTAAAGTCGCGAATGGCCTGATGCGAGGCTTGCCCTGGTCCATGTCAATCATAAGCAAGAGCCCATAAAAACCCCTTGGTATGGACCCAAGTGGTCCACGATATTTCCCAGAAACATGGTGGGCACACTCCTGATTGTGCACTGAAGATCCATGGCATCGTCGTCACCTATACAGGTAAGAGATGAGCGATCATGTCCGAAAAGGCAAAGGTTATACTCGCCTGGGCACTGGACTGCGTCTCCATCAGATAGGATGTGGACCTCTCCATGGACATGCGAGAAGCCCAAATAGCGCGCCGGAACAACCGGAACAATATCTTTCTTATGGTTAATGCGTTGGAAGTCTGGTACCTGTCCCGTGATTTCAGTAATCAAACACGGGCCTGATGTGGGGAAGGGACAACGAAGTCCGAAGGGGAGAATCAAGCTTACCAGGGAATCAAAGAAAGCGGCCCATGCTGGATTTCCTACACGGGGTGTACCAAATGTCACACCTTTGATAGCGATACTAGAAGGAAGGTTCAAGGCCATAAACACACATTCAATCTCCGCGAGGGCGGCTCCCAGGGAGTGTCCGACCTGTCCTCAAAATGTGATTTGTAGTGGATACAAAATGTTCGATGCTAACCAGTGTGACGCTCGTGGCGTTATACTGAGAGATCAGGCTCTTCACTTCGTTCAAGATGATGCTCGCAGTTCGCTTGTGCTCGTCAGCAAATCCGCTGTGAAGCTTGACGTCGCTACCGACACCGGGGAAAAGGGTAGAGTCCAGGCGTTCCGGCAAACCATAGGCATCAGTGAGATCAGCTAGGCTATGTAGGCCAATAAGCTTTCTCAAGTCGTATGTTGTGAAACATATACACTTACAATTTGGTTGGGTCTGTACCTTCATGAGCAACTACCACGGAATTTTCTGTCGGCCAGTAACCAACGTAGTCTGCGAAATCTCAGTAAAGGTGTGTAATATTTTTATTGGAACGCACAATATTGGATACCGCCGTCGTTACCCCCCTGTGAGAGAAACCTTGAACTCGGGCACCCCCGCGCAAGCTACTAAGAACTCGATAATTGAGTCAAGGCAAACCAAATAAATTAGGGTGGGATTGCGTACAACCACACTTCCAGGCTTTTATCAGGATAGGCGAACAGTAAGCAGCACTAGCAAAATGAGCATATGGCACCATCTCATCCAGCTGGGTAGATGTCATCTTAGTGACGACTGAGATATCCGCCCGACGCATTGCGTGAGGTGCGGGATGAGGGACCGCCGCAGCTTGCAAGATGCATGCGAGCACGAAGCTTGAAGCGAAAGAAAGGAAAAACATGATGTACTGCAAGGTATAGTGGATGCAAAGCTGGAATGCCGGGTCACAAGAAAGGGATGCAGTTAGTGGCCTTGTTAAATATGCTGTAAAGGAAACATGATCTTATCTATGCTGAGTATTTTGGAACGCTCGAGGGATGGACACTGCGCGCAAACGGGCGCAGACGCGCTGGTGCCATGCAGTACAACTATTCTGGCAAAACTGGTTATGCCTGGCCCACGGCAGAGCTTATGCGAAGGGACGGTGGCAGAACACCAGGGCATCCGAGACTCGGGGATATGTAATTTAGGTCTGGTAACACCGTTTGGATTCAATAACACGAAAGCCGACGTCCCTAAAGTAAGACGGTGCACGCTGGAAGACGTCCCCTCGCGTCACTGTACTGGTCCAGAGAGTATCTCGCCTGACGACGTTACTGCTGAATTTGTGAGTTTCGAGGAGTTGAAGAGGACCGAGAAAAATCAGAGCATCGACGAAGACGAAGTTGAAGTGCTTGAGGGAAATGCTTTTGCCAGTGATTTTCACGAGTTGGATCGGGTCGAACAAGGAATAATTCCACAGGCTATTCCAGAGGTGGTTAATTACATTGACGAGGCTGACGGGTGTGACGAGGTAACATGTATATTGATGAGTTGGTATTAGAAATGCCATACACATAGTCTACATACCTAGAGTTTTGCCGCCCCGGTTTTGCCAGTTCTGCCGGTTGTTTAAACCGGTAGGAAAACCCTCCGATGTGAGACTCGTCATCGGATGTTGGAAAGTATAGAGAGGAATTGAATTGGAAATCCTCAACACAAATGTCCATATTCCCATCACTGTTTCCATTGAAGTCTTCATTTTCCCCAAGGGTGAGATTAGCGGGTGGTGAGCATTCACAGTCAGTGCCAGGCCGTGAGCCTCCAAAATCCTGGTCTAAGCCAAGTTCATTTGAGGCTGTTTGACGGCGGGCATATTTATTTCGCTTTATATGGAGTCTGATTGTTCGACTCGTCTGGTAGTAAAGGCCCGCCGGCATGCATGCAGAGCAAGGGCACAAGCCCCGCTGTTATATGGGAGAGTCAGGGTATAATCAGACCAAAGGAATGGCTCTAGACAGAACATATATATTCCAAGCCGTACATTATTTTCATACTTGTATAGACACAAACTTGACAGAAGCAGACGCCCGAGTATAGGTTCGAATCACAGTTTCGCAATAGTTCGGAACACTGTAAATTGTCCGATAAAGAGAGACATGTCTTGTGATGCCGAAATTGGGTACTGAGTACCTACGCATAGCAAGGCAGAGCAGGTGTTGTGTTGTGGTTGTGTAGCATGTTGACAACGTTGAAATGACGGAATATTACTGGACTTTGTCCAAGCTTGGGCAGTGTACCTTGAATTAACGTAACCCTAGTTACTGTATGCATGCATGGACGTGGCCTAGCTACAACGTCTAAGTTTGCACGCGGTTTAAACAACCGGCAGAACTGGCAAAACCGGGGCGGCAAAACTCTAGGTATGTAGACTATATGTATGACATTCCTAATAGTAACTCCTCAATCTAAATGTTACCTCGTCACATCCGTCATCCTCGCCATTGTAATCAACCACCCCTGGAATAGCCTGTGGAATTATTCCTTGTTCGACCCGATCCAACTCGTAAAAACCACTGGCAAAAGCATTTCCCTCAAGCACTTCAAGTCAATACTCTGATCTTCTTCGGTCCTCTTCAACTCCTCGAGAGTCGCAAATTCAGCAGCAACGCCGTCAGGCGAAATACTCTCTGGACCAGTACAGTGGCGCGAGGGGGCGTCCTCCAGCGTGCACCGTCTTACTTTAGGGATGTCGGCTTTCATGTTATTGAATTCAAACGGTGTTATCAGATCTAAATTACGCATGAGCTCCGCCATGGGCCAGGCATAACCAGTTTTGCCAGAATAGTTGTTCTGCAGCTCGCATGTGTTCGTTTGCACGCACGCTGTCCATCCTTCGAGCGCAGTTGCCGTTCCAAAACACTCAGCATAGATAAGATCATGTTTCCTTTGCAACATATTTAACAAGGCTACTAACCATATCCCTCCCCTGGGACCCGGCATTCCAGCTTTGCATCCACTACACCTTGCAGTACATCATGTTTTTCCTTTCTTTTGCTTCAAGCTTCATGCTCGCATGCATCTTGCAAGTTGCGGCGGTCTCTCATCCCGCAATGCGTCGGGCGAATGTCTCAGCCGTCACTAAGATGTCGTCTACCCAGCTGGATGAGATGGTGCCATATGCTCATTTTGCTAGTGCTGCTTACTATTCTCCTATCATGATAAATGCCTGGAAGTGTGGTGGTACGCAATCCCGCCCTAATTTATTTGGTTTACCTCCACTCGATGATTGAGCTCTTAGAAGCTTGCGAGGCGGTGCCTGGGTTCAATGTTTCTCTCACAGGGGGGTAACGACGACAGTATCCAATATTGTGCGTTCCAATAAAAATATTACACGCCTTTACTGAGATTTCGCAGACTACGTTGGTTACTGGCCGACAAAAAATACCGTGGTAGTCACTCACGAAGGTACAGACCCAGCCAAAATGTAGGTGTACATGTTTCACAGCATACGGCTTGAGAAAGCTTATCGGCTTACATAGCCTAGCTGATCTCACTGATGCCAATGCATTGACGAGACGCCTGGACCCTACGCTTTTCCCCGGTGTCGATAGCAACGTCGAGGTTCACAGAGGATTTGCCGACGAGCATGCGCTAACTGCGAGCATCATCTTGAAGGAGGTGAAGAGCCTGATCTCTCAGTATAACGCCAAGAGCGTCACGCTGGTCAGCATCGAACATTTTGTAACTACTAAATCGATATCTTCGAGGACAGATCGGACACTCCCTGGGAGCCGCCCTCGCGGAGATTGAATGTGTGTTTATGGCCTTGAACCTTCCTTCTAGTATCGCTATCAAAGGTGTGACATTTGGTACACCCCGTGTAGGAAATCCAGCATGGGCCGCTCTCTTTGATTCCCTGGTGAGCTTGATTCTCCCCTTCGAACCTCGTTGTCCTTTCCCCACATCAGGCCTATGTTTAACTACTGAAATCATGGAACAGGTACCAGACTTCCAACGCATCAACAATAAGAAGGACATTGTTCCGATTGTCCCAGGGCGCTTCATGGGCTTCTCACATGTCCAGGGAGAGGTCCACATCCTATCTGATGGAGACGCAGTCCAGTGCCCAGGCGAGTATAGCATTTGTCTTTTCGGACATGATCGCTCATCTCCTACCTGTATAGGTGACGATGATGCCACGGATGATCAGTGCACAATCAAGAGTGTCCCTAACATCTTTGTGGGCAATCCGTCGGACCACTTGGGTCCATACCAAGGGGTTTATATGGGCCTTTCCCCATGATTGACATAGACTGACTGGAGCAAGCCTCACATCAGGCCATTCACCCCCAGAGATCAGAAGGGACAACGGGGGTCCCATAGATTAGAAAGTATTGTCCTACATAGGGTGTCATCCTCAATGGACACAAATCTGCATTTTAAAAAATTGGGATGGACTTGTATTATATGGCTTAACGCCGGAATATTTGGTTGGTCTTTATGAATCAAGCATTGGGCTGGCGCAGCTGACAATGTGCCTGCCTCTGGCAGACGGAAGCTGGTGTGGCCCCAACCTGATGATGAATGCAGCACCCGACTCCTACTGACTTGGCTTTGGTCCCTCCTGTCTTGTTGGTCACAATGGATCAGCAACTTGCAGGCGATGTTGTGTTCGTCGTATCTAAGCCTGCTTCGCATGAACGAGTTTCGCGTTGACCTCCCTATTGATATCTCCGTCCAGTTGCCCGGGTCTTGCTGCGGCAATCGAAAGTATGTTCCGCCCCGCATCAACACAAAACAGGAGCGCATGCAAACTAGTACACATATCAGAATGATATGGCTCGGTCTGCCACTTTCAATTCTCCCACCTTTAGCTTCCGAATCATCCTCGGTCGCTTTGGAAGAGCCAACGACCGAAGGAGTGTTCATCGACGAGACTTCAGCGAGGCTGGGGAGGTTACATCATCTGCCATCTGCCTGACCGTCAGACTCACTCTACACTCTGTCCTTAGCTTGCGTGCATTCTTCTGGCCTCCAGCTCCATCAATGTTTCATTTGGTGAATCCCGACAGCTTTGGTTAGTCCGTGGAGAATCTAGGTTGGCACGTACACATCTAAGGGGTATACCTTATGTTTCTGAGACGATCCGCACGAGGCGTGAAGGTGAATTCTATTTCATTGACAGACTATCACATAAAAAGGAGGTTTCGGCGCAACGACTGGGCCTACTTAAGACGGAGCTCTGAGGATCTATACACTGCAAAAATGTTGTCAGCAGGTTTCGAACCGACTGCAAGAGAAACAGATTTTGATTCTGTTGTGGTGACCACTTGGTTAAGATCAGTTAAGATAAGCCTCCGAGGAATCCATCCATGGGTGAATGTCAAAACGTGTTCCAATAGAAAAAACCTTGTCATCGGCAGGTTTCGAGCTTGCGCAAGTCCGACACAAACATATTTCGATTATGTTGTAGTAATCTTTGGCCAGGCGAAGTTGAAATGAACCTCCGAGGAAATGTCCATCACTGAATCTTCAAGGCGTGTTCTGATAGAGAAAAACCTCGTCGGCAGGTTTTGAACCTGCACTGGTAGAGTTCAAGAGACAGATTTCAATTCTGTGATAGTAACCACTTTGGCCAAGGCGAAGTTGAGATGAACCTCTGAGGAACTGCCATCAGTAAATCTTCAAGGCGTGTTCGGATAGAAAAAACCTCGTCAGCAGGTTTTAAACCTGCAATCAAGAGACAGATTTCGATTCTGTGATAGTAACCACTTTGGCCAAGGCGAAGTTGAGATGAACATCTGAAGAAATGTCCATCACTGAATCTTCGAGGCGTGTCTTGAGAGAAAAAAAACCTCGTCGGCAGGTTTTGAACCTGCACTGGTAGAGTTCAAGAGACAGATTTTGATTCCGTTCCAGTAACCACTTTGGCCAGGCCGAAGTTGAGTTGAGCCTCTAAGGAACTGTTCATCAGTGAATCGTCGAGGCGTGTTCGGATTGGAAAAAAACTCATTGGCAGGTTTTGAACCTGCACTGGTAGTGTCAGTCCAGACAGATTTCGATTCCGTTGCAGTAACTACTTTGGCCAGGGCGAAGTTGAGATGAGCCTCTGAGGAACTGATCATCAGTAAATCCTCAAGGCGTGTTCGGATGGAAAAAAAACTCATTGGCAGGTTTTGAACCTGCACTGGTACAGTCCAAGAGACAGATTTTATGTTGCAGTAACCACTTCAGTCAGGGCGAAGTTGCTCCGAGGAATCAGGCGTGTTCCGATAGAAAAAAAACCCCTGTTGTTCGGCAGGTTTCCAACCTGCGTAGTCCAAGAGAAACGGATTTTGATTCCGTTGTGGTTACTGTGTGGCAGCCACTTTGGCGAGGACGAAGTTGAGATGAACCTCTGAGGTACTGTCCATGAGTGAATCTTCAAGGTGTGTTCCGATAGAAAAAAACCCTGTTGTTGGGCAGGTTTCGAACCTGCGAAGTACAAGAGAAACAAATTTTGATTCTGTTGTGTTAACCACTTGGGCCAGGACGCTTCCTGGCCAAGTTTAGACGAACATCCGAAGAACTGTCCATGTCGACAGGTTTCGAATCCGCACCACAAGAGAGCAGATTTCTAATCTGTTCTGGTGCCAAACGGTTAGTTATGACTACTCAAGATAGGCCTTGGAAAATCCATCCATGAGCGAATGTTCAAGGTGTGGTAAAAGGAAAAGATTGTTTGTCTAGCAAGACTGGTCAAGAATCAAGATAGACTCATTCGGTTACGAATCGAAAAACATCATGCTTGACAGTGGAATCACATGGGATTAGCAATCATTTACCAAAAATGAAACAAAAAGACTAGCAGGTTGTCGATCTCATTAATCTCTTTAGAGGTGTACGGAGTCCTCAACTTGTGACTACCATTTTTGGCCCATGTTACGGGTGGTAACAGAGCGCGGGTGTCCGGCTTTCTATACGTACACTCCAGACATGGGTGCAATGGCGCTCTCCTCTACTATGTGGCATCATTCCCTCAATACCACCAGCATCATGCTGCGAGAACGTGCGTACTCGTCGCAAGAGATATACAAGCATTGGGTGCACCGCAAACTCGGAAACACTGTGGCTCCTGAGGATGACATCGTGGTGACTATTTTGACCTAAATTTGGAGGTCATATTTGCCACCTCGGCCGTGGGTGAGGATTGTTGTTCAGAAGCAGATGGCAGACGGTCGCCTGCGAGCTGGCCCGATGGCATCTGATTTTGTAATAGTTTCGGCGGCGGCGTTTGCCAAGTTCCAACTATGGTCAGCAGTCGCCCGCAGGCACCTTTGCTGATCTAGCTAGCCGCTGGTCGATGCGGCCGGTGGCCAAGTCCCTATTTCTAGCACACCAGTGGGTTTCGCTTGCCAACCGTGGAACCAAGCAGTCTAAAACAGCATCAGGCTTGTGCTGAAGCGCTAACGTGCGACCCATCACGTTACCATATCTCGTTTTTCTCGCCATGTGGGTACTTGCTTCCAATCGTTTGATGATACCTAGCCAGAGTGTCTGGTACTCTATAAGTACCTGAAGTCAATTGGCCCGAAGACTTTATTTACAGATCTCCCCACCGGCGTGTACTGGCATGTTTCTGGAAACACTCGTCCGAGCCGGCATTACGCTAATAGCTAGCTTATCTATACCTCACGCCGTTTCTGTTATCAAGAAATTCGACAATCTTGATACTACGGAAGCAGGGCACGTCGAGATTCAATCCAAGGTTCACAATGCAACTAGCATTCGCTATGTCAAGAACTCTGGAATCTGTGAAACAACTCCAAATGTTACCCAAATTTCTGGTTACATTGACGTTGGAACAAACATGTCCATGGTATATCGCTGTTCCCTATGCTCTAGATGTAAACTGACTTAAGACACAGTGGTTCTGGTTCTTCGAGTCTAGAAATTCACCGGAAACAGCCCCATTCACTCTGTGGTAGGTTGCCGGGAAGCTGGGTCACCTAAGTACCTGAGTTGAGTCGCACCTCTGAATCGCTTTCGCAGGTTGAATGGCGGCCCTGGATGTTCTTCTATGATCGGATTGTTCCAAGGTTGATTGGTTTAATTGCCTTTTAATTAGCTTCTAATTTTCCACAGAGAACGGACCATGCTTAGCGAATGCCGACCGTAATTCCACCATTCTTAACCCCTACAGGTATGTCAGAATTATAGCCGTTTTTCATATGCTAATCCAACATGGGTTCCTGCAGCTGGAACAATCTCAGCAACAGTATGTAGCACGTAGCCCTCCGATTTCGTTGCCAGAGCTGACTTCCTCACCCAGTAATCTACATTGACCAGCCAATCGGAACAGGGTTTTCTTACGGTACTGATCCGGTGAACAGCACGGAAGCCGCTGCGCCCTTTGTATGGACTGCATTTCAGGTTTTGTTTGAAAGCCAGCTATTTTCGAAGTATGCCAGTCGAGAGTCAGTCGCATAACTCAGCTATCACGGACGTTTACTTATGCCGGGCTCAGGTTCATCTTTGCCACAGAGAGCTATGGTGGTCACTACGGACCCAGTTTTGTGACCTACTTCGAAGAGCAAAACGCCTTAATCGCTAGTGGGGAGGTTGATGCTGTTCCAGTTGTTGTCAGCGCCTTGATGATCAACAAGCAAGTCACTTTCTTGACTTGCTAATGCCCCGTTGAATGATCATTCACAGTGGCTGGTATGATCCGCTCATTCAGAACATCGCATACCTAAATTTTGCGACTTATGCCCCTGGCTATGGGCAGCTCCAGCCAGATGACGTACTCAAGAACATTTCGGATGCCCTGTACGGTTCTGATGGTTGCGTAGCGCAAGAGAATGCCTGCTACGCTGCTGGAACTTCCACTCAATCAAACAAGATTTGCCGGGATGCCGATAATTACTGCGTGAGTAACATATCAATACAATATGTATGGACGTCACCAAACTCTTTCAGATCGACAATGTCTTCACCCCTGCTGTGGGCGATTACGACAGCTATGATATACGCCAAAACTCATCTGCTTTATTCCCCCCTGAATACTATATGTATTATTTGCGCAAAGAGGATGTCATGAAGAGGATCGGTGCTCAGGTCAAATACGAGGAATGCCCAAACGCACCGTATGAACAATTTGTAAAGACAGGGGACGTATGTATTTGTTCAACTTCTTTCCTCGAGTACTAAATAGAGCTTCCTGTTAAAGGACGCTAGAACATGGCTACCCCAGCTATCGGCTCTGGCGAACTCCGGGATGAAGATTTTGATTTGGGTGCGTGCTTAGTAGCTGCTTCATTGTCTGCTAATTTACCAGGGAAGAACAGGCTGGAGATGCTGATATGAAGTCCGTTTTCGTGCTGCAATGACCTTTTATATTATAATCCTGACGCCTCTCATTGACTTTAGTTGCAATTGGCTTGGGGTAGGCTGTTGCGTATTTTGCCGCCAGCGTCGCTAAGTTATTCTGGCTAACAGGGCCATGCGTCAGTTCTCGCAATGGATTGGTATGGCAATGAGACGCTCCATAATACCCCATTCACCAATATGACGATCAACGGCACGCCTGTTGCGGCCGTGCAGAACGTCGACAACTTCTCCTTTGCGTAAGTCTTTTCATCTTGGCTTGTTAACGAGAGATATGCCTCATCATTTTACGTTTTAGACGGGTGTATGGTGCTGGACACGAAGTGGTCAGTTGACTCGCCTGAGGATGATGATATTCACTGATGCCTGTTATGCCATTGTTAGGCTGCCTTCCAGCCCCAAGCAGCTTTGGAGATTTTCTCGCAGGTTGTTCGTAAGGAACAACTTCACTCCGTCTAAAGAGTGAATTTGGGAGCACACATCGTGAATCTGGTTAGAGGTTCTTGGCGTATTTGAGCAATTGCCAAACGTTCCTCCTGAGACCTATCGTGCAAATATTGTGTCAAATCTTATCTGTCCAAATCTCACTTAATTCGAAGACCGAAGACCGAAGTGATGGTGGCTATTCTGTCCACCAGGTCATGCCATGTTGGTGCGCGTGTTTGCTGTTGGTCTGTCCTCAGGCTGTTCTGCATCCCTCTGCAGTGTAGGGTCGGCGATAAGAGTTTCTCTGTCTCCTCCTTTTGACTTTTTTTTCTTTCTCGCAGCTAACTAAAGAGGAATCCTTGTCCTTATTAAAATTCAAAAAATGCATCGAATGTGGTCTTCTAGTCTGGCTTCGATAACACTTTGTATCCGGAGCCTGCTTCCAATAAACTAATAAAAGTATCAGATTATAAATGTTGTGAAGCTCACCTGAGGCTCATGAAGATTGAAGCTTGAAGTTTTAATCATCACGTCCTTTGTAACCGCCCGGTGGTTTGTTCAATTCGTAGGTAAGTGTCGGTCTTAAACTTGATCGCTGTTTCTGTGCTGACTTTTCTGTCAGTGTCGAAGTCGGTCAGAGATCTACCGACAGCACATCAGTTCACGCTGAGAACGTATTTTTGACACATTTTGTATCAATGCCATCGTTGATCCATGCAACCATGGCGTTGTAGTAGGGACGTTGGATCGGGCACAGAATGCAAGGGAACCTAAGGCCAAACCTCATGATGGCGGGAGGAGGCGGCTCTATGATCCATCGAGGTCCGAGGACCGACTACCAGCCAGGACTCCTACTCCTGCACCAGGACCCCTGGCACTCCCGACCTGATCTGTCCTGCCAGAGCGCCCCGCTCCAACGTATAACGTGAAAGCCCACCCCATCACATCGCTATGCACCACGCCACCGCCGATCCAGCCAACCCAAAAGAAATTGTATGGAAATATGCAATTCTTTTATTTGAGAAAGGTTATAGCATCGTATGAAATAAGTAGGACGTGTGACTTCTAAGTTGTCCATCGCGCGCGCGCGTTCACCATGACATAGAAAAACGCCAATTGTTTGATTGTACAATGTTTCATACAGTTCTACCTCCTTAACCACCTCCACGGACATGTCATCAGCCAGTCAAGAAACCGTAATTCACTAAGCATCGTCGTATTGATCAGATTCCAGATGTTGCTGAATACAAATATATCAGCGGAACTGCGACAACTGCACTGGCAAATATCACATACGCAGGCGGTGCTGTAAAACAACTTCAATAATTGTGGCGATTAACTTCGCCTTCTTCTGAGAGCGTTTGCCCGACCCTGGTATCCACTGAGAGAAGCCTGCTTCATATGTGAACGGCAGAGCTTAGAGTTTCCCTGACAGCAGCTGCATCGGGAGACGCCATGTACTGCTGAAGAGCAACACGAAGAGGGCGAACGGACTCCTGCTCAGGATGGCGACGCTGGTCCAAAAGATAGAAAGTGTTTTCGAAGATAATAACAGCAGCTTATGATCAATAATCAGTAGATTCATTACGATGTGGTAAAAATCTCACCAGAACCAAGCTGCATAATTTCCTCCAATCTTGATGACCCAGAAGGCTAGTAAATCTTTGAGATGGGAATTATGTGGACGAGCAATGGGACATGCCAAAGGTCGTAATGTGGACCACATCTCCTCATCTCCGGGGTTGTAATCCTGATGAATCATAATCAAAAGAAAGAAATGGTTGAGGATAAATATACTTGCATACTGGCATTATCAACACGTCAGTGCTCAGGCTCGAGAGAGGATCGAAACACTCACATCCTGTCAAGAGATCCCAAATGTATTCAGTCAGCTCAGCTCCAGTTCGACAGAGCATCAACACACTCACATGCTGTGAAGGGATCAGCGATGGGTTCAATCAGCGATGCTCGAGCTCCACAGAGCATCAAAACACTCACACCCTGTCAAGGGATCAGCGACAGGTTCTGTCAGCAAGGCTCGAGCTCGACAGAGCATTAACACGCTCACACCCTGGCAAGGGATCGGCAACGGATCAGCGAGGCGCGAGCTCGACATAGCATCAACACACTCACAAACTGTCAAGGGATCAGCGATGGGTTCGGTTAGCGAGGCTCGAACTCGACAGAGCATCAACACACTCACACCCTATCAATCGATCAGCGAGGCTCGAGCTTGCCAGATCATCAACATACTCACAGGCTTTCGAGGGATCAGCGACGGGTTCGGTCAGCTAGGCTCAAGCTCAACAGAGCATGAACACACTCACACCCTGCCAAGGGATCAGCGACGGGTTCGGTCAGCTAGGCTCGAGCTTGACAGGGCATCAACACACTCACATGCTGTGAAGGGATCAGCGATGGGTTTGGTCAGTGATGCTCGAGCTCGACAGAGCATTAACACACTCACACCCTGTCAAGGGATCAGCGAAGGATTCGGTCTATGAGGCCTGAGCTCGACCAAGCATCAACACACTCACATGCTGTCAAGGGATCAGCGACGGGTTCAGTCAGCTAGGCTCGAGCTTGACAGAGCGTCAACACACTCACAAGCTGTCAAGGGATCAGCGACGGGTTCGGTCAGCTAGGCTCGAGCTCAACATAGCATCAACACACTCACATCCTATCAAGGGATCAGTGACGGGTTTGGTTAGCGAGGCTCGAGCTTGACATATCATCAACACACTCACATCCTGTCAAGGGATCGGCGACAGGTTCTGTCAATGAGGCTCGAGCTCGATAGAGCATCAACACACTCACACACTGTCAAGGGATCAGCAAGACTCGAGTTTGGATAGAGCATCAACACACTCACAGCCTGTCAAGGTTATCGATGGGTTCGGTCAGCAAGGCTCGAGCTCGACAAAGCATCAGCACACTCACACCCTGTCAAGTGATCAGCAACGTGTTCGGTCAGCGAGGCTCGAGTTCAACAGAGCATCAACACACTCACATACTGTGGAAGGATCAGCGATGTGTTCGGTCAGCGAGGCTCGAGCCCGACAGAGTATCAACACACTCACATACTGTCAAAGGATCAGCGATGCATTCGGTCAGCGAGGCTCGAGCTCGACAGAGCATCAACACATTCACATACTGTCAAGGGATCAGCAAGACTCAAGTTCGGATAGAGTATCAACACACTCACAGCCTGTCAAGGGACCAGTGATGGGTTCGGTCAGCAAGGCCCGAGCTCGACAGAGCATCAGCACACTCACACCCTGTCAAATGATCAGCAACAGATTTGGTCAGCGAGGCTAGAGCTCGACAGGGCATCAACACACTCACATGCTATCAAGCGATCAGTGACGGGTTCAGTCAGCGAGGCTCGAGCTTGACAGAGTCTCAACACACTCACGTCCTGACAAGGGATCAAGGACGTGTTCGGTCAGCGAGGCTTGAGCTCGACAGAAGATCAACGCACTCACATTCTGTCAATGGGTCAGCAATGCCTTAGGTCAGCATGCTGGCAGAGATCATCAGACGTACTATCTACAAGTAACCGTCAAATATAATTTTTTTCGAAAATTCTACGATCTCACTGTAGTTTGCGGAAACCATCTACCCAAATTGTTTACAATCTGGAGATTGGATTTCCTAAATATGCACGAGGAGATTGGCTGGGTGAAGTCGAGATGCTGTGCAAGTGACCTCAATACGCAGTGAGTTATCCCTCACCACAGATAAGTGAGGTTTGAAGAGTTACATTTTGACTGCATATCTTATGCACACCTCCAAGGTGGTCCGCTGAGTTGAAACAAACATCTGTTTGAGCATATTGTTATCCAGAGTTTTAGCCGTGCATTCAATAAGTGGCCTGCAATCTGCATCATCCTTGTCCATATCTAAATGTCCGAGAGCGAAGATGAGCAGTAAATTGATTAGCAGCTCGAAAATTAGTCAACTTACCAGGCAGACATATGTGACATCTTGGAGGACGTTGGTTGCCCTTGCGGTTGTACAAAAGCTTTAGTTGTGGCCCATTGGCAAATGCTTCTTCGGCATGCTGCGGTGTCAGTGCTTTAGCATCTTTTCTCGACACTCCTTTACTTATCAACTCTGCAAATGCGTTGTCGTAGAGAGCGTCGAATTTAGTGAACAGCACCATTACTGCAACTGAGGATTTCAAATGAGTTGATGATGCACGACAGCAGATACATGGGTTTACTGTTTCCAGTGTCACACTGAGAGAAAAACTTGACTTCCCCTTCCGTGAAAGCCCTGCAATCCTCACCATTGGAATGCAGTACCTATGCCAAATATGTGAGATAGCACACGCCAAAAAATTGACCAACGTAGTACCATATGACATGGATTCGATCCTTCAAACGTCTCTCCTTAGCATGGTTTGCGATAAAAGCTTTCGCCTTGTCGAATTCGAGTTGTCCTCCTGCCTCAAATCCGCGTGAATCGTGAAAGACGAATCCTGGGTTGCTTCGAAACACCATTTCATTCTTGATATCGTGCGCTCCGCGCTGAAAACTCGTCAAGTCATATTACCAACAACAAAGAACATGCTCTACCTCTCTAGATGCCATCAACACAGCCAGATCGATCTGATTTCCAATGTCCATCGATCAATCATCATCATCTTAGTCACTACTGGTATCATGGACCGCACCTTTTTCCCAGCGCTGTTATACATTTCTGGGTTCTCCCGTGTCTTGCAAACCCTTTGGAGGATGGTGGTTTTTCCCGCATTGGCTCTTCCTACGATGAGGATTCGGAAACGCTCGATTCTCTGTCTCAAATTTGAAAGATCCATGATGGAGGAGGGGTAACAGTATGATATGAACTCTTTGAACGCCCGAGCCACAATATAAGTGATAACTTATAAGGAATATCTTCCTTGCGAGTCTCCGAGATTGCTCTGGGCAGGGCGGACTAGCTTTGTCGGAAATCTCCATAGGAGTGATGAATGCCCTGTAACAGTTAGGCTGTTACCCTTCCGAAATACTTTGGCTCCCAAGAACTCCCCAAAACAAGGTACGTGCGGCAGCGCAACGTAAGAAACGTAATGACAAGACCTTGAAAACCTCATCAGCTCTGACTTGTCTGAATAGTAGGAACAGCGGCGGCAAAAACCTCTTGGCCACGACTCTACGGGTCAACTTTCTGGTGCCCGCTAACGCCAACGACGATTCGTCTCCACGAAAGGCGCCACTTAAACCTCGATGAACTCAACTTACAATTCGGGTTGTTCATTACCCATCTCTTTGCTTGTCCAGAATACCCGCCATCCGTGTTCCAAGTCAAGTTTCAAATCAGCGCATGCGGCGGCTTGCGCCCTCCACAGTACCAAACTCCACCTGTCCGTTGCCCTCGTCCTTCTTCGGCAATTGAAGATACTAGTGTTGTTGGCAGGTTACTGCCGTTCTGCCATTCGTCGGGGCAGAACTTGGCAAAACCTGGCAGTTGGCAGAAGGTCTGGGGCAGAACTTGGCAGAACTTAAGTGAAAAGGTACCGGAGCATGCGTGAGATTTAAGTCGTTAATGCAAATCCTAATTGTATCTGTCCAATTTGAAATGATCAAACATTAGAAATAGGTGTTTGTCTATGGCTGAGCTAGCATATAAGTCTGGAGCATGCAGGTGATGTCGAGCAGCTGTTCTCGGACATGGGCGGCACTCAATCAGTGAAGCACTACAATTGAAAAATTGTAATGCATCGGAAGACACTCGCTAGCGGGAAGCCCGTTCGTCGCCGTCACGCACACATGCATACTCAAGACGAGCCTGGCGTATCAACGTCAACCTTGATACGGCACATTGCCTCAAAAACACAATTGCATTCGAGCCACAACTCACAGTTTAAAGTTGAGGAAATTGATGCAGAGATTGATGCATTCGAGAAGCAGAATGAGAAATTTACTGATATTGATATCAACGGACTCGAGATATTGGAAGGTAATATGTATAACTTCAACGAGCTGGAGTGAGTTGAGGCCGGTATGGTGCCAAAGTCTATTGAGATGATGAGCTCTCAGTGATTTATCACCATGGTGCGAGAGGAGAGGCCTTGAGGAGGGTGTTTGGGATGTCGCGTCATTAATGTCGACCAACATATGGTTTTTTGTAGTCGATGGATAATTTACCTCTTCTGAGTTTTGCCTGGTTTTGCCATGGCACAACCCTAGTTCTGCCGTGTTCTGCCGGCAGAACTGCCCGCAAATAGTTCGGCCCACAGCACTACCTACGACCCTCTCCATAGGTGCCTTGCAGTGCTTCCGAATTGAGATATCATTTAGCCGTATTGGCATCCACAATGCAAAGGAACTTGCAAGGAACTATGCTGGGTTTCATAGTGGGTCCTGGTTGGACCGTCAAAGAAAATAGGGGCTTGCCGAGGAACTCCCGCATTTGACCCAAATTTGAAGTTGATTATTGATTAACGACGACCACACATATCAGGCAGGGGTAGCCTCTACCCTAACGCTCTCCAGTCCATTTGCATACTGGAATTGCCCCGAATTCTCATACTACCAATCGTCAGAAATAGATCATAAAAGCTTGCGAGAAACAACACACCTCCCACATGTCGATAGCAACCTGACAGCTCTCCCGCACAACGCGCGGAGAATCCTCGCGCGTCATCCATTCTTTAAGATGGGGCAGTACTTCAGGTGTGGCAATTCCTCCAAGCGCCTCCGCAGCCTCGTGTCGCACCATATCGGACTCGGATCCGTCCTGTAGAACATTAAGCAATGAAGGTACAGAGTGTGCGCTCAGGAGTTGGCCGAAAACAAAGGCGATTTCGTGCCTGCAGTGGATAAGTTGAGCGTCATGATGAAGTCAAAAATTGAAAAGAGGCGGACTTGAACAGGGCACTGTCATCAGAGAATCCTGCTGCTAGTGCATCCACGGCTGCTGGCGTCCCGATGTTGCGGAGTGCAAACATAGCACGATAGCGCTGGAAGAGGGGGACGGAAATGTCCAAAAGCGTGGTACGGAGAGAGGTGATTGAAGATTCAGACAGGTCGTCAGGTTTGGGCTGACCAGAGAAAAGTTTGGAGCAGGGTGGAGCAGGGTCGATGGAGGTGTATACACTGTGTATGTGTTGTGAGTCACTTGTGATTCATGCAGTAATGGACGTAGAGTGGAATGTCGAAATAGAACGTGAAAGTTACATACGGTGTCTGATCTGATGATTCTTTTGACGCAAGATGTTGGCGTCCCTCTTCAGAATTGTCCCATTCGATTTTAGCGAGCGCGATCTCGCACGTCTCACGCACGCTCCTGTTGGGATCCGTGAGGTACTTTGTAAGGACTGCTTTGAAATCAGGCGATGAGATTGCGCCTATTGCTTCTGCTGCCTGTCTCGAATGCTAGTTAGCATCATAGCATACTGGAGCGTACAAAAGCGGGACTGTGCGAGGCGGGACGATGGAGACGCTTACCTCATGCCGGACCATTGGATCCTCGTCCAGATTCTCCAGCACTGATTGAAGGACTGGGAGAGCTGAGATGAGCTTCATCTGTCCTAAGCAGTATGCAAGCTCATGCTTGAGCAGTGCTGAGTGATCGGCGAAGCCTGGTAGATGGACCATGCATCAGCGTGCGCTTGTCTTAGCAGGGAATCGCATGAAAAGGCTTGTTATGAAAGATGTGATAGTTGATGTTAGGATCGAAAGAAAAGGATCACACGAACAAGAGAACGGACGAAATCCACGTACCTTCAGATATGATATTGACTGCTTCATCATTCTTGAAACTTTTCAACGTGAAGAGAGCTCTGAAACGATCGTGCAAGGGCACAGTGCCGCTCGTGTTGAGGAGAGCAGAGCGAAGGGCAGAGAGCTCGCTTGGCGAAACCGCATCCATCGAGGAGGATCGAGATGAAAGATAATTTGGCGCAGCGGACTTTTGATTTCATTTGCTAAACCTTGTTCTCATACATACCATGCCCAAGTCAAAACGTTCAAAAGTCGGCAAGTTCACCTCTTTGATGATCGTGATAAAGGCTGATGTTGTATTGTGTGGATAGTATCTCTTACAAAAGTCTCGAAAAAGACGAGGGAGCATAAAAATGTACTCTTGAGCGAGGTTAGTTTTTGTGGAATTTGTTCTTCCCTTTGGATGCATTTCTGCGGAGACAGACTGGTATCATAGATGATTGCAAGATGCTTTCTACGGCCTGGTGCCCTGCTTATGCGAGTGCTAAATGTTCTTTCATCCCAAGGTACAAAAAAATGCTGAAAAATGGAAATACTGCTGGCTGTTCGAAGTTGGCGCGATGCGCAATGCCCATCTAAAAACCGTGCGGAAACTATGGAAAGAGTATGACCCCGCTTCTTTTCCTGTCTACACCATCGACTCACGACCTGCAGTTCAGCACGGATATTCTTCGGTCGAGGAGCAGTAATGGCCAAAGCCCTAGGTACAACAGTAGAAGAAGAGCATCGAATGGGACTCCACAAACTAGCCCAAGTGAGCCACTATTTCCAAGCTCATCTCAGCCTAACAAAACATTTCAGCAAATAAAAGGCCAGGTAGGGTTGTTTTTCACGGACTCGGAACCTCAAGAAGTGATAGAGTGGTTCGACGATTTCAAACAAGCGGATTACGCACGAACGGGAAACAAAGCTACGCGGACGGTGATACTACCTGTAGGACCTGTGATGCGGGTACACTCTGACCCGCCTGAACCGTTTCCGCATAATGAGGACCCACAGCTCCGGAAGCTGGGTCTCACGACGTCGATGAAGCGGGGTGTACCGACGCTTGAAAGTCCTCATCAGGTGTGTGATAAGGGGAAGGCTTTGACGGGCGAGCAGGCGCAGCTGCTCAAACTTCTTGGTGAGAAGTTGGTGGTGTTTAGGGTTGGGTTGTTGGCAAGGTGGGATGCTGCCAGCGGGGAAGTTGTTCAAGTTGAGGGTAGATGTACGGAGATAGAACGGGAAGGTGATGAGGACCTTGAAGAGGATGAGGAGATGAGCGAGTAAGTTTCAACCGAGCGCTTTACCGTGAATACATCTTGATTTGATCGGGCATGAGGATGCTCTTTCAATTACAAACACGATCGATAGGACACGTATAGCCGCTCAATTGAGTTACGCTCACGAGTGACTAGTGACACCGTGACCTGCCTCATGACATTTATATTCGACATTTTGATTTTTGCAGGAGTCTGGACAGCAATCGAGGACTGGTTAACAACAAACATGTCCATATAGTACGTGCGTGATCCGAATTGATTCAGATTGATCAATTTCTTTCAGTGATCGCGCGCGATGAACGACTCGGAAGAACCAGTTTAAGCGAGAAGTTGTTCAAATTCTAGAGAAAAAGTTGTGTGGTCCTCGACTCTTTCAGGTCCTAGGCTATCTTCTTTTCTTCATGATGGCTACAAAGTCTGAGGCCTTTGATGATAGAAAGTCCGTAATTGACGCACCTCCCACGTACGACGAGGTCTCCCTGTCTGCATCACCGTTAGATTCCGTCCACTCCATCGGCAGACGGCCGAGTTTATTCTCCCTTCTACGGAAGAAGCAGAAACATCAAGGAATTCGAAAACCTCCTTTGGTAAATTGACGAAATTCCTCAAACTCGCATCAAAATCCAGGGAATTTCAGGAAATTCGGTAAATTACTCGTATTCGAAGTTATTTTAACAAATTTCATTATACTGCTCAGACGACACGAAGGTGCCAACTACGTGCACGGCAAGGAAAGGATTCACTATCGCGGTCAAAGATAACAGATTATAACATGAGGCAATGCAATCGCCAGAACGGAGCGCGATAGTAGTGGGGAGTCGCTACGTCAATGTGATCTCCAGCTTTACATGCAGGGTGCCATTGGAATCCAGCATAGTTTTGCTAACTACACGGTCATCAAAACAACTGCAAAACAAGATAGGAAAGATTTACTCGTTCATCAGCCAGTCAAAAGGCCAGAGGATCGAGGTGTATGTCCTTGATGCCATGGCGAATCTGCGTTACCGAAGGTGTCGTGAAACCATCAGTTTGCTTTGACTTGAAATGAACGCACACCATAGGTTTCATGATAGCCATTTTGTCAGGATGCGGTATTCGCATATCTTCGAGTGGGGTATTCCCACTGGGTGCCTGGATGACAAGCACAGGGGACTCTACATACGCCGGCAAACTATCCTCAGGAAGACTAAACGCGATGCGCCAATTCCCTTTCGCCATACGGAAATCCAACAACCATATGTGCCCTGCGAGGATCGACAATTGGATGAATCAGAACCAGGAATACCGAAAGGTATGGCTCGTACCCCCTGCAATAAATTATATTCCTAATGCCTGTGTTGGGTTCGCGCGCAGACGTTTCTGGAACATCCTGATGCTGAAGCAAGCAACAAACTCGTTCTTTTTAGGTGTATGCCCTGCGACAGAGTACACCTGTACCTCATCAGGCGGGCAGCCCAAAAAACGTCTCAGGGACTCGTCTTTAGCTACAACAAGATAATTAGTTAAAGTCGTGTGGGCACGAGTGTGAGCACTTACGATTGAAAACATCCTCTAACTTCAGCTGGGTAAACAATTCGTGGTCGCTAATTGCGATACAAGCCTGACGCAAGTCAGAGGAGCAAACGGGAGTGAATCGTGGGATAAATGCGGCAAGTGCTGAAAAGACTTCTCGCCCGTGATTGACGATTGACCAATACAGGGCTGTGTGACCTATGTCGGGTTCTTGCAGGAGGTGGGCGAACTGTGAAGGCGGAAGAGTAGCAGCACATGCGTTGGCTATTTTTGCGATAGAGGAAGGGGTGAGATTAGGGAGACCATATCACGGATGCATGATAGGACGATTGATCGTTTCTGCTTCTTCCGTAGAAAGGAGAATAAACTATGCCGTCTGCCGATGGAGTGGACAGAGTCTAATAGTGATGCAGACAGGGAGACCTCGTCGTACGTGGGAGGTGCGTCAATTACGGAGTTTCTATCATCGAAGGCCTCAGACTTGGTAGTCATCATGAAGGGGAAAGTAGAGAAGATAGGGGCCTGCTGATAATATTAATCAAGGTCATATTCAATGTCTCCACTACCCTCGTAATCAGTCCGTTTAGAGTCGTGTTACACACGCTGTCTTCCTCAGGATTTGCCAGTGGTTAAAATCTCGTTTCCGCAGTGAGTGTTCCTACGTCGGATTAGAACCAGAAACGGGTACTTCCCACTACTGTCACCTCGGGATTTGCATGATTTGCCACCTCTGATATTACATACGGTACGGTTATGTCGCCTTTTCGCACCTTGTCCGGACCTGATCAAATTCTCGTTTCCACACAGTGAGTGGTAAGCTAATCCAGTGATTGAACGCAGTAAATGATTCGCTCATGATCCTCGCAGATTTCTCTTTGTGATTCTTGCAGGTACTGCATCACCACTACGCGCAATGACTCAAGTGAAGCTGGTAGGAGTTCTTGTTTCCGTGGTGTAAATGTCATTTGACCTCAACCCATCGAACCAGTGCTCATTTCCTGAAGAGTTCAATAACTTGCGAGCGGCTGCAGGTCGCTTCTAGCCGCCCACTGCTCATCCTCATCAACCACGGCATATTCCAGGTTCGCATCATTTTGCTTTGTCAACGACAAATATTTGTTGTGTCTTCGGTTATTGACCAGTCGTTTTATATACATTTCCTGCCATTTCTGCTAGTTTATTTTATCGTCTCTAACAATATTTGTGGAAGAAGAACTGCCTGGTCACCGAGGTTTTTGGTATGTGGATCACTTATAGAATTGCCGAACTTGAAGAGTAATGGGAAGTATATAAAGACCTTGCCCTGGTATCAGCGTCTTGTATCCTAGCCCGCTGCCTTCCCTAGTGGCACAGAGTTGATGCCATTCAATTTCTCCGTTGCGTGTCCTGCAGTTGCGGCAGTCCTCGAATATCACTGAATTGGCCACCGTAGGACCGTAGGTGATGTCTGTTTCCATGCCATAGAAGACAGACGTCACGTACGGACGACCCGGCTGTCCCGGCTGCTGGCAGCAGTGATTTACCCTATGCAGAGTCTGATGCGCAACGTGGTTGTGATGGTGATGGGAACGCGCCCCCTGCTGCTCCTGCTGCTAGTGATGGTGGTAGTGGTACCACGCCGCGTACCAAGAGTGGTCCACAAGAGGTACCAGAGGATATAGTGCGTCCAGGAAGCTGCGTAGCACACGCATTTCTATTTGGTGAGTGCTCGTGACTCATCATGTCATGGAACTTGACCTAATAAACTATTAAATGCTTTAGTTTTCTTGACTATACACGGGATCAAGTCCTGGAAGCGGCTTGAAACGATCTTTACGAGCCATCATGAGTGGTCAGTGAGGGCATTTCTTTTCGCGAACCACTTTGGAAGTGGTTTGCAAAGAGAAATGCCCACTTGGGTGGACTAGCGCTCTTTTGTGCCATTCCCGCTGTAGCCTTTTTGACTGTCGCACCTCCAGCCGAATGGGACGTCCACTGGAAACAAGAAATTGCATACAGAACTTTCTTCCTCACGGTGATCTTTTCCGGTTATACCATGCTGAAAATATTAGATGCCAGGAGCCAGAGCATGGCAGCTCTGGTTCCTGGCATCTAATATTTTCAGTTTTGGCCCTGGATCAGTCAGGGTACATGACTATCAGTAATTCATATTTATTTTTTAATCCCATTTTCACAGCGAAAGTGACGATTCGTCTTCATACCGTATATATCATTTCTAGTGCTTCAGTCTCAAGTTGTCAACAGATCCTTTCTACCATCGCCTCTATAATTTCCTTCATTGTGGGAATGTTGGTTTCGCTGTGGGACCACACAGGGCGCCATCTTCCTTTCCAGATAGTATCAACAAGCAAAAGAATCGCTGGGGATGATCCCCAGCGATTCTTTTGCTTGTTATCACTATCTTATATCACTTCAAATTATAAGTCACTCCAGTTGTAGGTATCAGTGATCAGTGATACATTATCTTGTACTCAGACGTTCTGCTTTTGTAATTCTTGGTATTGCCGCTGACACAGCAAGTCCCGGACTCCCTTTGGCTCGTAAGACGCACACCAAATTATGTCTTCAAGTAATTATCCTCTGTTGAACTCATTCAGGCTCGTCTAAGCTTTCCACTCACCAAGAATGTTCCAATGGCGAAAATCGCACTCAAATGATCATGGAGTTCGATATGGCCTGTGATGTGAGAGTCAGTCCTTTACTAGTTCATGCCCCCACTGGTTGCCTTTCCAGCGAGCCATCGAGTCCCACTCCAGCATGAGCATCTGCGCCCCGTCGTCTGTGACATTTCACCAGAGATGGGGGCACATCGCACCGCATGGCTCTCCCAGGAACTTCGTTCGTGGTCCTCTCCACGCTGAAGATGGACTTCTCAGTACACCCAACGCTCGGGCACATCAGGCATTTGACTGTAGTATGACAAAGCTTTAGTTCTTTATGTCCCCTGGCCGCTGCCCCATCCTGTAGTCTGTCGATGTTGTCAAGCGTGGCGACATAAATTCCGAGGGCATCTGACAAACTTCCCCCGGCTCTGAGAGACGGTGACTAAGGGAGGGTTTCTTGGAGGGCCAGAATGGTGTCCGGCTTGCCATTTTGACGTCGTTGATATTGGTCAACGAGCTCGTTGCATCTCTCGACGCAATTCTGGTCAGTAAGCTGGACTGCTTCAACTGACGATATTGAGATGGGCTGGTCGCATGACTAGACATAGGAGATTTTGATGTGAACAAAGTGATTCAATTAAATTGACGCAAAAGTTAATTCTGGCAAGACGACGAGAGAAAGTCAGAAACAGACGACAAAACTATTGCCCTAGAGCACTCACCTAGCAAGACGACGGGAGAAGTCGGAAAGAGGCGATAAACCTCTTCGCTCGTCGTCTGCCAGGCCAAAGACTTATAACATGAAGCAATGAAATTGACAGAATAAAAACTAGAAACACATGAGCCAGAACGGAATACTAGGAGTCGCTACGTTAATGTGATCTCCAGCTTTACATGCAGGGTGCCATCACAATCCAGCATGTTCGTGCTGACAACATGGTCATCAGAACAACTGCAAAATAAGATAAGAAAGAGTTGCTCGTTCATGAGCCAGTTCAAAGGCCAATAGATATTGTAGAAGCAGCTTGTTGATGTCGTGTAGGATCTGCATTACCGACAGTGGAAAGATGAAAACCACTAGTATGCTTTGACTTGAAATGAACGCACCCCATAGGTACCGCGGTAAACGTTTTGAAAGCATGCGGTATTCGCATATCTTTGAGTGGAGTTTTCCGCTGGGTGCCTGGACGACAAGCGCACAGGAGTCTACACACGCCGGTAAACTATCGTCAGAAACACTAAGCAAAATGCACCGCTGTTCTTTCTTCATACAGGACATCAATAACCATGTGTGCCCTGCGAGGACCGACAATTGGATGAATCAGAACCAGGAATACCGAGAGGTATGGCTCGTACCCCCTGCAATAAATTCTATGCCCAATTCCTGTGTTAGATTCGCGCGCAGGCGTTTTCTGGAACATCCTGATGCAGAAGCAAGCAACAAACTCGTTTTTGTTGGGTGTATGCCCTGCGACAGATTGCACCTGCACCTCATCAGGCGGACAGCCCAGAAAACGCCTCAAAGACTCGTCCTCGGCTACAACAAGATAATTAGTTAAAGCATTGCGGGCACGAATATGAGCACTTACGATTGACAACATGCCCCAACTTCAACTGGGTAAACAATTCGTGGTCTCTAGTTGCGATACAGGCCAGACGCAAGCCGGAAGAGCAAACGGGAGTGAATTGCGGGACGAATGTGGCAAGTGCGGAAAAGGCTTCTCGCCCGTGATTGACGATTGACCAATAGAGGGCTGTGTGACCCTCTATGTTGGGTTTTTGGAGGAGGCGGGCGAACTGTGCGGGCGTAAGAGTGGCAGCACACGCGTTGGCTATTTTTGCGATTGAGGAAGGAGTGGAATCAGGAGCGGAGACTATATGACGGATGCATGATAGAACGTTCTGTTTCTTCCTTAGAAAGGAGAATAAAGTTGGTCGGAGTGAATCCAAGGGTGACACGATGCCATCGTACGGAGGAGGTATATCAATCTCAGACATGTTAGAGAAGATAAGATAGGGGACTATCCACGATTTTTTTTCTAAAACCTGAATTTAAAATTCCAGCGTGCGCCGTTAGCGTCCCACCTTTCGCAAACCTTTCGGTTGAGGACATTGCTCTAGGAGCCTCGAGGACATATCTCGAAGACTATCTCGAAGACTGTCTCGTCAATACCACGTCGCATCCCACCGAAAGAGAGGACAGTTTGGACCAGGGTCAGGGACTGCTTGCTGTCGGACAGGAACGTGATTTTCTTATCTGGGTACTCGCTGTGTGGCGGGCAGTGACTGGTGTAACGCTATTGGCTGATAAATCTGTATGACGTCGGTCACTAGCTGTGTTAAGAACGGGTCTCTCAATTATTTGAACAAGCAAAATGTTGTCCCCGTTCCCTATATTCCTCAGATCTGCTACTACTGCTACTTCGTCGCCGTCGACTACGACGACGATGAACGATAATAGTGATAATTTATCCGATATTATTGATCTATTTCCATATACCGCTCCAACTTATGAACCACCACCTAGTAGACCACCAAGGAATCCAGATAGATTGAAGAATGAATATATACCAGTGAGATCGTTGAACTGACACACTCACACTCACTCATAATTCTCTAGTTTATAGATCGAAGAGCTCCTCCTCGCTTTCCGCCACCAACTTCCCCTCTTCCTCCATTACCACCAGATTCAGTAACTCCATCTCAGCAACTTAATAAACTACCACAACCAATGTACCCAACGCCAGGCGGTCTCTCCCCCTGGAGTGCACCCTCATACCCATCAAAACCTATTCCAACATCTCCCTCTTCTTCTCTACCACAATCAGCCTTCATACTACGTGGTCCAGTTGGTGTACTACCCCTTTCACGTGCAGCTCCAGGCGCTCCTACTACCAAAGTACGTCCGCTGCGCACAACCTCATCACTTATCCTTATTTTCAATCACAGCAGATACCCAACTCACCAAGAGCCGAAGACAACTTCTCCCCTTCCGATGCTGCCCTCGTGCTCAACGTCCATGGCGGCATCGATACCTCGAGTAGGCTCCACCACCGTTTCAGGCGCCATCAAGTCCCTTATCCTAGAAATTATGAACGAAACGTCTTAGATCTGTACGTGTCCATCTCCTTCCTTTACCTACACTCATATCTATCCAGAGACGCCGTCGACACCCTCCTAACCCGCCAAATGAGCGGCGGTTCCTTGACTTGGCATGTATTCCCGCCATCCTGGAACAAACCACCACCGGATGTTCCTCTAAAGAGAATATTGGATATAGGCTCCGGTAACGGCGTATGGGTAGTCGAAGCTGCCAAGCACTGGAAAGGCTGTGAAGTCGTCGGTCAGCTCCACTCGCTGTTACTGCGGAGTACCGCTAACAACTTGCAGGTCTTGATGTCGTATCTCTCCACCCTGACCTCGTCCGTCTCTCCAGAGACAAGGACCTTTTGAAGAGAGTAAGCTGGGTCCAAGCCAATTTGTAGGTCCACCTACCTAGTCCTTATCTCACTCTCATCCTTGACCCGCACAGCCTCGAAGGCCTTCCGTTCGCAAACGATTCTTTCGATTTCGTGCACATCAAACGTATCGCTCGAGGCGTACCAGAGGACAAGGTGCGTCTGTGTCTCCTCCATCATACTAGGCTAACACCGCATAGTGGGACGACCTCTTCGAAGAAATCACCCGCGTAATGAAACCAGGCGCAGCATTCGAAGTCGTCGAAGAAGACTTGACCTTCCCGGGGCGGTCAGATGGCGAAGGCAGCGAAGTTGGGACCTTGAGAAGTAAAGAAAGCAACATCTCCATCTCCAGTCTAAGCCCCGGGACCGAATCGGGGAGGGACAGCGCGAGCAGCTCGTCGGACTCTGCGGGTTCCGTGAGTGCTGTTACCACTCCTGATTCTATACCCTCTATCTCTATCAACACTCACCCCCATCGTTCAAACGTCGAGGACCCTTCCGATCCTAAACCCGAACGCGAATACCCAACTATATCCATCTCCCTCCCTACCAACAGCCTCTCCATGGCTTCGAACAATACCCACGCCAACGCGTTCATCCATCGTTCTTTGCGCCGGCATCCCTCTGGCAATATATCCCACGAGACGCTGACTCTTGCAAGGCCGAGCACAACTTCTCCTTCGAGTCCCTCTTCCCAACCGTCCCCCCCTCTTCCCTCTTCTCAACAGCCCCTTCCGAGCCCCTCGCAGCCATTCCCTTCTTCCTCCTCGCAGAGCACGTTCTTTTCCTTCTCCTCAAACAGCAGCACACCAACGCCAAGCACGATGAACCAAACCCTAACGCCTTCACTGACCCCTCGTCCACCACCATCCCATAAATTCAACAAGGCTGCACAGGCTGTGTTGATGGAACCTACGCATACCCCCTTTTTCGTCGGCTTGGGGTCCGTCACTGCGTCTGGTTCTTCTGGTTCTAGTTCTGCCAGTATCTCCGGTTCCGTTACTGGTTCTGGTTCTCTCTTCGCCTCTGGGTCCAGCTTCGGCACTAGTCCTAGCTCAGGAAATGGAACCGGAACGAGTTCAACATCAAGCTCAGGTTCACCCCCAGTGCCACAAAAAAGGAATAAAGCAGCGCAGGCGGTGCTGATGGAGCCTACTACTACCCCCTTTTTCGTGTTGCCGCAGAATAAGAGCCGGGTTTCGTTGATGGGAGAGACTTCTAGTTCGGGCTCTAGCAGTGGGAGGGATAGTCATATTGGGAGGGGCAGGAGTAGAGGTTCGTTGGGGAGTCGAGTGAGCGTTGGCTTGGGGAACCTGGGATTCGGTGCCAGGAGCAATGTGGGCGTTGTGAGTCCGAGTTCGAGTTCGAGGGTGTTGGAAGATGAACTGGGTGAAGGGACAGAGGCACAGTTTCCTGTGGGTACGCCGCCGGATTCGCGGGGTGGCACGGCGCTTGATTCTGGGAGCGTCGTATCACCGCCATTGGATGCGCGAGGTATCGTACCACTCGATTCACGAGGTGTCGTACCGCCTGATCCGCGAGGCGTCATACCGCCGGATCCTCGTGACCATTCGGTCCTCGAGACGATCTACAACGAGATGCACTCGGAACGGTTCATTAACCTTTCTCCATTGAGTTTGTTGGCTAATACGGTGGGGTTATGGTTCAAGGGTGAGTGCTTGTCGTTTATTCCATCGTTTTCGGGTGGGGCAGATGTTGATAAGGGTGGGATCACGGAGGGTGCCCTACTCCAAGTCGGGTGGGCCTATATATCAGGCCTATCCTAAACGTCCAACCTATCATTTCTATTTCTCTGCGCATAAGCGGTGTCAGGGTTTGAGCTAACTGGGATGTGTAGACGTTCGCACGCACCCGCCAATTCTGTTGCGTTTCCCACCGATGAGGCAACCTGAGGGCGCGAATACGCTGCTTTCGGCATCAGGTTCGGGTGTGGGTGTGGGTTCGTGCAGCGTTGGGTCTGCCGCTGGTGCCAACGGGAATACCTACTCGAAGAACACGATCGTCTCACTGGACGGTCTGAGTAACGGCGCATCACCTTACGCCTCCCTTGATTCCGCGATCTCTACTCAACGACAGACACAAATGCGGGCTCTGCCGAACCCCGCGTTAGATGTCGACCTGAAGTTTTTGAACCTTCATCTAGCGCTGCGCGTGAAAGAGATCGTAGCATGCGCAGAAGCGATGTGGGAGTGGGTAAGCGAGTTTCAGACGAATGGCATGGGGAGGAAGAATTTGACGGATGGTATGTATACCAAGATCATGGGGTTGACGAGGTCGCAGTTTGATGAGCTGTTGTTGAGGTTCGAGCTGTGAGTACTCTTCTCTCTGCGGATTTGTGTGTTTTTCATCGGTATCTATGATGCTTATCATTTTTTGGATTCTTGATGGCGAGACCTTGTGGTGGCGTGGAATCGCCTTTTTTTGCTGGCTTCGTGGGGAGCAAAGCAACTGGATGATACACGTTTGGAAAGTTCAGCCTGCGGGCCCCTGATAGGGGCATCGATTCTAAACGGGGAAAAGTCCAGGGATGATTCTATCCCTGCTTCTTCTTCTGATCACCCAAACAAATTATTTTTGATCTCGTGTTCGCGACAAGATGATCTAATCAACTTCTGTTGTTACAGGGATATGAGGGAACACATGGGACTCGGATCTGTACTCGAGGACCGGTTCAACTGGAGTATGATCTCGGGACCGACACCTCAGGAAAAGCGGTCGTTTGACACGGCGTGCGAGAAATGGGAGGGGTATCGGAGGCTTGGGGGTGGGAGTGGTGATCGAACCCCTTGCGCCGTCGCCGTCGCCGCTCCGCACCCCGCTACGCGTCTGAGCCGTTCATTACGAGTCTTCGTCGCATGGAAGCCTACAGCATGAGACGATGATGATGATGATGATGATGATGATCGGCGCTTGCAGCCGGATCTTGGACCATGAGGCAGTGGCGAAGCCTCGTTTCAGTGTTCAAGCTAATTTCCTAATGTGGAAAATTCAAGGTTCCGTGCTGTTAGGGCTGGTCCTTGTCTTTTTTTTTTTTTTTTCATTATATCGCCATACCTTGCGAAGGATTGGTGTCCTTGGCTTCCATTCCTGGCTGCATTTGGGATTGGGAGTAAAGGGGAGATATGAAATTACTTTTTTTGGGAGGATCAGCTGAGTTTCCTGGTGGCGTTCCCTTCGTATTCGTTGTCCTCGGCTTGTTCAAGGGGAGGAAAATAGCGTTGTTCGCCAGCGTTGCAAAACCCTGATTCTTGGATCTGTCGCCGACTTGTCATTTCCGCTGCATCATCCCCGCATTCCCCCTCTACCACCGAACGGCAGGTTATTCGCGCATGTGGTCGACGCATGTCTTGTATACCATTTCTAGGCGGACTGCGGTCTCGGCACCGTTGAGACATCTTATTATTATTATTTGTTGTAGATGTATTTTTGATCTTTTACGTGTCCAGTGTAGCACTAGTTGACATGATGTTATCTGTGGCGTTGAAACTGTCCTATCGGTCTCAGGTACTTACTTTGTACGTAACCGGGGATGGTTGAAAGACCCTTCCTTCCCCGCGTCATTCCTACGTAAAAAGTCAAAAAAGGTTTATATATGAGAAGATAAGGTCCAAGGGTCTGACTCATGAAACCAAGGCACCAGAATTGTGGCGGTTCTTAAGCTTAAGTTTGGAATCTTGCTGCGTGTCCACTGGGCGGCCCCTGTTGTAATTCAAGAACGTGTGTACGCAGCGATCGTGGGTGGCTATTTGCAAAAAAAAGGGCTAGGTAGCTCCTGGCCAGAGGTCGCCGTAGTGAGATTGGAGCGATGATGGGACTTAGCCGTTGACGTCGCTGGTGAGATCGTGAAAGGGTGGAGTAACGTGCAAGCACCAACCAACGTTGCGTCGATCATCGCGTGTCGGAGCGAAGTTCCATTTCAAAAGGGACCGATTCCGCTTATCTAGAGTCCGTCCATGGAGAGAGCGCGCATCGCGACCTCGGGTCAATCACTACTTCCATTTCTGAAAATAATAGACTCCGCGACGACGAGTCCAAATACCGCTCGTCCAAAATATCTACTAGAGGGTCGATCGGAACGAGAAAGGAAAAAGAAAGAAATCGAATCGCGTGCGACAATGACTGTGTACATGGACAGAAATGTACATGCCGCACCCGTTTCGTTGAACCTCGCCGCGGGTTTTATTTTTCATGGAAAATCACTGCCTTTGTATGAACTGGTAATATCACAAATGCGAGTCGTGTATGGACCGAAACGAGTACGAGCACTTTTAACGCCAACCACATGATAAACATCCAAAATACTGAATGAGGATAGGGGAAAGAAATATGGATAAGCAGGTGGGAAATGAGAAGGAAAGCACATTGATCAATTATTTGTACAATTTCAGCCGAAATAGCTGTGTGTAACTAACAGCAAAGAAGCTGAACGAAGAAGTGGAAGCATGCAGAGTAGTAAGAAAAGCATAAAACAACCCAGTTTGGACGGACAAGAAAGTTTATCATGCATGAAAGAAAGCACGCGTCGTTATTCGTATCATCATCTTCGACCATAATGGCCACCCTGACTAACCGGCGGCGGCGGCGCCCAATGCGAGTGCTGCGCGGCAGCAGCAGCCAAACCACCTAATGGTTGACCTCCCTGACCTCCAGGGCCACCAGGTCCAGGGTATGAGTAGGTACCTGGAGGGGGTAACCCCATGTGGCCGCCGTACATGCCAGGGTCTGTTGGACTTCCAGCATGACCGCCACCAGGTGCATGATGCCCATGATGTTGGGCATGAGCGTATCCTCCAGTTGGGGACGTTCCGTACTGAGGAGATTGAGGCACTTGCGAATGTTGCTGTTGAGGACTCGTCGGAGAGCCAAGAGATATTTGCGGTGGGGGTGGCGCCTGTGGCTGCTGGTGTTGAGAGGCAGCGGGAATAGAAAGGGGAGGAGGAATAGTGCTATTTGGGGTCTGCGGGGATCCAGGACCGGCACGACCGGGCCCACTGCCAGTTGTAGACGGACGACGACGACGCTTGTCTCCGGCTGCGGCTGCGCGATTACCGCGAGCGGCCTCCTCGTCACCTTCATCGTCACCGTCCTCCTTCGTGGCGCTTTGAGGGCCACCAACAGGACCACCCGGAATAGTAAGGCCTCCTGGAAGGTTAGTGCTTCCAGGACCAGGTAAAGACATTGGTCCAGACGCACGACCTATAGGTGTACCAACTGGCATTGCAGAAGGAAGCGAGCCATGTGGAGCATTCAGACATGCTTGAATAAGATTCTTGCCCTCTGGTTGAGTGACAAGCGGTTGCAGCTTTGAAGTCGTAAAGGTGTAAACGAGACCTGTTTCTGACACGACAAGTAAAAGGACCTGAGTGCCTGTAAGTGTAGAAAGTTCATACGCCTAATAAATCGGTTAGATAAGCGAAAGAGTATAATGATGAAATAAACCTTTTTCATGATGCCTGCGAAAGTAGACGAACGTATTGAGGAAAAGTACAGAGAGGGCAAAGAAAGTCGATCGCGTACCAGCTTTCCTTTTGGAGAATGTTATGTGACGTCTCGATTTATCTTGAATAAATTCGATCTTAATCTTTCGCCTTCCTGCCTTCTTGTCAGACTTGGGTTTCTCCTCTTCATCATCGTCGTCTCCACCGCTCTCGGCAGCATCCTGATCATGAATGAAACCATCTTCTGGTACGCCTGGTTGTTGTACTGGTTGTGGGATATGTTGGTGCGGTTGTTGATTACCAGGTGGCGGTGGTTGTTGAGGATCCGCAATGACAGGATTTGCCAAATTGAGGTCCGTGCGTTGGCGCTTACGCATTGTTGGAGAGGATGCGGCGGGGTCGTCTTGTTGAATAGTCTGACCGGAAAGGGAAGGTTGTTGGCTGTGATGAGCCGCGGCGTTGGAATACGGATAAGATGGAGAGGTTGTGGTAGTGGAAGTAGGTTGACGGCGATAGGCCATATGGGTTGTTCACCCAACGACGACGATGAAGAGGACGCGTTGAAATAAAGGATAATATGAACGTTGAACGCGACTTGGAGGATGTTCTAGTGTCAGTGCGGACGGCGTCCTTAAAAGGAATCGCTGAAGTTGGAAGGAGGTGGAAAAGGGAGGGAGTTGTCAACGGGGCGTGTGTTGTCTCAGTCTGGACGATCAAAAAAAGACTGTCCTTGTGGTCATTTGTTTGGTCATAATCGGAGTATCAGATGCCCGCCAGGCACACCGCGGTAATCCCCGCCGACTACTTCCAGCGATACTTCCGCAGCTATCGCTCCCACGATACCCGCTTCCGTAATTATTTCACTTTCAATTTGGAATTACTATCCCTTTTATAGAAATGATTACCTCGTGGCAATCTCAAACCTATCCATTTTAGTAAAACATGACAAACCTCGTGTCACTAATTTCATTCTCCGCATCATCCAATCATTGACGTGACAACCAAATACTTTGATTATAATATAATCCTCAATACAAATTATCAAACAAGTCCAAGCCTCATCCAAGTACTTCAGGTGCCCATGCCCCTGTGGCGCTAAGCGCTCTTGTCCTTTGCCCTGTACAATTTTGACATTCGAATCATCTTGGACAATGGTCTCTTGAAGTTTTCATGGTCTTCATCATCTGTCGAAGTCGGCCCGCATTGTCGGTCACATACTGATGGTTGGAACGTGTCACGACGTTGTTGATGGAACGACCGGAATGCCAAGTCCTGATAGCGCGCTTCTGACACGCTCGTCAATATTTCTGGCGCTGCTACCGAGCCGAACCCGTTCAAGGGCAATTTCGATAGCTCGTACGTCGCACCGATTACGCCAAGGTTGCGGCAATACTCCGTGCACGTACGCCGCTACGTCTGCGTCTAGTGTGATGAGTAAACACAAGACGTATTCACAACGAATAATCCATCAGTCAGCTCAAAATTAAAGACATAAAGCATACGTACCACTCGGCTCGCTCACGAGTCGGCTCAGATGCAGATCGTTACAGTCTTTGTCGCGACAAACACCCCCACCAGGCACTTCGTACTGACATACCCGAACACCCGAGTCGCTAGCACTGACTTGTCCAAGGGCGCGCTGCAAGCTTGCAAGCTTCAAAGGCTTGAGATCTGGAACAAAAACAGTCGAACATGAATGAGATAATGATGGTGCACAGTAGATAAGCGAAGCGCGTGATGAGGGTGATGATAAATTAGGTGCATAGCTCGCACTGGCTCGCGATGATGATCTGGATGAATGAGTGGCAGTTCGCCGAGGATCTTGACAAGAATCGGCGTCATCAAAAGGCGTTGCACGTAATTGGGAGAGAAGTAGAGGGTAGGTCGAGAATGGCGAATCATAATACGGAAAGCTCGTTTGAGAATCTTGCGATTCCTTCTTCGGGACCTGGCATGCCACGCCACCCCCGACGTCAGCATAGATAGGCCTAAATAGGCCTTACAGCCTCAGTGATCGAATAGATCAAGACGCACCTTTGACGACGGTAGGCCATCAAACACGCCAGCAGTTTCATGAAACGTTGCGCTTACAGATTCCTATATCCAATTCCGGAATCACAAATGCGGAAAGGAAACAGAAAATTAAAGTCAGGACATAAAACACAGTCGAATGAAGAGAGAGAAAGGTCCTTGCCCATTTTTCGGAACGTGCTTCCTCTGTCAGTGCTGCAAAAGCAAACAAGGTATTAATGTAACGAACGGATGGGAGTGATGAGGTCAACGCGACCGCGGAGAAGTGAGGACATGCTCAACCAAGGCAATGAGTTACGAACCTTGGTCTTCGTCGACGGTGCCATCATTAGTGATTGGCTCGAATCCTACACCCCCTGAGTAGACCCAAGTAGTAATGGCGAGGATCAAAAATGAAAAGAGTGACCAGGAAAGGAAATGAATGAACAGTAAAGATGATCACACAATGAAGTATAAAGTGAAAAAAAAATTACAACAGTCAAGACCCAGAGGGGGGACAAACAAAGAGATATATCAGCCGGCTGTCGGACTGGTGAAGAACCAGGAAGAACCCATGGTGTGCTTGATTGAGGTTATTTCGCTGCTGGTGCCACCAGGAGCAGCTTCCTCAGCGGAAATGACCACACGAATATCGTTGCTTTCTTGGACAGCTGTCGTCGGTTCAGTGTGATCTACAGACCCACAATAAGCACCAGGTATACCGATGTGAGAAAAGGAAAGAGAGTGGAAATCAAGGGTAGACGCGGTATATACTCAAAAATAGATCGCAGTTGAAATGCAATGAAATCAATGCCACGACATAACAACGCCATACGAAGACCACACGGGTAGAGGGCGATAAAGACCAAAGCTAACCTTGCGTATCTGCTATAACAGCATCTTCAGCAGCTTCAGACAATTGCGCACCCCCAATGTAGCCATTATGAAGGGGTGTGGCGGTGTCCTCCTGGTTGATTGGCGCTCCAGAATCACCTTCCGACCTAACCATGGCGGTGCTCGAAGAAGGTACAGCAAGATCGGCTGTAACAGGCCCTGCGGATGTAGGTTGGATCGCCGGCGTTCCTTTCCCCGACATCTGAAACGTTGGTAAATCATTTTACGAAGGTCAAGGTGACACAAGGGGAACGCACAGCGGCAAGTTTTTTCTGCCGAAGCTCTTCTCGCTGAGCAATCATTTGGCGCATCTTTTTGATCTCCTCCTCTTTCTCAACGAGAGCAGCAGGCGACATACCCGAAGCGTTGGAGTTGGTTAGATGTAGATTTAGGGGAGTCGAACGCCCTTCGCCATTAGCGAAACTATTGGACGAAATTGGCGTCCCATTTCCACTAAAACGTGGGGGACGCGCGAAGACCATCGGCGAGTATGATGATAGACCAGTCGTGTGGACCGGTACCACCAGTCCCTTCGCCATCTCCATCATCCTCGCTATCGCTGAGTTCGATGACACATCGTCGCATGCCACTCACTCCCGCAAAACTCCCTGTGTTCCGTCGAAGTAGATTAGGATGCGTGTAGCCATTACTCGAATAACCATTGCCAGAAGAAGCTCTGGAAGTACCAGGACCGTGGTCAAAGTCAACAAAGTCTGCAGCGACTGGTCGCTTGGTACCCCTTCGTTGTAGGCCATTGGTGTCATGGTCTGGAGTAGCAGATGCGAGTATTGGAGTGGTAGAATTAGAGTAATCAGCCGGCGCGGTGGATGAAGATGCGCCAGAATACGTATCAGAGGATGGTGCAGTGGAACTGCCGGACAAAGGAGGGGCATCAGTCACCGGCGAAATAGTACCGCCTGCTCCAGACATTTCTGAATCAGCTGAATAGAAAGCAGATGGTTCCGCAGAAGAGGCCGATTGCGGAGTAACAAGACCTAGGAACGCCTGATCAACTTCCATGTGTTCAGGGCTGGAGTACCGCGCCGGGCGCAAGGATGGAGAATTACTACCATTTTCCGCAGTTTCGCTGTCCACGGCAGGAATGCTCTTTAAAAAATCTTCAACAGTCTCAGTTGGAGCAACATAGGACATTTCAACGTCCCTGTCTCTCGAAGATGAACCGCCAGGGGAATCGGACTGCTTGGCCTTGCGAGAAGCGAAAACAGCTTTTCGAGCAAGTAACTCTTGTCGTCGTTGCTGTTCGATCATGTGGAGAGAAGATGACGAGTCAGCTGCTGATGGGGATGTGGGCTCCACCTTCACGACAGTGGGCTCACCCCCTGACGATATACGGAGGCCAAGACGAGTAGCGAGTCTGCCACGTGAGTGATCAGAAGCAGCCGGGCTAGTCAACTCTTTGTGAGAAGGGATTGTCGGCGGTGGGGGCATCGCCGAAGAGGAGGAGTGAATTGATTGCGAAGGTGAAGCGGGAATGGAGGACAGCATTTCAGGCGTAGGGTATGGAATGAGACCATTTGTATCCAAATTTGTGGGCATCCGCAAATTAAGTTCAGTGAAAACGTAGAACACGACGTGACGGCTAAGGCCACAGTCGATGAGGTACTCGGGGGGAACACCCCAACCGAGCAGATCCAAGACAATGTCTTTTGCGGTATTATACTGATCCTCTGACACTATATTACAAGAGTAAAAATGATTAGTTAACGTCATCAATGAAAAGCCAATACGAACTGGCCAGCCCTGGCCTGACATGATCTGGGTCAAGTCTATACGTGGAAGTTTCGAGAATAAATGGTTGCAGGAGATTTGGTGGTGGCGACTGGTAGATTTCTGATTCGAAGGCAGGTTTTGACGTGAAAGGAGAATCGAGGCGAGGTGAAGGCCTGTGTCTGATATTTGACTCGACTGGAGAGGTAGGAACAAGTTTGGAAGCGACGGTGTCCTTCGAGGAAGTTTCGAGCCTCCGAAATTTTGGAGGCGGGGACGTAGGCCTTGGCGGCGGGGCGGCTTCTTCGGTATCGCTGATTTCACCTTCCTCTCGGATCTGACCATCTTCAATTTCTGGTATCGGATTAGGAACCTCCCCTGATGTCGATGGAGTCCTTATTTCTGTCCCGGGAAAATTTACAGAAAGCGCTGAGGATGTAGCAGTATCTTCTTGACCGTAATCTAAGTGCAGAGTCTGCTCGACCGCAGGGCGTTGAGGCAGTACCGGCGGTTGTTCAACAGCCACTTTACGGCGCTTTCTTGAAAGCAAAGCGGCTGCGCGCAATGACTGGGCGGGATCAACTGAGTCAAGATCCTGTGGTGGTGGTGGATTGTCGATATCCATAATAGTGACTTGGACCTGCGAAAGAAGCTAAAAGACTAACGATTTCCTGATTGCTGATTGCAGTAGAAGAAGATGCTGCAAGTTCAAGAAAAGGTGTAAGTAATTGATGGGAATGTAGGCGCAAGGGGACCAACCCACAACTTTCGGTGGCGCGGTGTTTTTGCTGACGTGAGCGACATAAAACGCACGGACCCCCCACTCTTTTCTCACTCGAGTCCACTGAAATATATAAAGTGTTTAACTTGTTGAAAGTATACCTATTATTTTACATAATACCATGGACCTCATATACTTGCGTACTCGGACTGCCTCGCCGTCAATTCGAAGGCTGAAATCAATTGTGACGACCATTGGTATTAATAACTTATATCACATTTCTCCAGGAGGGGGGGTAAGCTCCCTGTGCAAATTAGTACCTACCGCGACGTCTGTCACGCCAATCCCCCCGGCGAACAATTGCAAGAGCTATTCTGATCACTGCCCACTGCCCAGCGATGTTCAAATTTCGCAGTGACCTTTGGTGCGGGCTTGGGGTTAGGGTTATACAAATAGAAAGAACCCGATATTACATATTAATATTTTCGCAAGTCCTTACTTCATGCCTCTCGACGGACACGGCTACCTGACATCGTACGGATGGTCAGGCAAAGGCACGGGCCTTCGCACGGGTGCTATCGACAGGCCCCTTGCTATCCCCCAAAAACGAAACCTCGCCGGCGTAGGCAAGGATCGTGACGAGGCATTCCCGTTCTGGGATCAGTGCGTTTTCTCCCATTCAAATTCTCCAATACCTCATCCATTCAAAGCTTATATTCAGCTGCCACGAAAGCTATCACCATCAAGATAGCAGATGATGATGACAACGATGTCGACGACGATCAAAACGAGGTCTGCACTTGTATTTCATACCGCGCGATCACCCGCTCACCGCATGATCAGGATTCATCAGAGTCCACGACCCTTCAACTAAAACGAACCACGACTGGCATCATCTCGAATAGAAGACCGTTGTCGGGTACCCCTGCAACCGGAACATCTACCCCAGACTCAGACAGTTACCCACGTATCTCTGTAATGACCATTGCGAAACGTGAGGCTGCAAGAATGGGCTTATATTCTCGATTTTTCCGAGGGCCAACATTGGCCCCTGATGATCCTAGCAAATTGTCATCATCCCCTTCCCCGTCCCCCCTGCATTCTGCTGATTCAACTTCCGAAAGAAATATCGCTCCTCTGACTGACGTCCCAAGCCGGAAGGAAAGTACAAAGCGGAAATCAACAGACCTGCTCGAGACCCGAGAGCAACGGAGAGAAAGAAAACGACTAAAACGGGAGAAAAAGGAGAAGAGAGCAGCGAAGAGAGCAGCAAAAGCTAAAAAAGAAAAGCCCGTACTACACAACCTCGAGACGAAGGACGAGCGCAGGGCGCGGAAAGAAGCCAAGAGGGCTATGAAAAATTTGGAGGGAAATTCTCCTGATATTGCAGAACGTCGAAAACTACCTGGAGATGTGGTCTTTACGAGCCTCGACCAGCCTCGATCACAGGGACATTGCAAAAGATCCATAAATACTTCTCCTCAGGGTGACGATCCTGCGACCAAGGACGACATAGACACAAAGAAGAGGAAAAAGAAGGGAGAAAAGAAAGATCCATAATTTAGCATTTCGTCCTATCATTATCGATGTTATCGCAGGTTTATACCATTACATTGTCATTCGAGTATTTCTCGTAGTAAACATATTAAAATCTGTATTCCATTATTGTACAGAATGCGTGATGATCTGAATGACTTGGTGGGTCCGAGAATCCTGTTTAGTTTTTGTGGTCTTATGACGAATTTCGACGCGCTCTCGAGCCTTTTGGTGTCACTCAACTTCGACATTGTTTGATGCAATTAGGTATGCGCCGTATCCAAGATCACAAATGTGTTCTGATTGAGCGTTTAGTATCTCCCTGAGCACTGTGCATTGATAGCACAAAACAAGTACTAGTACTGAGGATATCTATGGTACTTCCGTCCCGACTCCTATATAGACTTTGGATCGATACGAAATAATGGTGACGTCATGTGTTATGTAAGACTCCTCGCACATATTTATTGCGAACTGACCTCCTAGAGGGGACCCTAACATTAATGACTCGGATAGACAGAACAGATTCAACTTGCGAGCCGAAGGATTCCACGAGCTCTACACTTTACATGGCTGGGGTGCGTAATCTACTGTTGCATGTCAATATTCCGTCACTGACCTCCCTCGCTTCGATAGGGGGATTGTACTTCCGAGGTAAGACTTTGCACCATCGCACGATGAAATTTACCCTGAACCGACTTCCGGGGCCCTCCCATCGATAGACAGAACTCGCACTCACGGACCCAACTGGCAAGCTGAAAGATCCCATGAACTCCACACTCAACCAGGTTAGGGCGTGTAACTCATTGTATGTTATTTCGTCGCTGACCTTCCTTGCCCTCCACAGGGAGATTCCGTTCCTAAGGTAGGACTTTGCAGATGTTGTGAATAATTTTCTGACTTATTGAATGCAGGAGGGGCTCAAGGTTCCCAGAGGAGGCTGGACCGACATGATTTTTGGTCCTGCAATCAAACAAATTCTCTCGGACTACATCAACGAGCCGGATCCTGACACCATTGAGGACATTTTGCGACATTCCAATGCCGAAGATTATGTGTTTTCCTGCAAGGGAGAGTTTTATGTTTGCAATTGCATAAGCGACGGGATATTTTTGATACTCGAGCCGAAGATATGATGAAGTTACGCCTAAAGGAGCTAGTGTTTTCTGACATGGATTCGGACAGTGAGTGTGTCAGTGGTAACGCTATCTACATACCAAATCCATATCTCTAACCCATCACTCTCAAGATGAGAGGTAAAGAGAACCAGCGCATCTCTTCCCCGACTCGCCAGAGGAGCTTTGTTTTGATGATCGGGTTTTCCTGTCATTCTTGTGATTGGGATAGCCCCGGGCCATGTGCTCACAGTTTTTTTTGATCGGATGTTCCTTAGTCAATAGTCCCGCTGCCGCTTCTCTATAACAGTTGATTATTACTATTAGTTTGTCACACTTGTCCTTAAGGACGTTGAACATCTGTCGTTCATGACGTTAAAGAACACCACCCCAGTTTCGATGATACAAACCAAACTGCTAATGATTGCGATTGATGTGCAACTATTCTACATGATCCATCATCGTGATATACTGACAAAAGGAGGCCAATCAACTTGAATCGTGATGCAGAAAAACCAAAAATCAGAATGGATATATACGAGGTCATCAACCTCGCACGCTCCGCCACGCGCTTTGCATAGCGATACGCCGGGCCTGTATTGCACGGCAATTAGTATGAGATAGCAGAGCAACAAAATGGACCTACCTGTTCAAGCGAGATGGAATCTTCCCTAAGTTCAACCCGCTGCCTACCGTCGTCATCATCATCATCCTCGTCATCAGCATATGAACTTCGAACACCAGGACTCCTCATGCCGCCAAAAGCGGCCTTGCCACCCGCCAATGAAAAAGGCGTCGTGGCGACAGCAGTGCCAAACACGCTGGCATTCTTCGGCGCGCCGAATGCAGCAAAGTCAGTCACGACTTTACGAGGAGGGGACGATGCAATCGCTGAGGATGGGCTGGTACTCGGCGCAGAATAAGAAGTCCTTTCTGATCGCGAAGGCGTATGAGGCGAATACGGATATGAGTACAAACTCCGGTTCGCAGTCTGTCGTGCGATGAGATACTTTTCTGTGAAACGTGTGCCTTGCACCTTTGACAATGTCGTTCAAGTCAGCTTGCGAAAGAAACGTAGAAGTACAACACACCCTCTTCAACTGCGATTTCGCCTCATGCAGTGATGTAGCGTGAGTGAAGACGGCGACATTATGCGCAGCTTCAGGAGACTCTTTGTAGATGCTTTCGATCACCACTTTCTTGGTGCTTTCATTCCGGAGGAGTAACTTCTCATGCAATTCACGAGCGACATCATCGACACTTTCATTGTTCCCAAGAATTCGCTGCGCCACAGCATGCCCAACTTCCCGAACAAGGCGCTCCATATCGAGGTTTTCCAACACACTGCCTACAATCGCGTGGGAGAGGAGATCAGCTGTCGTAAGCGGAAGCATGAGTCCAGACGTGATGGTTGTAATTGCTTGGTAGAAATCTGTTGCATACTGAAACACATCTAAGCACCTGTGACAAATGAGCAACGATGACCATACCGAGTAACCACTGAGGGCCGGTTCGCATGCAACGAAGAACTAGGGAGGCTGTTATCTAAATCATTGATAGTTAGACCATGATAAAACGTACCAGCGTGATGCCTCGACTGGCCATTTCGCGAACTAATTGTAACGGATCGTGTCCGTCCGGAGAGCCCTCGTCGAATCCTGCCAAAGATTGAATACATCGCTCGACTGGCCAGATGCCCATACACACCATCACCATACTCTCCTATTCCATGCGGTGGGGCATCAGCAATCAAGACGACCATCTTACTCGCATGCTCCCTCCAGTCCATGTGGAGAGCTTCTGCGAGCGCAGCTGTCACGGCCTCCGGTCCATCACCACCCCCAGAAGCATAAAGCCCCGCAAGATCCCGATGCACCTTGCTGATATCAGATGAGAACCCGAAGTTCTTGACTACATATGTGTGATCTTGTGGCGGATGGTCACGGAACGCAACAAGGCCGACGCGCAAATCTTCTTGCGATTGTAGCTTCCCCGATTCAAAGATATGTGCGCAAATCTCCTCGATGTTTTTCGTTGCAGAGGAGATGTAGCTTCCTTGGCTGCCCGTACAGTCTTGCACAAACACCAAGTCGCTGTGCACGGGTGAACATGACGGCTGGTATAGAGTCTTGCAGGCACGTACAGCATCTTTCTTCCGTCATAGTAGTTTTGACGGTGAAACTGGGGAGTCGGCTGTGTCGCATTGACGTCGAAATCCATGTCTTCATCCATGTCGAGTCACAGTGTTATTGTATTGTAGTTGGTTCAGATGCAGACTCCTGGGAATATTTACCGACGAATACTTGGTCTGTCTTCGTGCTCCTTGTTACCTGAGAGGCGGTTGAAAGAGCTGCGGAGGATCCGACCTGGTAAATATAGTCAACGTTTACACCTTCTGGAGTGAGGGCTTCTTGTGTGTAGTTCCATGCGACATCCTGCAGGCATCTCGGATCTGAGCAATCGGATATCGGATCTCGTCTACTGTATAACTAACCCAGCGCCCAGCTCATCTATAATTTCACGCACGAGCCCAAGTGTGAAGTAACTCTATAAAATAAAGTAGATGTATGCAATATCCGAATATAATCAAGGATCCCGTCTGCCCAATAGCCATGTAGCCCAAGGTGTCGTCCAACTAGGAAGAATCTCCTGTCGTAAGAGACTCCTGTAGAGCATTACGAGACCCGCACTGACGCCCCCCAGTAGTGCAGTAAACGCCACGTAAACACGTAGCCGTTCTGAGGCTGTCATCGCGCGATCTACCCCTCCGGGTATTGCCGCGTGACTAAAATAAGGTGGTCAGCAGACCTTCAGGAAACAAACGAGCAGGAACGACTCACGGATTCATGGCAATGCTGCATATTGCGTGGAAGACGTCTGCAGTCTGTCCGGTCTTAACGCTGACAGCGACAGGCACCTGGAGGCCAAGCCGTCTGCAGTATACGTCGGGCTGAACTTCGTGTCTCTAAAATGACATCAGAAAGGAACTGGCTTTGGCGAGAAATATCCAAACTTGTTGTGCAAGATCCAAGTCCGACTTTGTCGCAACGAATAGGGTTGGTGTATGATCGAGAGCGTATTGTTGCTATAGTCGAATTTGGGTCAAGCATCCACGTTCGAGGGTCAAAATGACTCACCCGCAGATTACTGATGTAAGAGAACGAGTTAGTATCGCTGGAATCATGCACGTAGACGATAACGTCAGCAAGATCCGTCTTCTTCGACGCGCGAAGCGTTTCTGCCTCATATTTAGATCCAAATTCCTGAAGCTAAACAAATGTCAATTACCCACGTTCCAAGTGTTGTTAAGACCTTACCACGAGGTACTTTTCTGACCCATCAATATCCACCGCGTTAACCACGCTCACCATCTTACTAGTTGGCTCGTAGGCCTCACGAAACGGTTTCCCAGCGAATGACCGCAGCAAAGACGTCTTGCCCGAACCAGCAGCACCACAAACATAACACAAGAAAACGTTGCGGGAAACTTTGCCTTTCCGGCGGTCAAGTTTGCGGGGACGTGTCGTTAGTAATGCAGATGTGCGTTGTTCATCGGGGTATCCAAGATAGGCGAGGTATGCGAGAGTGGTTTTGTGATCTAAGAGAGTGGTCATACTGGCATGTGGGGAAGGTAGATAAGCGGGGGATTTAATTGGAGGTGACCAAAATACAGACCTCCATTGAGCGAGCCAACCTTGCAGAGTGACTGCACCTTTATCATCCACCAGGGTCGTGTCTGGGAATTTCTGGATTTCCCATGGATTGCCTGGGGAAGTACTGAACAGCTCTTCCAGTTCTGCGCTGTTGAGTGCACCATCTTGATCCTAGAGATGTATGTGAGTGTGACATAAAGACACGTTTGGTATCCAAACCTTGTCGAAAGTTTCAAAGATATCGGTGAAGAACTGATATCCTTGAGGGCTCAGTTCCACAGAACAGTCATGGGGCACGTCGAATCTGAAAGGTCGATCAATTTTTGAAGCTCATAATAAAGATAAATCGCGTACTTTGGGAGTAGGAATGGCTCAGTGAGTCGCAGGTCTTCTGCATAACCGAATTTTCGGAGAACAGCCCATGTTGTCTCCAGCCTTCCGCGTTGAATAAATATCGTATGCAGGTACAAAAATCCAGCCTCGGTCAACCCGTCGTCTCGCACGCCTCCCTCTGCATGTTCGCGAACCATATCCTTGATACCCTCAAGTTCCTGGAGTTGTAATGGCGCGTCAAAGCATTTTCGCTATACGATTTCGCGTTTAGCGCTTCCAGATGCTAGAAAGTGAAGACATACTTGGAATTCATTCAGCTCTGCAGCATCCAAAACACCATCCTTGTTCGCATCGCAAAGCTTGAATATTCGTTTCAAGGCGCTGACGCAAGCGGGTTTCAGGACCTGGAGGAGTTTAATTGAGAACCCACCACGAGCTGTCAGTACGCACATGTTCCCTGGAGTCGTAAAGAGGAGCAGTGGGATGCAAGACCGCTTTCTGAGCAAAGTAGAAGACCTCCGACACGTTCAACGGCAGCTGAGCGGAGCATTCAACGCATGTCTCGACTTCCTGGGCGACATTATTGAATTTAAGAATATCACAGAAAATTTGACATGCCTTGAACTCATTCATGATGGGTATGATCTCTTCCTCCAGGGCTTCGTTAGTGACCTCACCACCTCTTAGGTCGATCTTGTTTCCGACAAGGATCACAGGGACCTGAATATATTGTTAGGCTGATGAGAAGAAGCTAAGATGAAACAAACGTTGACGCCTAATTGACGAAACAAGGGAAGCCAATACGTAGGTATTCGATCAAATGAATGAGGGTTGTCGATTGAGTATACCACGCAAATAACGTGCGCTTTGCGTACTTCCGATTCGAGATGCTGTCGGTCTTGTGGGCCAGCTTTTATCATAAGTTGAGAATAGCGCGTCTTTGTTCATAAGACTATGGTACAATACCTCCTGAATCGACAATATAAGTGGTCACGTTCTCTGGGTTCACCTCTGGTGGAATGGTGACCTCCGGAACGACATGTTGAACCTGGCATTGGAGCCATCAGTGCCGCAATTACGTGTGGAAGAGTAGAGCATACATGTGCAACGAAAGCTTCCTTGATGAGAGAGGTGACAATGGTACTTTTACCAACACCCTCTGCGAAACCTGTATCAGTACACGCGGTGAATAGCAGGAATAACAACATACCATCTCCTACAAGCAAAATGCGAACATCCCTCCTCATGACCCTCTCGAAAGACTACGTGATGAACCTGGCTCTACTTCTGTGAGAAGCCTTAGCTTAAGGTGACGATGGACGTGAGCTTTGAGACAAGTTGTCAGTGCACTTAATCCCTCCCTGTTTGGCAGTCCTTACTACTGTCTCGGCACGGATCGGCTTCTTATATAAGCACAAGAAGTCGATTGACTTTTATGGAAGTCCAGCTTTAGCACTGCCACTGCTTGATACGTGACTACCACCTGAACGCTACTCATATGACTGTCGAGGCCGCTGGTCTCCTTCTTCCCAGTGATGTCCTAATCATTGTAATGGAAAACCTTGGTATAGAAGACCTGATCAATCTATCCTACACGTGCAAATTCGTAAACCTCTTGGTAAATTTGAATTAAGTCTTCCATAAATTCGCATCTCTCACACCGCCCATTACCAAAGGTTCACGAATTTGGATGGTCGCTCTACCTCAGAAACAACGTTCGTTCGTCATTCACGTTACAGCTGGCACGTAGAAACTGGTCTTCTTTCGATCAAGTTCGATACGATGTTGCGTCTGATCGCTCCTGGGCTCAGGCCAACTTTAACGCGCGACCATTATCACACCCTTGGCACAATAAACTTCAGCCTAAAATTGCCCTGTCTGCTTCTGTATTGCTGGTTGCCGCCGGTCACACTATCTACATATATCATATAACCGGCTCTTCCTCGCTTGATGATGGTGCCCCTGGAGTCTTATATGAGGGCTCATATTCATTCACAGACCGGCGAGAAATCACAAGCATCACCTTCATTCCTGATGGTCATTCGGAAAGGACAGTAGCTGTTGGTTTCGAAGATGGACATATACATCGTGTATTTCTTCCTCATTTCCAACAAGAGCAATCCAACAATAACTTACCATTGGCATTGAACATCGAACGCAATTCTCCTCTCGGATTACGCGTCGTGGATATAGTAGAGAGCCTGACGTGCTCAGACGACATGCTCTTGTCTCTATCAGCTTTCGGAACAGCAGGCCTTTGCAACTTATCTTCAGATTCGCCGCTCGTCAGCGCCATAAACCTGGACTGCAGATCTTGGTCCAGTTTTATCTGCATGAGGTCTTCTACGCCGTTTACGGCATTTGGCACGACATCCCCAAATCCTCTCGTCGTTCACGCCATAACTCCTTCCTCATTATCACCCGCACCATTTGCCATCCTGCATCCCACGCGTGAACGCTCCACTGCAGTGTACGATATCACGGACGCACCACCATCTGCACCATGGGGTTCCTCAAAACAGGTCATCGTATCCGGGTGGTACGATGGCGCTGTTCGGGTGCATGATATGCGCTCAGGTCGGCGTGATTCAGGGGTGACGGGCTCCCCTGCCCCTTTGCGTCCCATGCTCACGTTCTGTGATCCCTGGTCTGATGAGCCCATCTATTCTGTGTCATGTGGAGGCGGTTCTTCAAGTTTTGTTGCAGCAGGCACTGCCCGTCACAGCGTTGTTGCATTCTGGGATGTTCGCCGTCCCACAGAGGGATGGAGTGTTCACGCTCCGGGCAATGACTCATCTCCAGTCTACTCCCTGGTACTCGAGAGCTCTCGTGTATTTGGCGTAACGCAAAGTCGACCCTTTGTGTTCGACTTTGGGCCCGGTGTGACTAAAGAAACATATCCTTTCCTACCTGCTTCTACACGCTCCCAGTATGACTCTCTCAAACTAAAGAAGAACGGAGTGGGATACCGTGTCACTCAATATAATCACAGTCGTTCATAGACAATACCTTCCAAGTTATTTATCATCTTGTTTGATCATGTTAAATTTCATGTATTTTGTGGTCTCCACAACACCGCTGCATATTACAGAGCTGGATGGGGTTCGGAATTAACTAGAGGTTTCCATGCATGCGTGGGAGTACAAAACAGATAGCAAAAATGTGACTCGAGATGTAGTGGATGGGGGGAAATGCAAGAGTGATTATAGAATAAACAACGAGGACAGCAACAAGGACGAAAGACAGAACGAGTCTGAACGAACATGAAATGAAGAAGTAGTATTAGGTAGATGTAGGCGGCTGCGCCTGCGAACGTGTTGCCCAGTTGAACAATTGCCGCATATCGCTAGGAGGGGGTGTGTCGGCAGGCTGCTTCGGCTCAACAAGCAGGCTGCAACGACCAACTCAGCGAACGTTCAGAGAAACCAGAAACCTCACAAACCTTCGTCTATAGAGATCCTGAAGGTCGCCGTGGTGCTTGGAGTTCTCAAATGCCATCTGCAGGTATTCCTGCACTTCAGGGATTTTCTTAAGATTATATGGCACTTGAAAACGTTGCATGTCTGAGAACAAATCTTGAGTCGAGAAGCCCAAAGCCCACAGTGACTGTGGAATACAGACCTTGAACAATCCGAGCTAGCTTGTGGTACTTGTTGAAATTAAGGAGTTTCTTCCCTGGTGCACTAGGGGATTCACGGTATGACGGGTTTCCCTCGCGACAGAAAGTCACATCGGTCAAGTAAAGACCTTCACACCAGTCAACATATAAAACTTTCACATAAAAGCACTGTCGTACCTAAGAATGGAACTGCTGGAGGTGCGATGTTGCGAAGCCTGCTTCGGTATTGATGGTAGTTCCGCCCGTGATCTGCCAATCGACGCAAAGACTCCAACTGCATTTTACTTTTATGTGAAACACCCTGAAAAATGTGCTATGGACAACACGACGGTGTGGATAGGAAGGATGCTCACCAGCCAAGTCTGATGAAGCCGAGATATCGTGGAAGAGTCGAGGGCCGCTAGGATAGACCTAGGAGTGCTGAAGTTGTGCAATGAAGTACATCGCTGAAAGGTAACAGTCGGTTGGGAGAATGTTAACAATCTCGTATTCACTCACATCGGCAACCTTGATGAAGAATTTCACGAGTAACGTCCGCTTCTTGATATCGTGCTCGTTCAAGATGTTCTCGGCCACCCATCCCGTGATGACTGTGCTTAGGGAGGAAACAGCTCTGACGTTGACAGGTGGTTTTGTACCCTCCTGTCCGGTCTCAAGGACCTCCTCAGGCTGGATCGCGCAGTACAAGTCGCATTCCATGATCGTCAGCTGTCTCGCCAACTCTAGAGCATCAAAATCAGTGATGGCAACAGTGTCAAAATTCTTTCCACGCAGCGTGGCCAGTAATGCCTTCGTCATCGTTGGCCGTGGAACCTCGGACAATGTATATGACGGAGGATTGATTGACATGCCAGGATCGCGGACACGTTCACTCTTGGGGCTCACAAGACTGGTGTTGGAGTCTTGCCGCATGGAAATTAAATCGAGAATCCGCTGGGAGGGCGCAGGGAAGTAATGTAGGAGCGCATCTTTCGTGAACAATGAAAGGTGTGAGAGAGCGATGTCGTCAACCCCAGGCCGCCAGTACATCTCCAACCACGTCTTCACAAAATTGGATACACGCAAGCGGATCGGAATGCCCTTGTGCTGTTGCCAAATCAACATTTCGTCTTCTGAGAGATTGGACGGAGGCATGATATTATAGCGGTTGATGAGTGCTTCCACGAGTGCAAGCGGAGTGGAGAAAAGGCGGAAGGTAAGGAAGAAGACCGCTGAGAACGCAGGATCTACAATGCTGTCATGGGGTGTCATCCTCTCGAACAGCGCCCCCATTGTCGCTGCCACGAGGTGACCCTCATTGTTATAGACGACATCGTTTGTAGAGTAGTCATGACCAAGAGGATCACGCTTGACTTGTAGTGTGACAGGAAGCTCGCCGGTTATTGACCGCTCCTCAAATGTGCACATGCTCTGACGATCCTGTTGTTCGCCCGTGTGCCCATCATCAACTGCCGGTGAAGGCGATGATACAGGCTCCATTGGTGTCATCAAGTCGGGATCGCTCATAGATAATAAGCCGCCCTCTGGCGTTGTCGGTTGAGTGTCATGCGAACCGTCTGATGGATCAGAAGTTGCCGTGATATTGGACGTGTCTGAAGATCTGTCTCGGACGCTAGTAGTATTGGGGGTAGGAGAAGCTGGTGTCAGAGCCTGCACGGTGAGATCATCTTCGTCACTGCCATTGTGATACAAGCTTTGATGCGTCGACAAGCTGACGGACGGAGTTTGACCGGTCCTACGAGAAAATTTGCTTGGAGTGAACGGCGCAGGGTCTGAATCGGACGTTGTAGGTATTTGGATGATAAACTGCCTCTCTCCTGAAGCCCTATTCAAGCAGATTTTGACAGCCGAAACGCAATCAGCACCCGCTTTACATGCTGCTGTAGCGGATCGTATCAAGGATGCCTTTTCGGATTCCTCTGTAAGATCGGGGGGAAGGAGCACCGTAAGTAATCGCACGGATTCGGCAAGGGAGCTAGTGACGGTGTAGAGTCTCTCTTTTGCGGACTTTAAGTTCCCAATCTTATGAAGTGGGATCTCGGGATGCCGCATGACAGCTTCGACGATAGTGAGCAACTTGCACACCATCTCCACCACTTCTCGCACGAGATCATACATCTGACCCGTGCTAGAAGCGTGTGATGAGCGTGAATGAGAGTGCGCATGGCCGATAAAGGCGGCGATAGTGGATAGATACTGATCATGGGTAAACTTCAAAGCCTCCATCACCTCCGAAGATGTCGAGGGTCCTGATGGGAAAGGGGGCACTGCCGGTAGTTTCGGCGACTCCGCAGACGAAACCGACGAGAATGACGAAATGCTGCTGATGGATGGCATGTCGGCTTTATGCTTGCCAACAACACGCTCATAGACGAGATATTGATCCTTCTTCGACCGGGATAGTATCGTTCTGTGAGGCAGGAGGGGAGAAACGGAAGAGTCAGAATCTTGATATGCAGCTAATCTCCGCTGCGACCTCAGATCTCCCAAACTTTTGGTCCGCGGGGCCGTCTTTTGCAGGACGCCATCATGCGAGTATGGTTGTCGAGGACTTGCTAGACGGGACGACAAACAAGAAGGGGCGATAGGATCGGGCGATATTGGGACTCTGTCTTCAGGTCCTGCAGGGACCATTTGTCCCTGTAGGCCAGGCGCATTAGCGATGGCTTCATTCGAAGTAACCTGCTGACGCCTTTCCGGCAAGTCGATGCCACATTGTACAGCGACAGCAAGAAAACGCCGGACTTGTGAAAAGACCTGACCACCTAATTTCAACATTCCTTCAATTTCTGTCTCCCGTAAATCTTCATCCTGCGTCTCATCCGATGCCTTTTTAGCTTGTGACACCAGGGATGCCAGGACGGACAAAATCTGTTTCCGCTCCTGAGCGAGGGTGGGGAAGCGCTTTAATAACGGTGCCTCCCTAGGTAAACACTCTGTCGAGGACAGGATGTACCGCACACAGGATATGATACAGGCAGTGGAAGGCTGAAAATGGGCGATGCGGTTGGAACGAACTGCACTCTGGAGGAGAGATAAACTATGCAAAAGATTGACCATGAGAGGAGGACAGTATGATGTTATGTCCGATCCAAGAGCTTCAGTGACCAATGGTCTGTGGTCCTTTCGCGAACCACGTGAGGGAGCGCTGGCCCAAGAAGCTGCCGATACGGCGGACATAGTATGCCCGTGGCGAGATCCCTGATGCAACCCAGACAATGTTGTTAATACTTTAAACTGCTTAGGTTTATATCAACATACAGGTGATTGAGGAAGGACTTCCTCCGCCAGTGAAATTACTCTTTCATCAGCACTGACGTAATTGGAGGGGAACCATCCTCTTTGACCGTTAATTTCACCATCCCACCATCCACTCGAATCCCGATTTAGGACATGAATAACCTGGCCAGCTCGAAACGACAGACAAGTTGCATTCTGGTGCTGGGGGTGAAAGTCATGTAATGCAAGAACGAATTCCGAAGAAGGGGAGACGCGAACGGTCTCATCTGACGGGCTTGCCAAAGGGTAGTGGAGGGGGCGGGATGACTTTTCGGCATCAGGCAGGTCGAGTGAGGATGAGGAAGCAGAGGAAGATGATGGACCAGGGGAGTCAACAGAGATGGAGGATGAAGTTGACGCGGTGGACCCACTCCTCATCCGGGTAACGGCCATATTTAAGCTCATCAGGTTTGGAGCGGAGGTATTGTCTGGTCTTTTCAAATTGCTGGTATCACGGGCGACGTTTGTATTAATGTGAAGATGAGCTGTAGGCATCTCTTTTGCGGGCCGACGCTTAGGATGGCGGAGGGAAACTAGTTAATTCCAGTGCAAGATATTATCACCGCGTGTTCCTGGCGGTCGCTGCAGTTGCGGGTGATGTATGACTGATAGTCATAAACTGTAAGGTCACTGACATGTATCAACGAACAAGGACCAAGGAGGAACACGCACAAAAATGTCAGCCCACTCGCACCACAGTCCGAGCGCCTTCTGCTATGCGAATGAGATCGCTCGCGGAATCAAAGTTACGCCAGGTGATTAAAACCAACAAGAAAGATAGTGTCAGGATGGTAGCAAAACTGATTCAAGATGGGAGAACAGAGCGAATTGGAATGAACAGACCGATGAAGCCGCCACAAGATATGAACTCCGGAGAGGAGAAGAAGCAAGATAGGCCAGGCCTGTGCCAGTAATACAAAAAAAAAGGAAGAAAAGGGTAGAGTTACAGATTAGAATCGTAATACTGTCGTGGACGCGTTAAAGCACTAGCGGGATATGTAACGGCAACCTGTTCAAGTAGGCTATACCGGGGTGCCAGTGTAAATTATTAGTTTCAAGGATTGAACGGAACACACTAATGCAACAACACAACCAAACAACGCGTTCTCTGAAGCGGCGTGAATATTTATTTCTTCGAGCACAGGAACCACCACTATTCGCCCCGCAAGAATAATTGATCCTATGGTATTCAAATCTCATCAATTACTCGACTTCTAAGAAGTGCGGGAGGTTGGTAGGATATATCTTGTGATTCAAATTCTAGAAGCCGCATATGGCACGCAGCCTTGACGGGAAACGTTTCCCTACCGTGGTTTCGCTACCGTGATGTCCAAGAAATTCTCCGTGATGATGATCATGCCAAGGCTGATGCCGCGGCTTGCCACATTGGACTTAGAGTTCAGTGCAACATTCGCGGCGACTCAGTTGCGGTGACGATTTTGATTAACCACAGCCAGCCACTAGTACTCATCTCCGAGTTATTGTGATCATGATCAGTACAGACTCGTTCTTGACATATTCTTTGCTGGCAACACAGTCGGCTGCTCGGCATACCACTTCCAGAATGCACTCGCCCGCGCCATGTGCTGCTATTTATTCCACCACGGTGAGCTCTAAAATATAGCGCTGCATTTGATCTTTCTCGATTCTCACCTTCAACTGAAGCTTCTTGCCAGCCCAGGTCTCAGATCTTTTCTCAATGTCCACCAAACACTGTTTGCTTCGAATCCATACCTATCACCACCACTGATGTATTTGGTCTTCGTCAGAAGCATTGGTGGGTGCTACACTCTTTACTAACCGGTCCCAGGTCCAAATTTACAACATGCAAATTCTCACGTCCGAACATGTGTATTTGTTATTGGTGGAATACGTCTCCGAAACCGGCAAGTAAATCACTCATGACTATGTATCATCATGGTGCTAATTTCGTCCATCGATTTGCTGCGCCTCACCAATGAAACCATTAATTGATGTCAATGCTTGTGTTTCCAACAACGTTCCGTGATCAAACCTCGCCGAGCAAAGTTTGCCGTCGCTGCAAAGTCCACGGCACCGCCATTACAATAATGCTATGGCATGACATCGCCTTGCAATGAGCCATGATCATATCCAGTGGGCTGATGACTGTGATACTTTGCCCATCCTTCCTGTGAGTGTTAATAGTGGCGGCCTACAAGGTCAGTGTCCAGAAACGAGTTCGCCATCGACTGACATCATGAAACGGCTCCGGTTGAGGTGACCCACACCTCGTAATTTGATTGGGTAAGCGAGTGCACTGGATGATTGTCCTGTTTCATGTAGCTCGGTCTTGAGACGATCCGTGAATCATCCCAAAAATCCATTAGAGAAACATCTTACTACGGAGGTGGCCATCAGGTTAGTCCAGTTGTGAACCAGGTTTTGGGAAAACTAGGTGCAAATCGATGCTGGGAAGCGTTTGGTGCGTCTTCCCAAAACGTTGGTTCGAGACTACCTTACCGCTGATCAAGCTCTCGGGCCGACCACATAAATGGATTCTTCATTATGGCGCTGGCGAATCCCCTTGGCCTTCTTCACAGATAACAACATCGGGTCAAAGAAGGCACATACTCTTTCTCCCTATTTATGCATCTTCTGAACTATTTCTGGCTGTTTCTCAGCCCAATCTCAGCCTGTTCTTGGTTTCCCCTATACAAACCTTGGGCAAATGAAAATAGTCGTTCCTTCACTAATGACACATGTCCTCGTGTACACAAATTTCGGTCCGTACTCTTTGTCCTGGCAGGACCCGACTCTGTTTAACGAATCCTCCTGGCACATCATCGGAACTGAAATCTTCTCTTCGCGAGACTCTTCGCCATCAATCCCATCTAAATGCCCTGCACCCAACATGACGAAGCATTCCTTGCTCTTTTTGACGGCTTCTTTCGTAATATATCCATAGAACCTTTTGGAGCCCTCTGCTTGTAGCCAACATCTTCACATCTATAATTAATTCTCTTGGTACTACCGTGAAACAACCGATGAGGCCGCCAGAGCTTTTGGCCTGCGGCTGGCACTTCAGTTCCACACCTCAGCTCTTGTATGCTCGACCGCACGTCTTTGCAAGATATGTCCCGTCTTCGTTATTTATAATCACATCGAGACATAACTCCAGCTCAGTCGTACACATTGGCTTATAGGTAATATGTAACAAACATATCCTATGATATCATCGGAGGAGCGAGCTAGCACAATCCCCGTTGTTGTTGCATTTGCAACAACTTATCCTACTTGATATCTCTGCTAAGAGCAGACTTGTACACCCTAACTTGTACGCTGATCTAAAGAATCATCACAATCAACTCATCTGCTTCCGAGTCATCGCCAACGGCTACACGCTATATCATGCATCTGGGGCCCTTCTGATCAAGCGTCTAATTTGAAGATCGAGGCAATAATGAAGAGACTACTCTATAAATGACATGCACCCGATCAGGTGAGTAGACAATAAACGGTGCTGGCTCAGATACTGGGCTGACATGCTACGCAGAAAAAATATAAGCTGATCCACGAGGCAAGGCGAACAGGCAGGTCCTGAAAATTCCTGCATATATATATATACATCGTCGTATGAAGATGCCCGAGGCCCCCGAGTCCTTCCTTGGTTAAGAGCGGAATGACCTGACTATAAGCCTATGAGGAACCCTCTGTGTCTGTGTCAGATGGGCAATATTCCGTCGGCGCCCATACAGGGCTGCGGCACTCCTCGTATATTCGCTCGACCTAGCATGGTCAGTGGCAAAAACATTGAAAGGGGCAGGTAGAACCTACCCCGCTGGTCACCAATATCCTGGTAGAAGGCCAGCGCACGAGGAGAGTGCCATCCTGCAAGTCCTCCTTGAGCTTGAACTCCGCTGACTCGGAGTGCGCAGTTGCTGTCCGTGTCAGGGTGATCTCTCCATGGGACATCTCAATGGCGAGGTCATGCTCAACCCCTTTGAGCAGTGAACTTTGGTTCAGGAGCCGCAGGACTACAAAATCACATCTCCTATGGTAGTCTTGCATTCCTCAATGGCAATTTCCGCACTATCTATGAAGATGATAGGATCTTCGAAGTTCATGCGAAGACGAATGTCCAAACGTGTCGTTAGGTGCGAGGCCTCACAGGACTCACACTGGCACTCCTCGACATCAGTATGATTTGTGGACGGGGCTGAGTCGGAGAGTAAATCCATGGCCAAGACCTTGGCAGCAACAGAAGGTATCGGATCCAGGCTATAAGGGAAGGATTCCTGCACTGCGAGCCAGTCTGGCATGCTTCTTAAAGGTTGAAAATTTGCCGCCACAGGCGGAATTCCAGCGCGAAATCGAATAAACGCGCCATGTTACATTGTTACATGCACACATGCATACCTCGCGATCAGAATCACGCATGAGGTACTTCCTCGTTCCTACTCAGAGTTCTCCTCTCGCTTGGCGGAAGTCGGTGTCGCTTTAAGCGCTCATGCATGAAAACTGGACCTTTTACCGGAGAGGCTCTATGGTGGATATTGTGATGTGTGTATCGGAGAGCAAAACACGGCGTGCGTCAGACCTTACAACACACGAGAATGTGACTAATTGGCCCGTACGGAAGGCAGAGGAAGCGCGGAGATAACTTAAAACCGGTGCAAATGCGACTCCCCATAGGAAGTCCTATAATTGAACTAGTAATCCTGATAAAAAACATGCGAGAATATAGAGCCTCGGCACTGGCAGAAACACTAGTACTTATCAATAAAAACATTTCGAACAGAACATCGATGCCCGAAGAAATCTCAATAATGCGCAAGGAGGGGGAGGTGAACAATCACAGACGTACGAAAGGCGGAAGAGTCCATGGTACAGAAGCAGCCCAAAAAGAATAAGAATTTAACCCGGGGAGAGCTAAAGTTATCAATAATCATCATCTTCATCACTGTCGGAGTCGCCCTCGAGGACACACGATGGCATAACTACACCTGGAGGCAGGATAACGGTAATGGTACCAGCATTTGGGTTCGAGAAATCCGTGATTCCGGGGTTGGTATGTGAGATCAGGACTTCGCGATAACCCTCAGGTAGGGCGTCTTCTGCGATGGGATGAGGAGCTTGCGGAGGAATGTTGCGTCGCTCGTCACCCGGACACTCTTGAGTAACATGGAATTTCCAGGTGGGGTCAGATGGCGACAGATGGCAGTGGAAACAACCTCCTCAGTGGAAACAACCTCCCACTGAGCGCAAGGCTTCTCGTTCGGTATAAGTGAGGTCAGGAAGGGGAGATGTGGAATTTAATGCGTGCGTGTTTGACATAGGAGCAGAGGCAGACTTGAGCATTGACTTGGGTACGGGCATCGTGAAGCCTTCCGCAACGAGGCTCAACCACGTAGTCGCCATGACATGGATCAGTGCGTCGACTGTCAAGTTCTCGTACGAAAAATTTGGTATGGCCCGGACACGAAGTTGAAGCGCGGGATTGGCAAAAAAGAAGAGGTGGTTTTTGAAAACAGAGTCACTGATAGCGTAACCATCACCCAGTGAACCAAGCGTGTTCCGAGCTGTTTGTAAGGAAGCAGTGAACGAGCGGAAGTCATCGAAGTCTTGCGAGACGTCGTAGAAGCGCGCGAGGGCATCGAGACGCCAGCCGGAAGGTATGAAGCGATCCTTGAAGCGCGACGCGAACTCCTCCCACGTGGCAAGCTGTTTGAGCATATCACGATTCTGGTTCCACCAAAGTCTCGCGCTCGGTTCTTCCGGCTGGAGACCCGCAAGTACAATAAGCAGTTGTGGAGACATCACATATACCGGGTTCCAGGCAGACCACGCGAGATATTCGTCTTCGCAACGCCCAAGCCAGACATTGATTGAAGCAGGCTCAATCGGACCAGAGAATGCGGGTAAGTCAAGTTTGGACATCTTTGGTGGCACTGTGGATGCGGCGGATGCAACAACGGTCGACAACGTAAGAGAAGCGCGAGACTTGGAACCAGACATGTTACTAAGTGCGACGAGACGTCACGCTGCGGTCAACAATGGTGTGCGACGGCGACAGATGAACCAGGTAGAGGATTACGAATATCCGATGGGCGTAGATCCGAATGCAAACTCGCAAGATCTTTGATCAAGTGATGGACGAGGTCATGTTCTAGTTGTGTCTAGATTGCATGCGTCACTAGTATCAGCTGACTAAGCTACTAATTAGACGTGAACGTACTAGGTGCTTATATGAGACATGGTCCTCGCGTCTTCATTGGAACTAATTCTCAAACCCACTGGTGGATTGGACGATTCACTGGCCAGATTCCTGATAGATGTGGTTGAGAATATATCTCAAATGGTGTGTTATTTCACACCTCGTATTCAGAATTCTCGCGCTCACTAACAACCTCCCCAAAAAGTCACTGTATCGTCCATGATGCCTTCCGAGCACTCGTGCCCGAACCTCATGAGCGTATACCGATTACTGGAATTAATACCCTATACCTTCTATTTCCCCTTCTCCCACTAATTTACATGGGATACCTAGCGAGACGGCCAGACACGTTTACCTTACGTCTTCTATTCCTCCCGTTGGTGGTCGTAGTTGCCGTCGGGACCTACTTTCGTTTTATGTGGACAGAGCCACATCACAACATCTACAATTGGGCCCAAGGTAACGTAATATCACTTCCCCCGTATTTGCATAGTCACTCAAACCGTCACAGGTGTACTCGCAGAAGCCATAAGTGCCAAGGCGATAGATTTTGCATGGAGAAAAGAGGGTATACTCAAGATTGACGAAGTTCAGCCAGGTGTCGCAAGAAACCCCGATGCTGTCAAAGCTAATGGTGATGCGCATGCAAAACCAGTCACGTCAGATCCAGCTACCCCAACATTTGCTTGGCTATATGATGCTTTGGAAGTAATTCTATCCAACCGGGGCCTAGGTTGGAAATTTGGTATCGGGATTCATGTTCCTCGTGAGGAGAGATCTCTCGAACGGAATTCATTCCTGTTTGCGACGTTGATATCATTCATCGGAAACTACATGATCTTTGACCTCCTCGAGTCGTTGATCAAGCTAGTACCTGACGTTGGCGCTCCTCATGGCGGCACCATATTCAGGGCGGAACTACCCTTCTTCCATAGATATGCGCTTTCTACAGCCATCCACGTTGCAACTGGCTCTTGCATTTTGGCTGCCTTCGAACTCTTTTATGATCTCATCACGATCTTTGCAGTTTTGCTTTTGGGGAAGCTCCCCGTCTGCATGGCCTCCCGTGCTAGACCATCCTTGGCGGTCTGACTCCCTTCATATCTTTTGGTCCAAACGTTGGCACCAAATTCTTCGAGAAATTTTCTTCATCTTTGGAGGATTTTTTGGCAAGATCATCGCAGGAAAGTTTGGCATGCTGTTTGGGACATTCATCGGGTCTGGATTATACCACGAATTCGCTGCATATGCACTCGGGAGAGGTTTTGATACCATTGTTCCGCTCTTTTTTATGCTGCAGGCTCCTCTACTGCTCTGTGAAAAGGCATGGTACAAGTACACAGGACACCGTGTCGGTGGATTGTATGGGAGGTTGTGGGTCTATTTTTGCGTCATCATACTTGGGCAACCCTTATGTACGTGCTTGAGCGTGTTATGTAGATGCTGACCTTGACGCCCTTTTTGCAGCGAACTCTTGGCATAGGAGAGGTCTCGGAGGTGGGCTCATGGTTCCGCCTTCATTAAGTCCTGCTCGACAGTTCATTATACCATCCATTCGACATTGCCTCAATGGTATAGGCACGGATATCCTAGAATTCATAGTTGGGTCCACATAGTCGATACTGCATTTTGCTATCATAAACTGTGACAGTTGTTGGTCTTGGAAACGCACGCGACGAAATAATATGATCACATTGAGTCCCCAGTTATCTATCGGTTCCTCCTGCAATGCGCTTTGGAGGAAACCAATCTCTACCTGTTTGATCCACCGCCCGCTAAATCGTACCAACCAAGTTCCTTTCCCCAACTCTTCCACATTCTATCAATAATCCTGAGTTTTTCCGATCGACGCAATCCAGGATCTTCAAGGAACTCGATATCTTCCAAAAATCCCTCCCGGAGTCGTGACCGTGCTGGTAGTGACGTCAAAGCGTACTCTCGAAGGTGCGCCAGAGATAAAACCAATAGTCCTGTCGTCAAAGCAGGAATGGTGTCCGAGTGCACGTTCTCGATATCGTGATGATGGTGCAACAATTTAGGTTGGAATAGCAGGAGCCGCTCGATACGCCTGAAAATGCAGTGTCAGCGCATATTTTCCAAGACACTGGTATTTTCTACCTCATTGCAAGCCAAACACTGGTCTTTCTGAGTTTACCTCCATATCTCCCAGGTCTTATAGACAGCAATCCTCTTAGGAATCCTCCTGCGACATATATGACAGCAAGGGCTGGCGCGACACCCACGAATGCAAAAGTGAGTTCTTGAGACTTCAACAGCTTATCAATGCCAGCCAGCGCTTGATCGAGATCCACCTGTGAACATTTAAATGAGTAGAAGCCTGATAGAGGCGCATTGTGCTTACTTTGGCCTTCTGGACCTGAATGAACATTGACCTCAAGAGTGTCCCCGATATTGCAGATTTCACCGGATTTTTGATGTCCTCTTCATAGATCTTCAGCACAGCGGTGAGGTCACCCTGACGTATCTGCTGTGAAAGTGCTTCAAGTTGTGTAGAACTATAACCAAGTTTCTCCCTAGCGAGAGCTAGGGTCATTCGCTCGAGTGACTTTACTGACGATCAGAGAACGACCCGGAAGTGGTAGGATTGCTCACATCGAAGTCAGCAGCTACTGCTTCTCGCCTAACAATGACGCCATCTTCTCCACCAGCACGGATAGTTATGAGGACATCTTTGATAGGGTCAAACAGCCAACCCTTGAAAAAGTTTTGTACGGTGTTCACCACATCTAGCATAAGGTCGGCTAAAGTTGCTCTGGAAGCATAAATATGCTTGGCACAATAGAGCGTCAGTGGGGGAAGTAGGAATAAGCGAGGCCATAAGAGGGCAAGTCGGGATGGTCGCCGCAGATCGTGGGCGTTCAGGTACGCATCATGCATGATCCCATGATTTTTAAATGCACTGAGGAGTTGTTCGATCAAGGGGAGAACACCTTTCTGTGATGCATCGCCTGATGTGACAACAGCGAACTTGAACAGAAACTCCGTAAGTGCTTGATTGTCAATGGACGAACGAGTAGTCGAAACATTGAAGTCGGCCTCCAGACCATTTGAAAGCAAGGACCGCAACTCCAAAAGCTTTCCAAGGACTTCCGCTCTTTCGTCCCTCACCTTCTCCAACTTTTTTCTTCTGAGCTGACACTCTTCTCGAGCAAGACGGAGAGGAAACAGCAGGAGAGAAGTTACTCTTTGCATACTGTACATGACCCCATCATGTATTTTTCTCAGCCAGGGCAACAAGGGAGTCCGCTCGCGTACTCTTTCCTGAGATAACAGGAGTAAATGATGCCACAACAGAGGGTTGGTCTCGCAGATATGGAAAGAGTGCAACCATGAATGGGTTGAGCCGAATAGGCGCAGCATCCCAGTAGAATCTTGCAATAGTTGATGGGCGGAAGGCCGACAATCGAACAGACATCTTCCGTGTCTGGATCAACTGCAAAACTCGGCGAAGACGACTCGGCAACGCTAAATTTCCGAGCCCAAAGAAGTGACAGATATGAGGAACATGTGCAGTGCACGGTGCGTAATGAAGACAGACGTACACTGTAAGAGATACGATGCTACAGACCAGGTGGATTGTTCGATATCGGCCCACCACTCTGCGTCAAGCTGAGCCGCACTTGATTCCTCCAGGTAAAGATCCACGGCGAGCGCATACATGTTGAAAATAGTTTTCCTGACGACGGCGTTGTAGAAGACAGGTTCCCCCTTGTCAGATTGCAGCCCCGGTTTGTCCTCCAGAACAGGGAAAGTACGGAGAAAGTTTATAGATTGCTGCACCGTAGCTTCAGAGGGTAAGCCCTGGAGCATTGCATGCGTCGACTTTAGTGCACCTTCATCGCTTGTAGGCTTAATCTGCGCAGATATCTGCAGCCTTGTCAACGGAACCAGACGCTCAGTGTAGTGAACGGTGAAGTTCAACGTCATGAGTGCCAGAAGAAGCTGGGTGACGTGTCTCACTTCCAGACGAGGCTGAGACGACCGCGGTACTTGACAATGGTTTCGACAAATAAGCAGGTCCTTTGTAGAAGAGTACTTGCGGATCTTCAGGAAAGCGTATGAAAGGCTTCAGAAATCATTGAAAATGTTTGTTGCAAAGACACTAACTTAATTATAAATTTGGCTACTGGACTAGTACTAGTAACGGAAGCGATTAATAGTCCCGGTGCGCCTGGTATGACACTCGGGATTAGGCCTCAATTGCAAACAATCTGGATTCTGCAGCATAGCGTCTCCCGAAATTCCAGACTCATCTGGTGACATGTAAAAAGAGAGTATCGATAAATCACCTTCGACTACTTCGAAGCTTTTCTCCTTCAACCCTAAACAGACATAATAATTAGATAATTTTCTGTATATCTGACTCGGTCACTCTCAGGATGATAAGCGGGGGGCCTGTCTAAGATACTCCCGCATGACATGGTTTGCGGCCAAAGAGGAGGGTAGTCTGATGGGAGTGGTGGTATATAAGATACAAGCGCAACAGTCAGAAGTGTAATGTCCAAGACATGAAGTCAAATACAAATATCATCAATAACGCCAGCGCTACAGATCAGATCACTTATCAAAGCCAATAGTCCTGCTCACTGGATGGAGCGTGATCATCACAGGATTTCTGTCGTTCACTATTTCATCAACAGCGTCATCCATATCGTCATCTTCATCATCGCTCTCGGAGGTTCCTCTGGCATGCTTCAACCCAAACATGCTCACTACTCGATTCATATGTGCTTCGGATTGCTTGAACGTCGGTGGTGCGCGAAGGGAATTAGCACATGCGGAGAGCTCCAGGACCAGTTCACCGTCCAACTCGGTGGTAAAGAGATCGAATATATATCTCCTTACTGGTAAACGGTACCGTTGTGTCGAAACGGTGTGCAGAGCACGGAAAAACACAGAGGGTGATGAAAATGCTGATCGGTATTCAGGTCGAGACTTCATCCTGGGATGGTTGTTGAGATATCGTGGAAAAGTGCAAAACCATTTTATATAGTTTACCTGGCAAGTGACCTCGATGCGGCGTTTGCAATCACGGTGTTGCTTAGGTTCTCTATTGCGGAGATTACCTCCAGGTCCGTATGAGATGTTGGTGGTATAAGCCGAGAATCGCCGTCCCCCTTTACCCCGATAGGATCCCATGCAGGTAGCTGGAAAGCATCAGATAAACAGTATGGTATAGAAAACTCTAGTGCCTCACTGAGATAAATTTATCCAGATCCAGGGGTATGCACAACCCGGTCGGCACCCCAAGTGGCGACAAGGTTGCCTCCCACCGATAATCATCTAGGATTTCAGCTCCTTGAGTTGTTGAGGAGATCAACCCAAGAACGAAGAAACAGGTCCTAGATGTGTGTTCAATGCAAAGAACCAAGCACTCAACGAAGTGCTTACCCTCGCACAGAGGGAATGGGAGAATGTTCAGCGATCTCTAATATAGCGGGAATGATCTCTTCCTCTTCCAGGAACGGGAGGCCCCCCTCGGTGGCCCCAACATTCCCCTACGATATTATCAATGATTTTATTTGAACGCGCACCGGCAAAGATAACGCACCACTGCCCACAGAATGCTCTTAAGTTTGAGAATTAACTCAAGATCCTCACTCTCGAGACCGTGCTGTTTTATGAAATGAGAGAACTCAGAGAAATGGCCCTTTTCGCTAAGAACTTGACAGCCAAGCTCAGTTTTCGACATTTCCCCATAAAAGTGGGGCGGAACAACTCCGTCGAAGGCCCTGAGGTCAATTTAGTTACACTGGCTGCATTAGAGAGTGTCACGTACAAGACATCTTCATCATCTTCTGCAGCCTCTGAGCTGAAGACCTTAGACAGGAAGATTTCCACCTGTACGACATAGTAGATGTTACGTTCCTGGATAGGCAATGATCAGAGTAGTATGATGAGTAAAGGAAAACACAGACATGGAACCACATGTCCATCTCCCTGTCGATGTAACCTGCGCTGTACAAGTAACGGAAGCCCATCGGAGTTGACATGAATCTAGTTTCAGGTCAGCTCTACGCCTAAGCTAAAGGCAGAAGAACAAACAGACTTGAGCAGTAGTGGATGTCCAATTTCTCCGAGATGGTCCATCGTTGGTTGCATTTCTACGACAAGTTGCAGTACTTCCATAGCATCGCAGGCTTCTTCAAGGAATTGGATTGCCAATTCACAAACCTCTGGCGCTTGATCATATATTTGAGTCAAAAGAAGACGTAGTGTCCATGCGACCGGTGTGATTGAGTCTCGTATGAGATCTCCAAGGTGGTTCGTCGCATAAAGGCGTGTGCGCTGTGGAAAGTATATAAAGCGAATGAACGATGCATTGGACGTGGCATGACTCACGACGTCGCTTGATGTAAGAGCTTTCGAGAGCACGATACGGGGATGTCCATCACTTGATATCCAGTATATGACTGCTTCTATCAACACAACTGAGCGCTCACATCGTATAATCCAAATTCGTAATCACTGCGGTGATCAAGTCTTCACGATCGCGCAGCTCACTAAGGTGATAGAAAGCAGTAAAAAATTTGAACTTTTCCATCAGCCTGGGGACACCAATCAGTAAGACACATCACGGGTTGCGAATGGCTCACTCGATGCCTTCTGTATGCTTGCTTAAAGTTCCGAGCATCTCAAAGTAGCCATAGGTCAACGTCTCCGATAGCCTGTACTTGGAAAATATAGGATCGGATTCTGATGTGCCATTGAACTGCAAGACATGCTGACATCAACAAAATCACGGAATCGACTCGGTAAAAGCATACAGGGTCCAACTGAGCAAAACACTTGACTATTTGCTTCAACAAATCATCTTCCGAAGCAAGGAACCGGATCCCGTCTGGACTAGCCAGTAATGTGGTGAGAAGAGAGCATCCCAAGCGCACCCAGCGAACATTGGGCTTGCGATTTACGATCAGCGTGGAGCATCTGGAACAAGACAGTAAAATACCTGTTTCCTGGGAAGGTCAGAAAATCGATGGGTAAACGGATGGAAAAAAGACAGTAGTCGTCGCATGAATCTTGCTACTTTGATGGCTTCTTCCAATCGCTTGGGATTCAATAGTGGCCCCTCGATCAACTCTTGAAGCATCTCAAAGTTCCATTTCGCACTATCTTTTGTCAACATAACCTGGAGCAAAGTCAATCTGACTCACAACACGGACCCGAAGTAAACGCACCTGGGTCTCGAGCAACGATGACTGGAAAGTTTTGTCATCCATCTGCATCCCCATCTTGATTTTGACCTGCTCGACTTGTCTCTGTCCTCTCCGGACTGCGTCTTCAGCAGAATTCGCCCTATGATACCAGGTAAATGGATTTCTTCTGGCCATTCACAAGCGCTCACCTTGGGCGTGCATTCCTAACGCTAGGTTGTAGTCTCAGACGGTTGCGATTGAAGCTGTCGATTGCGGAGAGAGCAGATGTTCCGACTATCCTGTGCTCTCCTCGGTTATAATCTGCTGCCAGACAGAACACGCGAGGAACAGCCTAAAGCAGATTCAGATTCCAAAAAAATATTTTGGATGCAGCAGACCACACCTGTATCTTGGCAGCGACACCCAGGGGAAGGACTCTATTTGCCATCTGCATAACTTCGGCCATGAGCAGGGTTGCCTTACGTGACAAGTTGGAGCCAGTGGTGCATTCTTCAAGCATTGCCGTGAGTGCCTATTGGCCGTCAGGTTGATTGGAGGTGTATAATGGATATATGCTTACATCTATCAGACCAGCGTCTGTGAAGACGAGGACAAGAAGGGCAATGTATTGGTCAGTAAGCTTTAGCGTTTCAGGAGCCTTCTCTGCAAGTTTCTGATCTGCAAGCTGATCTGCAAAAGCTCGGGGTTTCCGGTACACTGAACTGGACCTTGAGCCACCAACAACACGTGATGGCTAGATGACCTACTTGTGAGCCGTCGACCATCTATAAACGTTTTATACCATTGCGGGGCCTTGATATTGAATAGATCAAAGAACATATCCAGCACTATCTCCTTAAATCGATGTGAGTTCTTGTCTTCCAATACAGACTCAAGCAACACACTCTTGTTTCGAGAGACGGTATTCGTAGCGTATTGACGATAGACTTGATGGCGTGTTGATCCCCCAGACAGAAATACATCAACCCTATAAATTGTTTCATAGCTGGACGGAGATATCACAATATGCCTACCACTCCAAGTCCGTAGCATCAGTTGTATGATCTTGGTACAGCCTCGCATACGATCTGCGTGATCTGCACCCTTGCCATAAGCATCTGTGATGGCAGAAAGAGCAATCTGGTATACAAGGTAAAATCGTGAACGGCCAAGAAGAACAGCCTGCCTACCTCCAAGTCAGTTCCAAGATGCAGGTATGCGCGAGTACGAGGAGAGTCGATGATGTGCAAGAATGTGGCAGCCAATATTGGCCCGATTTCGACTGGACCTTCACCTAGGGCATGCAAAAGGAATCGAATGCCTCCAGATCGCGCCACGAGGTCAATGTCAATGAGAACTTCAAGGTTTTGATCAGATGCAGGAAAGATTACAAGAAAACTATCCACGCACCCATTTCAGCGAGTGTTTGTACGCAAATGGGACGAAACAGATCTTCAGCATGCTCAGCAACTGCTACAAATGCTCGCATAATGGGTTCCGACAGAGGAATCGTTTTTGCTCCAGTAACACCACGTCGATCTCGAGGTTCGGAAACGATGTCGACGATAGTACGAATGAGCTTGATGACTTGTTCCCTCTCTATGGCGTGTTTGTTATCTCGGGCTAGAGATCTATTCGGAAAAATCTGAGATTCCTGCTGAGCAGGGCAAAATAAACACAATACTTTACAATGAACCACTCTATAGGCTGTTTATGCAGCTCCTCTGCTGAATCCGAGTCGACCAATGCATGCCTGATGAGCCGATAGGCAGCGGCTCTGCAACGCATAGAGCATCGATCAGAGAGAGCGGGGATTATCCTGAAAACTGGCATCAATAAGTACTGATGAACGCGCGTAAAACTGCCCACGCTTGAACAACCTCGGGTAGATTGATTTCGTAGCGGACGCGAAGATTGCGTTGGAGAATGCAAACGAATCGGTTCATTACTTCGACCCTGGACTTGTCATTACCTGCTGCGGAAATACTGCTCGTGGCTGACGGGGTCGATGCTGGAGGGGGTGATACTATTGGACGCGATAGCGAATTTAAGGATTTGATGCAGGCATTAGCTTGAGCCAGAGTTGTTCTAAAATCATCTACCCCGAATGTCAACTTACAAGTCAAAACGAATAATTTACAGACCTCTGTCCCTATCATCGCTGTCTGCCCTGAATCGAACCCCGACTGGAGGAGCCTGACCAGCGAATTTGCGCCGATTCACAGGAATTCCGTTCTTCCTGCGCCTGCCTCGGGACGTTTCTGGTACGTTATGTACTGGTTGTTTCAATGCGAATCGTGAAGAAGACGCACCAAGTTCGATTTTCCTCGTCAGAGACTCGATTTCGCCCGTCGCCATCTCGAGCTCCGATTCCACCTGCAAACGCATCGTTTCCTGTGGGACGCACTGTAAATCAATCAAATAAGAATGTAATGGAACATACATTCAAGGGCAATTTGAGAAACCTCTCTGCGCCCTCTTTAATTCTGTTTTCCCGCTCTAGTAATGCATTGAGGGTATCGAGCTGGTGCGTAAATGAGCGCTTACTATTGGCCAGCCTGAGGTTGAAACGAAACGAAGGAAGGACTTACCTGATCATCATAATCTCTGTTAGTTCCTTCTGTATCATGGAGCTGGTTCGTTGGCTCCAAGCCAGTGGACTTGGAAGATGATAAGACATTAGCTGGGTGTGTCGTACCAGAATTCTCCTGATCGATGCTGGTGGGCATCAACACCTGCTGTGGACAGTGATGATATAATAGATGCAGTTACTGCAGATTCTAGAGTACTGCTTGGCCGAATGGTACTAACTGTTATTAATTTATTATTACATAATCAAGAGTGGACTCTCGGAGTCTTTAGGATCTAAACTTGGCAGAGCAAAGGTCTGGCGGACTCGACACAGACGTCTGTGTCCGGGAGTTTCCGGTCAGTACGCGACGGCCGGCTCTATCATCTCAGGTACTGTTGCTGTACTGAATGGAACTTTTGAACGAATTGACGGTTATCGAGAAGGCTATGATTGGTCAATGTCGAGCAAAATGCTAGGTCGTACTAGCATAATAGGTAACCCTGGACAACTCCGGTGACCTATAGGAACCTCATTGAATTACACTGTGGGAAGGGAAACCCATAAAATTCAGTAGGTACTACTAGGAGAAAACACTGTTTCAAAGCCAATAGAGAAAGCCACTGAGACTAGTAAGGTAGCGCAATGAATGGACGGCCAATGAATCCCCCGAAAAGACGATGGATATCAGTGGTTGAACCCACCGACATGGCCACTAAATGCACTTCCGACTGGCGACAGGTCATCACATAATATGTCGATTCCATAATTTAAAGGCGTTTCGAAACAATAATCAGCCCCACTGAGCTTGCTACGCATGAATCCAATATGTAAACCAAGATCGTCTCGTTCACCCATGATGTGACCCAGCAGCCGCATGTTCCTTTCTCAACTGTTCGTCCGTCGCCAAATGTTCTTCTGCGACTGCTTCAGTTACGACAGCTTCTCGAGGTGTTGCGGCGGCTTCTTGAGAAGCCATATTGATGGGGTGTGACAGCGACATCCGCGACTCATCAAACCTTACAACTGATGCCGTAGAACGCGCAAATTCAGCCTGTGCGTGTAGATCTGGTCGAGACTCAGGGTCAAGGTCACGAAACTGAGATTGGAAGTGAATGTTGGGTGGCGGAAGGTATGAAGATGCCCTTTCACAAAAGGATCTTGGTGCGTGGTTGGAGGATGACTTGCGAGAGGATTCAGGGCGGCTGCCGTCCATGATCTGTGATCAACCTGGAAGACCTCGATATGCGCGGTCGCCACTTTTCATGCTAACATTACTACCCGAGCGACATCGAGAGAACAAGGATGGACGGCGTGGTCTTGTGGACTCCACATCAACCTCTTGATCAATAGTAACGATGCGGGACTTGATGCCTTCAGGAAGATCAATATCTTCACTGCCGCTGTATTGCCTAGTCACAAGGATAGACGGTCGTTCATCGCCAGGCACTGAGCTAGGGAGCTGAAACACGGGGGGTGCAGAAGAGCCAGGACCAAACCAGTGACCTACATCAACAGTGTCATTGAGGTCCAGAAGACCTAGCGGATTTCTTGGAAGCCATAGGGCATTGGTGATAGGTCGTGTGTGGGAAGGGTTATCATAAGGGATGTCGTGACGGGGTTCATCATCCTACGTTGCAAGAGGTGGATATCGCTGTACGAGAGAAGTCGAGATGCGTGCTGGAGGCTGCCGTTGCCATTCAGCAGGTGGGGATTCAACCGTCCCATCCAGAATGGCAGCAGATGGTTCTCAATGGGCCGAGGTCAATGACGTTTTCCCTTTCTCGTCTACCGAATGTAGCCTAGAGAGCAACGGGCGTGAGGGCCGGACAGATCCGGCTTACGCCGCTCACGCGGTCGAAGTCTTTGAGGAACGGTTGAATAAGATAAATTCACCCAGGGTGGTAAGCACCAGGTCTGGATCTCGAAGGCTGGTCCTCAGCGTCGACTGCTACGTTCTTAGCACCACCAGGATAGTTTGGCGGGATAATCTGGCTTCCAGGGTTGTCTTCAGATTCTCCCGTACCCGTCCTGCAAACCACCTGCGCCTCCTCAGTATCATCTTGCTCGAATTTGGCGCAGCACATTCGGGTCATGCTGATCGTGATTTCATTATCAGATTAAAGATTGATGGAAAGATAAAAAAACACGCACATCACCTTGACTATCGCGGTGAAGACGAATGAGAAACCCGATAGTGCTACATTAACAGTTATCCGCAACACAGCTTGAGACAGTATCAATCCTATGAATGGAAATACATCAGTGGCGTTCAGGCTTGTGAGTATCATACGATCCAATGAATAACGAAGGATACGGATCAACAGTATTTGACCACCGCATTCGTAGATCTTCACATAAACATGTAGCCACTACCCATCTGGATCAGGTGTAGCTTCGCAAAGGGAATGATGTAACATACCTGATTTTTTACAACGGCTGGAAAACGTTTTAGTCAGTATAGGTACTATCGTGAACCACATAAACAACAAACCAGTCTCAACTGAGAAATAGATCAACCCGAAGGGTATGACAAGTGGGTTAAGCAGAGCGAAGAGGAGTAACACGTGAATGACCAGGAGATGGTTTGGTAACTAGCTTGCATTCGGAAATTTTGTAAGAAATCTCGCTGCGCAAAATGACGGAACTCACAATAGAAATTAAATGTTCGTGGGCGAATACCAGCAACTCTTTCCTCGGAGTCACATGTCGCTTGGTGAAGGGATGAGTGAATAAAGGCAACCACAGCGAGGGATGTCAACATCATGACGATCTTCAATACGACACCATAGAAACTCACACTACCTGCCAAGCTCAACGTGAGAACGGGATGCAATACCATAAGTTATGGATGCTTACACAACACAAGCTCAAAGCCTCCATGAATTGCGGTGGTAAAGATCACTGCAAGCAAGCAGAACCCATCAACTCACTGCAAGACGTCGAAGGATTGTACTTACGCCATCCAACATAGAACGGCGCGGCCGTCGGGAAACTACCAGCGACAGCACTTATTATACCACTCCCGGACACGGTCTTGAACGAAGTAAGGAAAGACTGGACTGCAGGATTGTATGGGCTTCCTTCGAAATGGGTAGAAGAACGGGCGGAATGAGAATCGTGAGTACTACTTGGATATTCAGCACAAAGATGTCAAAGAAGGATCACACATACTAGACTTGGCCAGAACGTCGAAATGCTTTGAAATAGAAACAAGACCAACGAATAGTGACACTGAAAAAACCCAGAACATCGTGAATCCCCTGAGACATAGTCAGCGACTCCTCGTGGTCATACGACAATGGACCAGTACTCACCAGACCCCAATGTTTACCACCCAATCTTTGAGAACGTCCACTTGGTATGTTAACCTCATAACCCTCGTCCAATCGATGTCTTCATACTGCGGGACCATCGTCACGAGGCATGCAAGTGGGTTATCAGGATGCACTGCTAAGTACTTGTATGCCTCCCTTGTATCTGCCGGATCATTGAAGGTTACGAACGCTGTTGACACAATGTCGTATTCAGTAGCAGCCCGCGCTCGATTCTGCATTATCAACGATGTGATGAGGTTGAGTTTTGCAGTGTAAATAATCAATGCTTGGCACGAACTTCAGACGGAAAAGACAGGAAGGTGGATTAACGGCTGATATGGGTCCAGTATGTTTCGTGGCAAACTGAGAACTGCATCCCATGTCGTCTTGTGTGGGTCGATGCTGTCCGTCTCCGGATCCACTTTGACACTGTCAGTCTGTGGTAGCCACTAAATTCACTAAGACGCACCCTCCGCTTTCAAAATGAGTTTGCGCCTTGGGGGCACAAACTTGCTGGTCAACTCGTGATCAACCAGACACGGTGAGAGCACGTCCGAACGAGTAAGTCTGTATCATTGTTCTGGTGTCCGATGAGGTTTGACTATACTCGTTCTCTATGACCAAGTACGTGCTTCCCATCATACTCTACTGCAACAAGTTTTATGCTGGGGTAGCTGAAGAGCACAAGAAGCTGTTAGCCAAACCTTAGAATTCCAATCAACAGACTGTGTTGGTGTGTCACATGGGACGGTCACCATTGACAGTCAGATTCACACAAAAAGTAGCAGTTGCAACAACGGTGGTATAACCAATGTATGTTCTGTGTGTATAAATCAATAAAATACTGAACAATTCATGAGACCACCTGCGTGAGAGAAGGCATGGAGAAGACAGAGTATGCTCACAATAACCAGTCAATCATCCTCCCAGGACACCTGTCCAGAAGCCCACCTATCACCCCACATCAATCGTTTGTGGTAGACTTTCCTAAGCTCTCTAAATTCTCTAATGAACTCATCCACATCTGAGGCATCGTTGCCCGAGGAAGACGGAGAGGACTGCACAAATGATGATGCGAGAGCCTCTGAGGCATCATCTTGTGCGGTAGTCGCATGACGAAGACGAAGTAAAAGAAACTGAGGGTTGAACCGCTGAAGAAGCATCAGATGTCAGATGCTAGCTCATATATCATATTCGGCGACGTACTTGATAGACCTCTCGTTGTTCGCGCTCGAGATCCTTCCAGCGAGACTCCATAGACTTGGCGTTATCAAAGGCTTCTTTGGTTTCAGTCCGCAACTCGTACAGACGGTCCTGTAGTGATAGGTTTGTTCCTAAAGCAAGATGTCTGCGTGTTGCCTACCAACGAATGATTGAAAGCTTACGAGCGATGGCTTCGTTTGCCATACCTAGCTCAGCCTGAGCTTGATATAATTCCTTGACCTGAGGTAAGGAATGGAATATGCTCTGGAAGTAAGCGGGATCATTGAGGATGTCTTCAAGATCTTCGCGTCTGTGTAAGATGAGTGAGCTAGAAATGCAGGCTCGTGTATGGTACACACGTAAGATGGGCTAGCTCGGGAAATTCATTCATCAAAGGTGTCGCAGCCATAAATGACGCGGGATAGTAAATCAAGTTGTCATCTAAAGCAGCTTGAGAGTTCAACGTTCAGGAGGCTAGTGTGCCTTTTTTTCCTTTTCCAGTTTCCACGATGGCCGCGTCCATCGTTCTTCCTGGTGAGCAAGTCCCGGCCCAGCATGTCAACCTCAAGCTTGGTCCTGGCCTTCTTCAATTATCGAGCGAGACACAACAACAAGCGAAGTCAGCTCCTGTTATTGCTACTCGCTCAGGCGTCCTTAACCACTCAGCTAACAAGAGCAAATGGTGGGTAGAGGGCAATTCAAGAAGAGTATGACGCTCTACTCCGTAACGTGCAAGCTAGCCGTCTAATAACCACCTCCAGTACGTGCCGGCGCCCCAGGAGAGTGTGATTGGCGTGATCACTGGACGGAGTGGTGAGGGCTGGCGCGTCGATATTGGATCTGCGCATCCTGCTTCACTGGATGGCTTGGCGTTTGAAGGGGCAACCAAAAGAAACAAGCCGAGTCTAAAGGTACTTCAACGTTCCTTTCAGCTCTAGTGCCAATATATAGCTTCTTGATGTATCAATCAGGTCGGTTCCCTCATTTATGCTCGCGTTTCCTTGGCCCATAAAGATATGGAGCCCGAACTCGAGTGTTTCGACGCCCAAACTCACAAGGCTGATGGGTTTGGTGAGCTAAAGGATGGCTTTGTGCTTCAGTGCAGTTTGCAAATGAGCCGACTGTATGCTAGATTCTTGCTGCTATTTCTCTTTTGTTCATTATTTTTTCACCCAGATTACTTGACCCTAAACATTTTCTCCTGCCACTGCTTGGATCGCGTTTCCCTCTGGAGGCGGCAGTCGGAATGAATGGAAAAGTATGGGTCAGTACGAAGGAGATAAAACATACGATTGCCATCGTGCGATGTATTGAGGCGGTCGATCCAGACGGCGGCGGAATAGACGAAACTAATGTGAAGAAGTTCCTTAGCAAATTGGATATATAATCGCGGTACATTTCGAGAGACACCTGTTGCACGCGTACAGGTAGTAATGACAGTAAAAGAAAGTTGTACAACTGAAAGGACAACGATGACACATACATATACCACAGTTTCTCTCAACTCAATCATCATCCGCTATCCTCGCGCGTTTCGTTGGCCGCCTTCCTGTACCAATGCTCTGCGAGTCTTCATCACTGACAGTACCCGCACTTCGTCGCATAGCGCGTTTGCGTCGTTGATACTCTCTATCACGGTTCTTTTTCTGCTGCGCAGCAGTTAACTCCTGGGTGCGCGGAGCGGGAGGTACGACAACAGTGGTCAGCCCTGGTGTTGTTTGAAGCCTCATATCATCAGGTGCAGGTGTCGAATCTTCACCTTCTCCAAGAAGATCCAAGGACTGAGGAGGAAAAGCGAAATACTCCAATGAAATATTTATCCATATCTTGAATTACTTGGACATACCTTTTGCCATGTCCCACTACTTGTTGAGAACCACCGGTCACCGTCCCCAATATCGTGCTTTCTACGCGCCGCAGCACCCTGAGTGGGCTTAAGATATCCGTCGAATCCATGGATAATATTACCAGTAGTGGATGTTTCAGTGAGATAAGAAGTTTCCAGCGTATGTATCAGGACTTCAGTTTGTGCCTGTCGATTATATAGAGCATGTTGAACAATTCAAGTTAACAAAGAGGGTCAACGTACCAGTTGTCTGTCCGCGGCCCTTTTCTTCTGAATCATCTTCACAAGTTCATCTTTCACCTTCTCGTATCGTGCCTTCTCCTCCGCGGTGGGAGGGTCTTTGCTCGCCATAGCAAGAATCCAATGGACTTAGAGATTAAGTGCCATCCACACAGCTAATAACCCTCGAGTAAGTACTCAGTGTGGCTCAGCTAATATTGCAGAATCCTAAAGGCTTCAGAATTCAACAAGGACAAATATTAATAAGGGGAAGGGGTACTTAGCCTGTGACATGTACTGCGTGTGCTCCAATTTCCCTTTTTGGGAGGAGTTACGCGTCGGCGAGCATCTCAGTTCAGCACCGTCATCAATCTCTACCACCCGCTTCCCAATTCACATGTCCTCAGCTCCTCCCTCTGAACCTCCATCGGACCCTCCTGCAGGCAACAACGTACAGAAGCCGGATGCACCACAGCAGCCAGAAGCTTCCCCTTCGCCAGGCCAGGATGGCGTTGAAATGGACACAACGCCAGATCAACCCGCAGAAGAGACTTGGGATGACATTCCAGAGGAGATAAAGGCTTTGACAACGGAGGAGATTTTGACAAGAATACGGCTGATTGATAATGATATCAAGGTGCGTCGTTTGCATATTGCAGTAAAATTCCCAGAGTTTAACTCTAGAGTATTCTGTCCTGGTGATGCAGGTCATGAAGTCGGACACGCTACGATTACAACATGAGCAAAACGTAATGAAGGAGAAGATACGTGACAATGGGGAGAAAATTAAGCAAAATAAAGTCTTGCCGTATCTCGTTGGAAATGTGGTAGAGGTACGCACAAACAGGTTATATTGTCATATGCCGTCGTTCATCTGCCTTAGGTCTTGGACGTTGATCCTGAATCAGAGGAAGACGGGGCAAACCGTGACTTGGACTCAATGCGCAAGGGCAAATGTGCCGTCGTGAAGACATCCACTCGACAAACTGTTTTCCTCCCTCTTATTGGTCTCGTACCTGCCGACCAGTTGAGACCTTCCGACCTTGTCGGTGTTAACAAAGACTCTTATCTGATCCTCGACAAACTTCCGACTGAATATGATTCACGCGTCAAGGCAATGGAGGTTGATGAACGTCCAACAGAAACCTACACTGATATTGGTGGCTTGGAGAAGCAAATTGAAGAGCTGGTCGAAGCTATCGTTCTGCCGATGGAGCAGGCAGACAAGTTCAAGACCTTGGGCATAAAACCACCGAAAGGTTGTTTGATGTACGGGCCACCAGGTACGTGTGCATCTTATTTACATGCGCACCATTGCTTATATCTTTGATAGGTACTGGGAAAACTCTTCTTGCCCGTGCGTGTGCAGCGCAAACAAAGGCTTGCTATCTCAAGCTTGCCGGTCCTTCACTCGTCCAGATGTTCATTGGTGATGGTGCTAAGCTTGTTCGCGACGCGTTCGAACTTGCCAAAGAGAAGGCACCTGCAATCATCTTCATTGATGAATTGGACGCTATTGGAACAAAGCGTTTCGACTCAGAAAAGAGTGGTGATCGTGAAGTACAGCGAACGATGTTAGAATTGTTGAACCAGCTTGATGGTTTCTCGAGCGACCAGCGAATCAAGGTGAAACTATTCACTATCGACTTGAGATGTCTTTACTTAGTTTACCTTGTCCAGGTCATCGCAGCGACAAATCGGATCGACATCCTTGACCCCGCCCTTCTCCGTTCAGGTCGTTTGGATCGTAAAATCGAATTCCCATTACCAAACGAGACTGCTCGCGCCCGTATCCTAGAAATCCACTCACGGAAGATGACTGTCAGCCAAGACGTGAACTTTGAGGAGTTGGCGCGTAGCACGGACGAATTTAATGGCGCTCAGTTGAAGGCGACTTGTGTGGAGGCTGGTATGATCGCCCTGCGCGAGGGTGCTACCAAGCTTGGGCACGAACATTTCCTAAGCGGGATCGCTGAGGGTGAGTAGCTTACTTTCCACGACTATCTCCGATGACTTTCTAACTGTGTCGTACAGTCCAAAGCAAGAAGAAGAACAATTTGATGTACTTCGCATAGGTTGCCATATCGATTCATTCCGTTGTGGTAGACTCGATTTTCGCACTCATATTTTCACCCATGCCACTATCATCTCCATTGCCAGCTTCGTGCTATGCCGAGGGGGTGCGAGTGCTCCTCCTGTAATATTGCTGCTCTCGCCAGTTGTTTGGCTGTCCAGTCACTAACATGATTCCTTGAGCTCGATGTCGTGTCACGCAGACGAAAATTCTTTCTCCGTTTTCCACACATGTTCATCTTCGTGCGATTATGCAGCTCTATCAAGAAACCTCAACGCTGCCAACCCAACCCCCGTCTCAGCCTGTGATGGTATACTTTATAAAGACCTTTGCAGGAGCCTGACCACTAGCAACACGACTGGGCGTGCGTGTGAGGGTTTGTTGCGGGTCTTGCACCTGGTAGAAAGACAATCAAACGAGTTCTCTGATCATTTTTAACGCCGCCTTGGTCACGACACGGTGACGAGTGCAATCATCGACATAATGTAAACAGCTGTAATTCATTGACTGCTCAGCGTATTCACTATTACTAAGTTACATTATGTAACCGGAAACAAGAGTCAAGCAATGACTGGAGTATGATGATAAGTAAGGTAATTATGCTTCCAGAGTTCATCGAGAGTATACCGCTAACATGACTAGGCATCTATCTATTTCTTGCTTAATGCTTGTAGTTGGACATATTCGTAGTAGTCGCCCTTCAGCGAAAGGAGCTCGTCATGAGTACCAGCTTCGCTGACGCGGCCTTCCTTTATGAAGTATCTGCGAAGGAAGTATTAGTAAAATTATCTCTGGGACGTCAATAATGACTTCTCACATGCAGTCAGCGTTCTGGATCGTTGAAAGACGATGAGCAATTGCTATCGTTGTGCGACCCTTTGCAGCTTGATCAAGAGCCGCCTGCACGACCTTTTCAGAATTCGAATCCAACGCTGAAGTGGCTTCATCAAGCAGAAGAACCTTCGGGTTGCGAAGGAGAGCACGGGCTATTGCAATGCGCTCTGATTGGGGAGTAAGTACCTGGAAGAGAAACCAAAGAATCATCGGTCACGCACGCTTTTGTCCGCCAGAAAGTTGCGACCCTTTCCCACCGACCTCAGTGTCAAAGCCACTGATCGTTAAGTCAGTAAAGTATTCGTTTAAACTGATAACTGGAGGCATACTTGGGAAGAGATTTGATGAAATCTAGAACATTGGCATTGCGGCAAACAGTCTCGATTTCCTCTTGAGTTACCTCAGACTCTGGCTTGATGGCACCTAGCAGGATGTTGAAGCGAATGGTGCCGGCGTAGAGTGTCTGAATGGTGAATGTGAGATTAGACGAACACCCCTCAGGATCCTATTTGCTTACTGGTTCTTGCGACACAAGGGCAATCTGCTTTCTGTACTCCTGAACGTTGAACTCATTGATGGGTTCGTCGTCAAGCAGAACTTGGCCAGACAACGGATCATAGAATCGCTCAATCAACTGGATACTGCAGTACAGCATGAGACCACTGAAAGGTCAAGGAAATTGGATGCTTACACTGTACTTTTACCGCATCCACTGGCACCGACCAAAGCGACATATGTACCTGGCTCGATTTTGAACGATAGGCCGCGGAGGACACGGATGCCAGGACGAGTGGGGTAACGGAAATGAATGTTTTCAAAGCGAATTTGGCCCCTGACAGTTTCTCCGGATATAATCTTCCCTTCAGTCGACTCGGCATCAATCTCTGGGGTTGAATCGATGAGCTTGATGATTGCGGCACCAGCACCCTTGGCGGACGAGATATCTGGTACAAAGGCGAAGACATTGCCAGCCTGAATTGCTCCGAAGGTTGTGCTCTGATACGGTATAAGTCAGTGAAAGGCTAAATGAGGTCTCTTCTCGACTTACCATGAGTGCAACGAAGAATCCCGTGACGGTAATTTCGAAATGCGAGACGAGGATTGAGCCGTACCAGAAAATCAACGAGATTACGAAGAAGGACATGGCTTGAGAAAGGGCAAAAAAGAAGCTACTCCACAATGCCGTGTGATTCGATCTGCGCAAGGGTCCTTCTAAGCTGGTGCTGTAAAGCTGTAGGAAGTCTTCTTCCCGCGTCAACGATGCGACTGTACGGATTGCTGAGGCAGCCTCGCATGCAAGCTGGGCTGATGACTCATGTGCTGCCTTATTCTGTTGGTCCTTCAAGACAACCACTCGCTGTAAATAAGTCAATGCCTGCGAGTTCCGAAGCAAATATAATGTTACATACCAAACGAATGTAGCCTGCAGAAATAAGCACTGGAATACATGCTGCATTTGGAAAGTAAGTAGAAGTTCGATGATGTTGAAGAGACATCGCACCCATTCCGACCAAAGCTGGCTGCCATGCATAGCACAATCCAATTACCGACCCGGTGATCACTGTGACGAATGCTTGCACGATTCTGCTTAGGCATGAGAATTAAACCACACCACAATGAGCGTCAACTTACGTTCCAAGAGTAACGCCAGCGAGGCCATTTATTTTTTGCGGATTTTCGCTCAGATTTGACGTCAGTGCACCAGTCTACGGGATCCTGTCATTAAGTGGGATATCTATATCCCAGTGGAAGAACTTACGCTGTTCTCCTCCTTGTCGAAGTATTCAACTGCGAGGCATAAGGATTGATAGAGGAAAAATGTGTGTAATGCTCACCATCTTGGCGAAGGATGGCCTTGAAGCAGATTGACCGTAATTTAGCCGTCAAAATTGCTGCAGAGGATGCAAAGTAAAAATTTTGGAAGCCAATAGACATTGCAGACAAGATGGCAATGATGAAGAACCTATTTTGAGATTTAGCGGACAGAGTCCGTATACGCGCATAAACACACACCATAGGGCATTGCGATCGCCATCATAACGTCTCTCAGCGTTTGTCGGCGCGGAGAATCCACTAATTGCTTGACCTATGAGGGATATGTCAATACCCAACGCAGAGATACGCAAGAGTCAAAGGTTGCTCACCATATACGATACCAAATGCAGGATAAACAGCGCCAGTACCTAGTCATCTGACATGTCAGAGTAATAACGAGGGACCCTTGAAGCAACGTACACATTGCAAAGAAAGTACCGATTACATAGCGGTAAAGTCCTTCCCGGTTAAGACCTCCCATACGTTTGAACAAGTAGAACAAACTGTATTCGTCTTCGTTGATCTCGGTCTTCGCTTTCTCCTCGCTGCGTTTGTTTACAATATCGCTCGTTACCGAATGATTAGTGTGTTTGCGATCTAGGGGAATCTCTTCCTCGACGGCCTTCTCCATATCTTCTTCGCTACCAGCTATTTTTGTGCTCTCATCGTTCTGGCCTTCACGCGACTCACGCAGCTTTTGTGCCTGGACGAGACGCGCGTATGCGCCGTTCTCATCGGCCAATAACTCATCATGAGTGCCCTGCTCCAGAACGAGGCCATCTCCCATGACAAAGATCCTATCTGCATCTTTGATTGTTGAGAGTCGGTGAGCAACGGTGATAGTTGTGCGCCCAGCGGCAGCCTTGTCCAATGCATCCTGAACAATGCCCTCGGATCGCGTATCAAGCGCACTGGTGGCTTCGTCAAGAAGGAGAATGCGGGGATCGGAGACGATGGCACGAGCGATAGCTATACGCTGCTTCTGCCCACCTGATAACAAGAAGCCACGTTCGCCGACCAGAGTATCATATCCTTGCGGTAGCTTGGTAATGAAACCATCAGCATTTGACTTGATACACGCCTCTTGAATGAGTTTGAATTTCTCTTCTTCAGAGGCATTCTCGTATGGGGTGCCGATGAGGCCGTGTAAGACGTTGCCTTTGATCGTTGTCGCAAAGAGTGTGGGTTCCTGGGAAACTAGACCGATCTGAGATCGCAACCACTTTATGTTCAACTCTGGCAAATCAACACCGTCAAGCTGGACGGAGCCACTCGAGGGATCATAGAAACGCTCCATAAGTGAAACGATGGTCGACTTTCCAGAACCAGATGCCCCAACGAGTGCAGCGGTCTTACCGGCAGGGAAATTTATGCTGAGACCCTTCAAAATAGGGACGTCGGGGCGGGAGGGATAACTAAATTTAACATTCTCCAAAGTGATCTCGCCAATGACCTTTTCAGGTTTCAAACCTCCTGGGTCAGCGGAGTCTATTGCGGGAGTACGCTCGATCGTAGCATATAGCTTAGCAGCAGCGCCACGTCCGTGGTTGATTGCTGAAATGAAACATGAGAAAACGAAAAAATACATAAAAGGAAACAAAACTCACCTTGCATCTCGGGTGCAAGAAGGGCCAAAGAGAACGAACCAATTAAGATAGCCAGGAAGACATTTACGACTTGGCCGGCGTTAGCTATGTTTACAATATTAAAGATTCTTCTGTTACTCCAAGAATGAGAACTTACCAAGCCCCTCATTAATGAGGGTAGTGCCAAAGTCGAAAGCGAGAGCATATGCACAATAAATGACAAAGAAGAAGGCGGCCAGTCCTCCACCTTGCCAAATAGCACCCCTGGAGTTAGCAATGCGGGAACCATCGATGTGCCTGTCATACAAAGATGACAAAAATTTCTGAGCTCCGAAAGCTTGCGCAGTTCTGACAGTGGCAATGACCTCCTCAGCAAGGGTTCCTCCCTCGGCGACATGGTTGAGAGACATTCTGTATTGAATCACATCAAGGGACCTTTGTTCCCCAGAGAAGAAACACTTACTGCATATACTTAGAGACGAATTTGTTCATGACAGCTCCGGTTATGGCGATGCATGGGAAAATCGACGTCAATGCCAATGCAAGGCGCCATGATCGAACATATGCGAGAACGAAACCGGTAACGAATGCGGCAAGGAAGCTCACGACGATAGGGACTTTTTCGGATATGCCTTGTTGTACCAAATCTATTTGTTATACGTCAACAAGGTAGAAAAAAATCATGGACTCATAGCTCACGAGTATCGGTTTGAATACGAGTGGCAACTTCTCCGGCTCCAACATCATCGAAGTAAGCAATTTCCTG